CCAGCCAGCGATGGCGATGCAGGGGGGTGGGTGGGTGGGTGGTGCCGGGTGGGTGGGGGCCAGCAAAGGAAGGGATGGAAGGGGGGGGGGGGGGGGGGGCATGGCAGCTGAGCCTGCCACACCTGGCAGGGTGCGCAACAACTCGCACCGAACATGCTGTGCTGTGCGTATCATGGGGCATGCTTGTGGCACGCGCAGCGAGGGCGGGGAGCGATGAGCATAGGGGGGTGGGGAGCGGGGGCGGGGCTGGCAGCTGAGATGCAGCGAGGGGAGGCGCAGACCTCTGGGGGACAGAAATGGGCAGGGCAGCGCGTAAGGGAAGAGGGGGAGGGAGAGTGCGCCATCAGCGGGATGCGTGCGGTGCGGCTTCGCCGCAGCTCCCGAGGTATTTCAAGGCATGGCGGCACTCTTCAGTGAGACTGAAAACTGAAAGGGCTGTGCTGTTTGCAGCAAAGACGGGAGCGCATGGGGCGGAGTGCTTGGGCAGCCGAGGCGGAGAGCAGGGGCCAGCCCAGCGGCCACAAAGAGCGGGGTATGTGTTTGGTGTGGTAGTATGGCGGCATGCTGGCCTGGCAGCCGGCTGCCGCCGAGCCAGCCGGCTGGCCAGCCGGGCGCGTGCACGCGCGCCTAGGCCTGCCCCTGCACGTAGTCGGCCACAGAGTCGGCGTAGGCGCTTTCGCGGAAGGCGGCGCCGCTGCGCACCTCCGCCATCGCTGCCTGCATGGCCGCTGGGTGGGGCTCTTCTGCGCCCACACCGCCCACACCCGCCACCTGGCACATGGCGGCGGCGCGGCGGCGGGCCGCAGACGCGGGATCTGCACCCAGAGGGGGGCGCCAGGTTGGGGAGGCGAGGGGAGGCAGGGCGGGCCACCACACTGTGGCACGGGCAGGCGGGCGGCGCTGCGGCCCCGCATGCAGCCGCCGGCTCTGCCGCAGCGGCAGCCCGGCCCCGGCCGTGCAGGCGCACCACACGCCCCAGCCCCCACCCCGCAGCTCACCCTTGCGCCCGCCGCCGCCGTAGCCTCCACCTCCCCGCGGCGACCGCTGCATCTGTTGCTGCTGCTGCTGCTGCGGGCCCGGGTAGCGCCCCCCGCCGGGCATGGCACCGGGCGGCATGGGCAGCGGGACCGGCATGGGCATGCCGCCTGGGCTGCCCATGGGCATGCCGCGCCCCGCGCCCATGGGCATGCCCGCCATCATGCCGGGCGGCACCATGTGCATGCCCGCGGGCGCCATGCCCGCCATGCGCCCAGGCGACATGGGGTCCTGCTGCGGCATGCGGCCCGGCGACATGGGCGCGCCCGGCTGCCTCAGGTCCTCGTACCCGTGCGCAAAGGTGCAGGAGGCGGCCTTGTGGCAGTACCCCGTCTGCATGTACTTGATGCACAGCCGGGTCTTGTAGAAGGACTGGTGGCCCGCGCCGCCGCCGCCCATCATGGCCCCCGGGGGGCCGCCGGGGCCACAGGGGCCACCGCCGCCGCCGCCGCCGCCGCCCATCTCCTCGCCGCGCGGCCGCTGTTCGGGGCCCTCGCCGCCGCCGCCCCCGCCGCCGCCCTGCCGCTGCTGCATCGAGTCCTGCATCTTCTGCTGCGCCTCCAGCTGCGCCACAATCTCGGGCGGCACGTAGCGCAGCTCGTGCTCGCCGTGCGCGTACGTGCACTTGTCTGCGGCGGACGGCGGCGGCGAGGCGGGGCGAGGCAGGCGGCCTCAGCAGGCGGCGGCGCTGCGGGGGTGTGCGCAGCAAGGCAGGCGGTGCGGCATGATGGGGAAGCCAGGCATGGTGCAGGCCAGTGCGCCCCCTCGCACCTCCGTACGGGCACGAGCCGTTGCGCCACCTGCAGCCCCAGGCAGCGGGACGACCTCAGGGGATGATGCGTCGGCAAGCCGCCCACACCAGGGCATGCACGCTGCCGGCCAGCCAGCGGCAGCAGCGCAGCAGGGAGCAGGACAGCGCTGGCCCGCCAGGCCTGCGGCAGCACGCTCCCTGGCGGCAGGGTGGTGGGCCTGCTGCGGCACACGCATGCGCGCCTCCGCCTCCCGCCACTCACTTGTTACAGATGCGGGTCTTGAAGAAGACGTTGGATGAGCGGCCGCCGCGGGCTGCGTCCACCAGCATCTGCGTCAGCTGCGGCGCCGCCATGGCGCCGGGCGCCATCATGCCAGGCGGCATCGGGCCGGCGGCCATCATGGGTCCCATCGGCCCCATCACCATCTGCATCGGCATGCCCTGCACACAGAGAGGCAGGCATGCAGGGTGTGGGCAAGGGCAGGGGCGAGGGGCGCACGGTTCTTCGGCGCGGGACACGGCGCTGGGGGATACGCGGGCGGGAGTGGCCGGCCCTGCAGTTGCAGGCGGCCGGCGCGCCCTACCCCTGGGTGGGAGCACTGCGCCAGCCCACCTGCATTATCTCGGGGTGCATCCCCTGCTGCATACTCGCATAGGCCTCCGCCGGCATCATCGCGAACGCCGCGGGCGCCATTTGCTGCATAGGCTGCATAGCCATGGCGCGTCCGACACCCTGCCCGCTGCGGTGGGCGGGGCAGCGCTGCAGGGAGGGGCTGCGGTGCTATTTGAGCATGGAGCGCGATTGTACGCTGCCAACACTGCCGACGCTCTGGTGCACGGGCCCAGAATACTCGTGCTGTCCCGACAGACAAGGGGGACAAGGGTTCCCGCGTGGGGGACCAAGGGAGAAAGCCCCAGCCTGAAATGGGGAGGCGCAGCAGGTCGTTCCGGAGACAACAAATGCACTTGCAATGGGTCGGGCTCCACCCCACGCTCGTGCGCGTTGAGCCTGGGCGGGTGCACAGCCCCAGCAGGCGCGCTGACCCGCCGTGCGCCCTTCCGTGTCCTCCCTCACACTGGGTTTGGGATAGCGCCGACTCCCTCTCTCACGCGTGGCTGCGATTGTGGCACGTTGCAATTTGCTACTGGGGCCGCCAGGGCGCTTGCACCTCGGCAGACAATGCTGCGCGGCGGGAGGCGTCGGCGTCGGCAGGCGTGCGCCAGGTTTGGCGGGCGTCATGGCCGCTCCAGCCTCCTGAGGAACTGGTGGCCTCTTATGCTTGCATAGGAACTGCTGGAGTAGTGCACGGTGTTAGTAAGGAGCATGCAGGGGCGTCCGCTCTCAGATACTGGTTTGCGCTGCGCATTGGCGGCAACATCCGGCTCATCCTTGTTGGGGAAGCTCTTGCTGTGGAGGCTCTGCCTTGCAGCTGGAAAGCTGTTGGCACAGGTGATGGGCATTGCAAGACAGCCTTCCCAGGGCATGTGCAGCCCGCCTCGGTCGCCTGTGCCACCATCGGTAATGCGGCTATGGGCACAAACAGCATTGTTTTGCTCTCAATGTGTATGTGGCGTCTGTCTGTCTGTCTGTCTGTCTGTCTGTCTGTCTGTCTGTCTGTCTGTCTGTCTGTCTGTTACACCCATAAGGAGCAATGAATGCTACGGGCCCAACTGTGGTGCCAAACAGCTGGAAAAGTATGCACCAACACAAAACACATGAGGGAAGAGATTCAGGCGTCACATGGTGGAGCACATGACAGTTCTGTGAGGCACAGGTTTACATCTGACGTGTTGACATCGGCTTGTGCCAGCACTGGGGAGCCGGCCGGACGCCGCCCTCCTGCGCCGCTGAAGGCCTCGCGCCTCATCATGCCATGATGATTTTGTGATTCTGAGCTGTGCCTCTTGTTCAGGGGCCCCTCCTTCCTCTGGGTTGGCCTGCCAGTAGGTCAGGTTAACTGCCACGTGTCCTGCATATTTGAGAGATCAAAATTCAGCGTGCCTGGGCGCAGCAAATTTGCCTCCGTCATCGTCGTGTTCCAACATAGGGGCCGGGGGCGACTGGGTGCCGGTGGCCCAACCCTGCCAGGAGTGTCGGCAGCCGCTCCAGAACGCCACGCCAGCCTAAAACAAGCCCGGGGTGTGCCCCGCACGCCTGCTGGCCGACCATGTGGCTGTGAGGCCAGGCGGCAACAGCGGCATGTCGTCGGTGCGCGGCGGCATCGCAGACCTGCCCAGCGCCTCTGTCAAGCTGGACGGCTTGGCTGGGGAGCCTGCGGGTGATGACGGCATGTCTTCAGTGCGTGGCGGCAGCTCACAGCTGCCCAACGGCTCCGCCAAGCTGGACGGCTTGCCTGGCGAGGCTGCCGGTCCGGCGGCCGCCAGCGCCGGCACCGGCGCGCCGGCGGCCGCCAGCGCCTGCAGCGGCGCGCCGCGCGGCAGCCGGCTGGGCTGGGTGCGGCGCTCGCCCTACTTCCGCCGCGGCGTGCAGTGCGGGCTGGGCACCGCCTTCATCGTGGGCTTGTGCAGCCCGCCAGCCATCAGCCAGGCGCTGACAGTCAGCTCCCCCTCCCAGGGCACCCTGTCGCCCGCTGCCTTTGTGCTCGTCAACTACTTCTTCGCCCTGCTGATCCCCTCCACATCGGGGCAGAGCCCGCTGCAAGTGGGCGCGCAGCAGCTGCTGGGCTGCCTGACGGGCGGTGCGGTGGCGCTGGCTGGTGAGCGCCATGCACGGCGCGCCTGCCTTGCTGGCAGGGGCCGCTGGCTGGCTGCACCTGCCCCCAGGCCCTCTCATTTCCAAACCACGCCCGCCTCCTCCCCCCCACACACACAGTCATGTTCACCACCTACGCCCTCAACGGAGCCTCCTACCAAGACAGCCTGGCAAAGGCGCTCGTCATGATCCTCCTCTCAGGCACGCGCACGTGCCGTGATCGCACGCACCCCCTGCGCGGCTCCCTCCCTTCACCAGCTCCGCCAGCCGGCTGGCCATCCGGCGCGCGCCGCCTGCATGCGCCGCCTGCATGCTGACCTGCGCGCGCCGCCGCCGCCGCCGCCTGCCCCCGCCCCGCCCGCAGCCGTGGTGCTGTTCTGCATGACGGTGTGCCGCTTCCACTTCCGCCAGTACTCCCTCCTCTTCCTCTTCCAGTCCATCACATACGCAATGACCACCACCAGCCACTACCACACAGCAGCCAACTTCTACGAGTTTGTGTGGTACTGGTGCGCCGGCCAGCTGCGCCAGTACCGCCGCGTGGCGGGGGGGTGCCCGCCCGCCTCCCGCGCGGGCTGCCCGTCGCCACCTTTGGGCTGCCTGGCATCATCCCAGCCGCCGCCGCCGCCCACCAGTCCCGTGCGTGTGTGTGCAGGTGGTCGTATGCTGCAATAGGCAGCGTCGTGGCATTCATCATCTCCACCCTTGTGCTGCCCATCACCGCTGGTAGGTTTTGGTGTTTAGGTGGGCAGCGGGTTGAATGTGCATCACCAGCCCCCGCCCCTGGGTGGGCCCAGGCCCGGCAGCTGCCGCCGGGCCGGCCACCTGGACGCCGCGCCGCGCCCCTGCCCGCAGGCAGCATCGTGCGCCGGCGGTTGGCGGCCGCCTTGCAGCACACCGCCCGTGTGGCGGTCATCGTGCTGGACGTCGCGAGCGGCGAGGTGAGGCCCGGCACGGGCCTGCTGGCGGCGGCCAATGGGGAGACCGCGCAGCGTATCGGCATCGACGGCGGCCTGTACCCGCGCCTGGAGCCGCTGTTCCGAGCCAACATGGCGGCCAGCCAGACGTTCCGGGTGCGCGCGCAGCCCTTCGCCGGGCGCGCTGGGCGCCTGGCCGGTGGCCCCTGGCTGCCGCCGGCGCAAGGTGCCCGCGGCGGGGTGCGATTGCCGCGATGCATGCATAGCATGTGCCCCTCCTCCTTCTGCGCAGGACGCGTACAACATGCTGCCCTTTGCGCCGCACTGGGTGGAGCTGTACCGCCGCCAGCGCCGCTTCCCGCGCCGCGCCTTCTGGCTGCTGACCATCATCGGGCGCAGCTTCCTGAACGCCGTGCTGATGATGGGTGGGATGCTGGGGGGAGGGGTGGGGGTGGGGAGGGGCAGCGGGGGCCGGCCTGGGCGCCGCTGGCTGGTGCCTCCCTGCGCCTGGTGCGCTCTTGCTGTGCATGCTGTGCGTGCTGTGCATGCTGTGTGCGTGCTGTGCATGCCCGACCCGGCGTCCCCTTGCCGGCCGCAACCCTGCCCACCTGCCGCCGCCCGCCCCGCGTGTGCAGTGTACCCCATCCAGACCGGCACGCTGCATGTGGCGCTGGTGGCGCGCCATCGCAGGCAGCTGATGGCCCTGGGCGATGCCCTGGCCGACACCTGTGACCTGCTGGGCGACGTGCTGGTGCAGAACGCACCCGTCAGGTGGGGAGCGCCGGGCGCCAGGCGCCAGGCGCGGCAGCAGCATGCAGCATGCAGCAGCACCCCAGCCGCCACCGCCACCGCCACCGCCCCCACCAGCCGCACCAGCAGCAGCTGCGCCGCCTCGGCCCTCTGGCCCCACCCGCCCGTCCCCCTGCATGCCCGCTCCCCTGGTGCCCCTGCAGCGGCGCGCTGGAGGGGCTGCGGGTGCTGGAGGCTCGGTACGCGTCGCTGGCCGCCGCCGCCCGCTTCAAGGGCAGTACCATGACGCAGGATGCTGTGGCGCTGGACTTGGTCCTCTCCATCTGCTTCACGGCCGTCACCAGGGTGGGGCGGGCGGGAGGCCACGCGCATGGGATGGTGGCAGCGGTGGCAGTGATGGCGGCGGTGGTGGTGGCGGCGGCGGAAGTCGCAGAGTCCGCCGCCTGGTGCCTGCATCCTGGGGTGCTCCTGCTTTCTGAGCGCTCGCTGGTCGCCTCTGCCTTACCCTTCCCGCCGCGCCGCAGCTGCGGCGCATGACCATGCTGCTGCCAGAGGTGTTGGGCGCGGACCAGCCCGCCAGCCTGGCGCCGGTGCTGGAGCACTTCCAGTCGCAGGCGGGCAGCGGCGATGGCGGGCACTGGAGCTTTGTTGCGCTGACGCAGGTGCGTGTGGGGGGGGGTGCAGGCCGCGCTGGGCGTCTGGTGGGCATGGGGAGACCAGCAGGCACCGCCCCGCTGCCAGCTGGGCCTCGACGCTCCTGGTGTGCATGCCTGCCACCCTCCCCCGCAGGTCCCCGCCAAGGGCCAGGGGAGCGGCGGCGCCCAGCTGGACCCCATTGAGCAGCTGCGCGCCTCGCTGCTGGCCGCGCAGCCCAGGAAGAGCATGAGCCGCGCTGCGCGCGCCATGCTGGCGCCGCCAGAGGTGCTGGAGCTGCCGCACGTGCCGGCGCACACCTCGGCCTGCCTGCGCGCCGCGCACTGGCTGCCCGGCCTCCTCGGCGTCAGCCCCAAGGTCTTTGTCATGGCCCTGCAAATGGTCACCGCCTACACTGTCGTGCTCGCCATGATGGTGGTGCCCGCCGTGGACAACGCCTTCAACCAGAGCCTCAACTGGTGCCTGTTTGTCGTCGTGTCGGTGATCGAGCAGTCCACAGGTGCCCCGCCGCCTTCTCCTGCTCCTGCCAGGCAGCCTGGGCTGCCGTGCCGCGATCTCCGCGACACCGCGACAACCGCACGCCTCTTGCCATGCAGCCCTTGCGCTGGCTGGCTGGCCGGCAGCCCGGGCTGCCTGCCCAGAGGCTCCACCTGGGAGGGCTCACAGCTCCCACCCCTTACCCCGCTGCACCTGCCCTCGCCACCGCAGGGGCTGCCCTCTTCAAGGGCGTGCAGCGGGTGGCCGGCGCGCTGCTGTTTGCCTGCCTAGGCGTGGCCACCCAATACTTTGTCTACCTCTGCAACGGACTCTCCTACGCCAACGGCCCGCTCAAGAGCTGCGCCATGGCGGCCTCCCTGGCGGTGCTGGCATTCGGCGCGGCGGCGGGCGGCGTTCGGTACCCGCGCTACAGCTGTGAGTGGCGGGCGGGCATGGACGTGTGTGCGCGAATGGGCGGGAGCGATGTGTGGGTGTATTGGCGGCGGTCGAGAGGGTGCCGGCCACCGCACGGATGAGGCTCAACGCGCAGGCGTGCTTCCCCGCCCTGCTTGGCCGCGCCCCGGCCTCACCCACACGCCCGCCACCCTCGCAGACGTGTTCATTATTGGGGCTGTCACGCTGGGCCTCACCGCGCTGCCCGGCTTTAACGGGGACTCTCCCGAGCCGCATGTGGCGCTGTGGCGGGGCATCAACACGCTGCTTGGAGTGGCCATGGAGGCGCTGGCGGTGACCCTCATCCTGCCGGTGACCGCGCGCCAGTGCTTCACAGACTTGATGGCAGACACGTTGGAGCAGATTGCCACCACCGCAAGCACGGCCTTCGAAGGCGCGCTGCCTCGCCCGCTGCGCAGCGCCAGCCGCATGAAGCGTTCACTTCCTCAGCATTCACTTTCTCAAAAAACTCAGCGGTGGTGGCAGCGGTGGGGGCCGCCGACCGCCCCGGCGGAGCAGGCGCCTCCCCTGGCGCCGCGCCGCAGCCGCGAGGAGCAGCGGCAGCAGGTCGCCGCTGCAGCCGCTGCAGAGGAGGAGGCACATGGCGCGGGCCTGCGCCCACGACAGCCGCGCCAGCAGCAGGAGCAGCAGCAAGAGGAGGCCGGCGTTGGGTCAGGGAGTCCCCAGGCCCCTGCTGGCAGCCCGCCAGCTGGCATCGAGATGAGCAGCGGGACCCGGCTCGTGCTGGCGCCTGTGCGAACAGGGCGCACGGTAGGGCAGCAGCAGCAGCAGCAGCAGCAGCAGCCGACGCTAGCATTGCAGCAGGCTGCCAGCCCGCCGCTGAGCCCGCTGGGCTCGGCTGGCAGCAGTGCCCAGCGCCGGCGGCTGGGCGGCAGTGGCCTGACGGCAGACAGCCTGATGGAAGCGCGGCGGCAGTCTGGCCAGTCTGGCCAGTCGCCGCTGCACAGGCTGGAGCGCAGCCAGAGCCTATCGTCCGACACGAGCGCCCACCTGAGCATCTACATGAGCAGCGGCAGAGACGCCAGTATAAAGGTGTGGTGCTGGGTGTGGGTGCTTTGTGAGTGGGGCGGGTGTTGTGATGGGTGTGGGTGGCAAAGGCTGTGAGCTGCACGTGTTGGCGGCATCGGGCCTCGCAGCTGCCGTGCCGCCTACTCGCCACTACACCCTGCCGTGCCGCCGCAGATCATCGGCTCCGGCTATGCGGCGCAGCTGCCGGACCTGATGAGCACGGCCGACAGAATAGTGTCGATGTTCCAGCTCAGGACTGCGCTGGAGTTTGAGTGGTACCCGCTCTCCGACATCCACCGCTTCCCATTTGAGCCGGGCTTCAGGCAGGGCAGGGGCCAGGGCTGTAGGGCAGGGGAGCAGGGACGCCCAGGCCGATGCTGCCCAGCCCAGCCGTCTGTGGATGCCATGATGCTGCGGCTGATGCTGCGGCTCATGGTCCAATGGTGCAGGGCGCAGCGGCTCTGTCGCCACATGCTCAACGTCGTGGCCTCGGTGCCCATCCTGATGGACTCGCACGAGGTGCATGCTGCGCCGTGCTGTGCTGCGCTGTGCTGCGCCATGCTGCTTTGGGGCCCTGGCAGCAGCAGGCGCAGGTTGGCTCGCGCCTGACAACCACCGTTGACGCAGCAAGTGCATCGCTGGGCTGCTGCAGGTGACGGCGCTGCCCATGCTCGCCCCGTTTGCCAAACGCCTGCACCTGTTGGTGGAGCAGCTGGCGGTGTGCCTGGAGGCGATGGCCGGCATGGTGCGCAGGGAGCACCCGCCACACAGGCACGCACCAGCCAGCGCCTGCGGCGCCCGCCCAGCCGGCTGCTTATATGTGCCGCTAATTAGGCTGGGGCTTGGAAGAAGGCGGCGGGCTGTTGCCTCGACGATCACCAATGCCCTGCTGGCACCTGCACAAGTGCAGGGTGGTAGAGCTGGTGCTGGCCCTGGAGGAGCACGTGCAGCGCCTCCTCCTGCTCGTGCTGAACGACCTGGGCGAGAGCTCGGCGGGGGGCGGCGCCCCGCCCGAGTCGGAGGTCATCGTGGGGCTGGCCTACCTGGCAGTCATCTGCAACGCCGCCTATGGTGAGCTTCTCGTGGCTGGTCATGATTGTGTGTGTGTGTGTGTGTGAAAAGAAGGGAACAGCACAGCCCCATGGCAGCCTGACTCCCCAGCGAAGTGGCAGCCGTCAACTCCTGTTTGCCCCCCTGCGCCTGCCCCTGCAGTGGTGCGCCTGCTGACCATCGCCCTGATCCGCACCTTTTACGCTGCCGACGCTGCTGCCGCGAAGAGCGAGGAGGCGCTGCTGCTGCACGCCCAGAGGTGGAGCCTGGACGACCGGATGATGAATAACCTCACCGGCATCTTGGGGGTGGCCATCGGCAGCAGCGCCAGCGGCAGCGGGGGGCCCATGACGCCACGCCTGGTGACGCCGCGGGGGCTGATGACTCCCCGGCCGCGCAGCCGGGAGGGGTCGGCCCACGCTGCGACGGCGGCGGGGGCGGCAGGGGCGGGAGCCTGAGCACCCTTCGGCGCGGCCGCGCTTCGTCCCAAACCAGCCAATCCATTTGCAATCTGCATTTCTGGCACCCTGGGGCGGCTGGGGGCCCGTTTAAACGGCCTTGGGAGCCTCCGACCCTGGCGCACCCTGAAATCTCCTCTCGGGGGGGTCTCCTGCGCGGCGAGCTGAGCAGGCCTCCAGTCTCCGAATCCCCTCCTCTCGCAGACTCACCTAGCCGACACAAGCAGCCATGGCCTGCACTATGCGCGCCGCTCTTGGGCAGCAGACCTTCACCGCCAAGGCAAGCGGGTGGCTTGCAGCTCGCTGAGGGCCGTCCCTGGCCCTTTGATGGCTCTTGGCAGCCCCATTAACTGGAGATCGGGGCGAGTGGGGTGGCGGAGAGCTCGCCTTCCGAGGGCCTCCCGCTGCCAAGCAAAGTGGGGCCGCTCAAGGGCCGTGCCCTCCCCTATTGGATGCAGGTGCAGCGGCAGCAGGCTGCCAAGCCCGCGCGGGCCGCCCGGTGCGTGACCAAGGCCATTGCCGACGTCAACCTGGTCGTTGGTGGTGAGTGGTGCATCGGCACTGCTGGGCGGGGGGCTTGCCTCCATGCCTTGCTGTTGACAGCAGAGGATGGCGATCAGCGATTAGCAGCAGTGGAAATAGTGGGCAGTGGGAGCAGCTCAGCGCGTCAGGCGGGCTGCCGCGCAAGCCGAGTGTAGCAGCAACGAGCGCTTGTGCAGGCGGCTTTCGCAGCGCAGCTGTGAACTGTATCAGAGCAGGGCAGCAGGCGTAATGCTGTTGCCTGTGCACCACCAACCATGCACTGGTCGGCGATCATCTCATGAGCAGCCGAGCAGGGCATAGCAGGAGCAGCATGGCAGCGGCTGCATCAAGTGTGGTAGTAGCGCCACATACGCCCGGCCTGGGCTCTGCGCCCGCACTACAAGGCTGCGCATGAAGCTGCGCCGCGCCGCTCCCCATGTGCAGGCTGCACCGTCGGCGCCCTGGCGCTGGGCCGCTTTGTGTTCCTGCCCTTCCACCGCGCCTCCCTGGCCAAGGCGGGCCTGCCCACCCAGGACGGCAAGACGCACCTGGAGGCCGGCGACCTGCGCGCCGAGGAGGCCAGCTTTGTGCTGAAGACCAACGACCCCGCCGGCTTCACCATTGTGGATGTGATGGCGTGGGGCGCGCTGGGCCACGCTGCCGCTTTCTACCTGCTGGCCACCGCCAGCCTGAACGTGAACCGCATCCCCTTCTGAGCAGCAGCCAGCCCCGCAGCCTCTTGGAGGGCTCCCTTGCCCTCGCCCCGACAACCAAGAAGAAAATTTCTCTGCCCACCGCTACACTATCGAGCACTGCGTTTGTGTGTTCATTAGCATGCCGCACTAGCTGCCGCAAGCATGTACGACCCGCCCTGCCGAGCGACGCTCGCAGGCGGCTGTAAATCGATTGAGCGCCATGTGGGGGCGTGGGGCGCCAATCCCTGGGACAATACTTGAACCCGCAGGAGGGTGTGGCGCCACAGATTCACTGTGGCCAGCGGACAGACAGACAGCAGCAAGGGGACTGGCACCCACACAATCACAAGAAATATGTTTTCTTCTATATGGCTTGAAGCAGGAGTCGTACAATCTCTTCCAGGCCGCCATGTCACCGCCCCGCTGGCGGCGGTTGTTATGTCCATATTGATTGATGTCCATTTGCATTTCCTGGCCAAAGCAAGCACACGGCAAGAAGTGCACTAGAACCCTCCAGAAACAAGAATGAAGCTGTTTCGGGATGTTTGGGTTCCCGCTGGCAACCGGATCAGTAAAACTCGGCTGATCTCATCCACCGGGTGGCAATCAACTTAGTGCCATCAAGCACGGGGCAGCCGCCGTGCAGGCTGGCGGGGTCGGGTGTCGCCAGGTCCCCTGGCTGCCAGGCCGAGCCAGCAGGCACATAGTCCCTGCACGAGGCAGCCGAAGGGGCAGCCTCCACACTCCTCAGTTGGTGCTCTGCACCAGGCCAAACACGTGCGGCCTGCCGGAACCCTGCCCACTCGCTCACCAGAAGAAAACCGCCGAGCCGGACGGTGGCGCCACCTGCAGCGCCGTAGCGCCCTCCTGGCAGTAGGGCGGCACCGTGTCGGCGGCGCTGCCGCTGAGCTGGCCATCGCCGTGGCGCAGCAGGCGGCGGCTGTCAGCGGCGCCGCTGCTGCGATCGCCGCTGCTGCCGCTTTCGGCACTGGTGCCCTCCCCACCCTGCTGCGCTTGCTCGGCTCCCTGAGCCGCCTGCCCGCCAGGCTGCTGGTCAAGGGCTTGGCCGCCATGCTGTGGCTGCAAAGAGTGCATGCGGTAGCTGGGCGCCAGGGGGAACACTGTTGCACCGCCCCTAGTCGGAGACCTGCACGCAGCAGCAGGTAACCACGGCTTGGCAGAAACAGTGTGAATTAGGCCTGCGCTTGCAGCGCAGCCAGGCTGAGCGCACCCCACCCATAGCTGCCTGCCGCACCTGAGGTAGAGGATGAAGGTGGCCAGCCGGTCGCCACAAGTCACACCGCCGCCGCCCGGCCCGCATTTGGGGCCGCCGCCGCGCCGGAGGAAGTCCTGGCAGCTCTGGGTGGAGGCAGCTGCGGGGGACTGCCAACGTGCAAGGGCGGCAGGGAAAGTGTCAGGAGGACAGATGTGCGCAGCGGCAGCCGTGCGCGCTGGCAGCTGCCGACCACGGCCAGCAGCGAGGCTCACCGAGGCGCAGTGGTCGGTGTGGGGGTCGTACTTCTGGCCTGCGCGGCACAGAAGCAGCACAGGCCGCCTGCTCTGCACAGGCTCACGTGCAAGCGCCCGCTTCTGACATGCGTGCCGCATGCGGCCAGCCGCGCAAGGAGCCAGGCGGCAGGCGGCGCTGCGCCGCCGCACCATCCGAGTACTGCAGCACGTAGATCGACTCCCCAAAGGCCTCTGGGATGCCCACCAGCCGGTGGATTCGGTTCTGAATCTCCAGCACCTGCGGTACCACAGCAGGCGCCGAGGCCTGGTGACCCTTCGCCTTCCTCGCCCGCGTGCCATTTTCCCCAGTGGTACAGGCCGAAACCTTGGGCCCACCTTGTCGTCCCTTTTCGCGCCGTTCAGCCAAGAGCCGTAGCTGGTGCGTGCCTCGTGCTGCTTGGACTCCTCCGCCACCACCTCTGACCGCGCAAACCCGCCTGCAGAGCGCGATGGGGGGCAGGGCAGGCAATGGCATCCCTGCTGCTGGCACCGGCAGGCAGGGCAGGGCATGGCATGGCATGGCAGGGCACGGCAAGGGTGGGCAAGCAACTGGCCCCAGGCCGCCCTCTCCAACCTGTGGCCTGGCGGATGAGGTGCTCCGTTTCGTCGGGCGTCAGGAAGTCTCGGATGAGCAGGACGCGGGGGGAGGACCAGGACACCACGGTGGCGTTGGGGTGCCTGGCGGCCCGGTCAAACACCTGGCGTGGGGGGCAGGGTGGGGGGGATTTTGGTGGCGCCAGTGTGCGTCCAAGTGGCGCGCGCAGTGCTGGCACAGCGGAGGCTGGCGGCACAACACCTGCCAGTGCACTGCCAAGCAACTTGCGCCCCTGGGCCTCAGCCTCATAAGCCGGTCATCACCCACCTCCCATGTCAAGTTCCAGCCGCCGCCCAGCTCGGCTTCACTCAGCTTGTCAGCCCAGGGCGACACGCGCGGCGGCTCCGCCAGCACGCTGGCCCCGGCCTGGACGGTTTGCTGCGGGGAGGGGCTGCTGGTGACATCCGGTGCTACTGCACTGTTGCCGCCAGTGCCAGCACCGCCACTGTCCCTGTCGCGAAGGAGGGCAGCGCCAGCGCTGCGCGCAGCAGCCTGGGCGGCGGCCTGGCGCAGGAGCCGGGTGGGCGCCATGCCCTGCACGCCTACAGCAGCGAGAAGCGCGGTGGCGGCCCCTTCATCATCAGATTTCCTGAGTTGGAGTGAGAAAGCCTCGGGCAGGCAGCAACACGGACCCACACGCACCAGCAGTGGCCTCCAGCAGCGCCGCCGCCTGGGCGGCTGTGCCGGCTTCTGGCAGGAGCGGGCCCTGGGCCTGCGGGCTGCCCCACTTCTCGAGCAGGGACAGGCGCATGGCAAGCACCAGGCCGATGGTGATCCAGGCCAGCAGGGCGCTGCGGCACATCGGGGGAGGCAGCTAGATAAAGAAGGCTGGCACAAAACGGGTCTGATTGTATGGATTCGGCAGGGCTTAGGCCCCGGCATCTCTCCAGCAATCACCCAAGCAGGCCGCACCTCACGGCGAGCGCTGGGCCGCAGTCTTGGAGCAGCCGCCAGTGCCGGTGTTGGTGGCGGCGGCCACCTATGCCACCAAGCAGGGGCTCAGGCATGCCTGCTCGCAGCTCGAAGCCTTGGGCAGACAGATGGCCAGCTTTCTGGGAACGGCTCAGCTGCTGATTGGTGGCGCACACGTTTTGTGAGTAGGCAGCAACCTTTGTCGCAGAGAGCCCAGGTCGTCACTTTGGATCCCTCTCTCTTGCGAGAGTAGTATGCTGGGATGCTAAGTTGGTGCAGGCTAGGGAGGTGGCGTGATTTCCATTCAAGGGCTGAGCTGGCTGGCGCTGCCCACCATCCCTGGGGCAATCATTCCTCCCTGCCACAACCCAAGGGCAGCTCTGCTTAGGCAAGCCCCAGGCACAGAAGTGGAGGGCAGGGGCGGCAGCCAAGCAGCCGGCGGCGGGAGGCGGGAGCTACCGCGCGCGCGTTGGGGGCGGGGCGGCGGCTCTGGGCCTTGCAGCTTGGTTGATGAGCCAGAAACCTGCTCCACCATGCCCAAGTCCTAGCGGGAGATGAGCGCTGAGGAGAGAGACGTGACACTTCGCGCGCGCCACGTGCCTGGGCGGCACCCTCACAAGCAAGCTGCCCTAGAGCTGAGCATCCACGGGACAATTGCCCAACATCGCTCAGGAATTGCGCGCAGCCTGCAGCTTTTTGGTCGAGCAGCAAATCGGGCTCGCCCCAATCGCTCCACCCTGCAGCAGCGTCATCGTGACTGGCTGTTGGTGCAAGGGCTTGACAAGGAGCTGCGATTTCGTGAGGAGCTGCCTGCCTGTGAACTTGCCTTCCTCAACTCTCCTTGCTTGTGCCCGCTTCCCCTCGCCCCTACTGGCTGCTGGATGTACAGTAATGAAGCCGCCGGGGGACGGCAGCCGGGGCAGGGTAGGGTTGAGGCCCACCCGCGGCACTGTGGCCGGCGGTGGCGGCGCTTGGCCAACCAGTGTGCCCGCCTCTCAGCCACTGTGTGCTGCGCAACTCCAAGCAGCGGCTGTTGCGCTGGACTGCCGTGTGCAGGTAGAGGCGAGCAGAAACCCCGTCCGAGACCGGTATGTCGACGCCGGCCAAGGCCACACGGCGCAGCTCACGGGCCGCCGCCGCCGCCGCCACTGACGCGTCCCCAGACGCCTCCCCCGTCTCCTCGCACCCCATCAGGGAGGAGCCGTCCCCCGGCGGCCCCCCCTCCGTCAAGAAGCAGAGCAAGAACGGCAGCAGCGGCGGCCCCAGCGGCAGCCCCACCGCCGTGGTGCTGCTGGCGGTGGTGCTGGTGGCGGGCGGCATCGCATACAACCGGCTGGTGCTGCAGCCGGCGGAAGAGGCTGCTAGCGCGGCGGGGGTGCCCGGGACGCACCGCAGCACGCTGGAGCAGGGCGCGGAGGCGCCGCCGCTGCCCGCCATGAGCGCCGAGGAGGTAGCCGTGTTTGAGCGGGTGGGTGTGTGGGCTGGCGGGCTGGGGGGCGCGTCCCGCGGCTGCGGTCCGAGGTCTGCCTGGCTGGCTGCCCCTGCTGGTGGCCCACACGTGCCTGGAGGCAGCCTGCCGTGGCACACGCGGGAGGCTCCCGGCCCAAGCGAGGCGCTGCCGGTGCAGGCCGCGGAGGAGCACTATGGGCTGCCGCCGGGCTACCAGACGCCCGAGTTTGTGCCAGAGCAGGACCCGCCGCCCTCCAACTACGAGGAGGTGCGCTGGCCTGGCAGCGGCGCGGCCTGGCTGGCGGCGCTGGCAGCGCCGCATGTGCGCCGCCCGCCTGTGTGCCTCCCGACGCCTGCCCCTGCTGCCCCTGCGGCCGCAGGAGTTTTTGGAGGATGTGGCCCCCGACCCGGATGCCGAGGACCAGGAGGCGGGGCCGGAAGGGGAGGTGCCGGAAGGGGAGGAGGGGGCTGGCGAGCGGCCGACGAGCCACGCGGCCGAGGAGGCGGCAGCGGCAGCTGCTGCCGCATTTGACCCCGAGGTGCACCGCGCCTACCTGGAGCTGCCTGCCTGGCCCGAGGCCGACGAGGACACGCTGACGGTGAGCGGGCGCAGCTGGCGGCGGCCGGCGCGCGTGCAGCAGGGGGAGGAGCCTGCGGGCGGGGCTGCAGGCGCCTGCAGCAGGCCGGGCTGCTCGCCATGCCTGCGCCCTGCTCCATTGCGGCCCCGCGGCCTGCCGACCTCGTTTTTGCTGTGCCGCGCCCTTGGCGCACATGCTGGCGCCCGCCTGCCGCCTCCACCTCCGCCACCCGCCTGTGTGTGTGCAGGGAGGGTGGGAGTTCAACCCCAAGGTCTACAACTACGCCGCCAGCCTGCCCATGACCCAGGTCCTCAGCTGGGAGGGGCCACGCCTGGTGAGCCCCGCCTGCTCGCCTTGCGTCCAGCTGGGCAGGCGCCCGCGCCTGGGCTCCCCGCCCACCACCTCGACACGCGCAGCTGCGCTGGCGGACGGAAGGAGCCTGCCTGCCTGCCTGCCTGCCGCCTGCCGCCGTCCTGCCATCCCAGCCCACCCCATGCGGCGTGCCCTGCCAAATCACAGCTTGCTGCTTGCGCGCCAGCTGGCCTCGCCCCGCCCCTGTGCCAACCCTAGTCGCACCCCCGTCGCCCCCCTCGCCCCCCTCTCCCCCCCAGGTGCTGCTGCCCTCCTTCCTGTCCCCCGAGGAGGTGCGCCACATGATCAAGGTCAGCAAGGACAACCTGGAGCGGTCCGAGGTGCTGGTGGAGGAGGGGGAGGACACGCAGTCCAACATACGCACCTCCTTTGGCTTCTGGCCAGACTCGGACGAGGTCACAGACCGCATCACGGTGCGGCTGGTGGGGGGTGGCAGGGAAGGGAGGGGCGGCTGGCAGCTGGTGGTGGAGGGCGGTGGGCTGGCATCCTGCTGCTGGCATGCGGTGCAGCTGCTGGGAGAGCTTCTGGGAGAAGGCACCCCAGCCCATGCCGTGCGCTGAGCAGCAGCTGCCTGCCTGGCGGTGCAGGAGCGCATCCACCGCACCATCGGCGTGCCGCAGGAGTTTGGGGAGGGGCTGTATGGTGCGTGGAGCCCGCTGCGCCGCCTTTTTTTCGTGTGCTGCATGCTGCGCATGAGCAGGCAGGCAGCAGGCAGGCAGGGTGGGCAGCTGTGCCCGCCACCTCCCCGCCCACCACCACCAGCGCTCCTGCATGTGCCTGCCCCTGTGCCTGTGCAGTGCTCAACTACCAAGTGGACCAGAAGTATGAGGCGTGAGTGCCTTGCCCGCTGCCTGATGCCGGCCCCACACACACACGTTGCTGCCTCATGCCACTGGCCAGCCCGCATGCACATCTGCCCTGCCCCTGTCCCACCCTTACCACTGCCCCTGCCTCACCCCCCGCCCACCTGCTGCCCGCAGGCACAACGACCACTGCATGGACGGGTATGGCGACAACGTAGCCGAGCCCGCCTGCCTCGACTTCCTCAAGCGCGCCGGCGGGCCCGAGTGCGGCCCCGGCAAGGGCGGCCCCACGTGCGGCGACCGAGTGGCCACCTTCATCCTCTGTAAGCCTCCCCCTGCTGCCCAGCCGCCACGCCTGCCTGCCTGCCAGTCGGCCAACCCCAGTTGCTGTGCTGCCGTGGATCTCCTCCAGCCTTCCTTCACACAGCCGCTCCAGGCATATGTCAGGCCGACTCCTTCCCTGCCCCTCACCGCCCACCACCCGCCACACGCCGCTGCAGACCTGAAGAGCCCCACCCGCGGCGGCCAGACCGCCTTCCCCGAGGCCGACATCACCAAGCAGGCCATGGGCAGCGAGCACCGCAGCGGCAACTCGCCCGACGAGTGGTACTGCGGGGACAGCCGCGTGCTGGCGGCCGCGCCGCCGGCAGGCACCGGCGTGCTGTTCTGGTGAGGCGGGCGGGCGGGCCCTCCCTTGCCCGAGGCCTGTGCCTGACAGATGTGGGGGAGCGCTCCCGTCATGCCTTCCCCACCAGGCGTCTGTTTCCGGGTGCACCCTATGGCTGCTGGCCCACAACGCGCCCCTCCCCTCCCATCGCAGGGACTACCGCCCCAGCAACGGCACCGGCACCGGCTCCTTCCTGGATGGCAGCGCCCACCCCGCGGCCGAGACTGTGTACGCTGCCATGCACTCGGGGTGCCCTGTGGAGGATGGCGAGAAGTACATAGCGACTCGCTGGATCAGAGCGGCTGGGTTTGATTACCATCTGAGGTCCTGAGGGTGTGTGTGATTCCCAGGTTTGCATGATTCACTTGAACCACCGATCCGCCGCCGCCAGCGGGGGCGAGGCGGCGGCGCGCTGTAAGCCATGTACGATGAAAGTGCTTCAGGGCCTGCAATTGTCACAGGGCTGCAATTGTCACAATCGGTTGCGAGGCGGCATTCCAGAAGGACCCCGCGGTGGCGAATTCGCGGGCGCGGGCGCCTTGCGGGAGCACAGCACGCAGCACAACCGCCAATGTGGGAGGTTTCACAAGTGCGAAATGTTTTTTGCTTACCGCTCAGATATCGGCCTGGTATGTTGAGATGCAGTCCCGTTTGCAGACCACTCCCTACACTGGGCAGGTGGTACAGAGGTAGGGCCGCCGAGTTCACTCGGAGCTATATTTGGCAAAGGACTCGCTCGCCAGAGCATCGAAATTTCTAACTAAACATCACCTGTCTCGGCTGTGCAGGAGCCCAGCAACCAGGGTGCCCTGGCGCCGGCGGCAGGCGGTAGTCGCCTCTCCCGCTCCTTTGGACACCACCTGTTCCCCCAATGACACCACGTGAGCAACTTGTTCTGGCCAATGCATTGTGTACGAGCAGTCATGAGGCTTGTGGGAATGTTCTTCTTCGTGCATTTGGCATGCGTCCTGCATGACACGGCAACCCCAACTCCACACACATGGCTCAGCTGCTCTCCTGCTCAGCAGGCAAGTGGGATCACAAAACAGCAGCCGGAAAAGGCCTACCGTGCCTCTCAGAGGTACACGGCATCTGCAGAGGTGCGGGGCACACGGCGCTCTGGCTGACAAGTGCTCAAGCCAGGAGTGGGCTGCCCCAACTGCATTCGCTGGCAGCGACGCGACTGCGACTCTTAGCCCCCACTGGTGCCCGCGTCTGCATGTTGCAGGAGGCTGCGCCTTTCAGACTTGGGCACCGCGGAGCAGCTGATGCAGGCACTTAACTCGGGCATTGCCAAGTATGAATCTGACAGCAACAGCATCCCCGGTGGGAGAAGCTCCACACATAGCCGTAGCAAGCAGCGCATCGCTCCTCGCCAGGCGCCCTCACTGCCTCGACCGTGATCACCGCTGCCGGCAGCCTGCCGCTGCTGCCTTGTGACCACTGCTCCTCCTCCCTGCTTCTGCCGCGCCGTTCGGGCAAGACCCCAGCCTTAGCAATGCTCATGCCTGCCATGCACCAGGTGGAAGGAGTTGGGCGACGACGACCGCCGTGCCTACCTGGTGGCGGTGCGGGACCACTACGGGCGAGTTCCCCTGCCTTGCTGCTGCCTGCCTGGCGCTGGCAATGCATCTGCCTGCCTCCCAACACGCGCGCCATCCACACCGGCATGCGTGCGGTGCAGGGAGGGCGTGCTGTGCGAGCGGGTGCTGCGCAGCGGGCGCAAGGTGGTGGCGCTGCTGGACCCGCGTATGGCGCCGCGCTGGGAGGCGCATGCCTGGAGGGACGAGCGCCGCGGCGGCGGCGGGCTGTACGCAGAGGCGGCGGGGCTGCAGGGCGGGCGCGCCCACCTGGCGGAGTGGACTGGGCGGGAGTGTGTGCTGGGCGGCAGCGCCGCCATGAGCGTCAAGGCGTGGCAGCACAAGGATGGCTGCCCGGCCAACTGCCTGCCTCGCAACCTGGAGCTGGAGCTTGTGGCGGGCGGCCGAGACGAGGCGGCGATGCTGAGGATGGCCCAGATCAGCGCCCGCGGCGCGCTGCAGCACCTGTACAGCGTCATGGGGCCGCGCCAGGGGCGGCGCTACCTGGCGGCGCTGCACAGCGAGTACTGTGGGGCGCCACACAGCTGAGCCCCAGCCCCGTGACCAGGTACTTGTTCCGCTCGTTGATGCACTGAGTTTTGAGCTGCACGTCCATTGATTCCATCCACAAGAGCATACCATTAATCATTGATTTCTCGCAGCTATCATGCTGATTCATTTCCCCCTTCTATCCGCTGTACATGCCATGCCATGCCACCTATCCGCTTGTATTCATTGCGCCCAACGGCTCACAGAATGCCGAAGAAGGGGTTGTTGAGCGCGGAATTCAGCTGCTCTCCTGCCACCTCCAGCACTGCACGGTCCACCTGCGCTCCAGGGCAACAGGGTGCGCCTCACACGAGACCAGGAGGAAGGGTCCCCGCCAACCGCCTCCGCCTCCCACTCACGCGCTCTCGCAACACTGTCCCCGACATGCCCCGCTGCCCTGCTGTTGTTGGTGAAGTTCCCTGCCACCCACCTTGTCTGCCGGCATCTCCAGGTTCTCCCCGCCTGCATCCCGCTGGAAGCCAGCCAGGTGTAGGAAGTCGACGGCGCCGGTGAAAGCTGCGACGCGCTGCTGGATGGCGGGATTGGTCAGCCGCACGCGGCGGAACTTGTCCTCGCCTGCGGGCGGGGCGCGCAGGGCGGGGCGCAGGGGGGCCAGGCTGGGGTGTGGCAGATGCAGGCGGAGACAGGCAGGCAAGGGGCAATGGGGAAGCCTAGGGAAGCCTCAGCTTGGGATCACAGCAGCACCACCGCCGACCACCACCTGGGTTGGCGTAGATGTTGCCGCACATCTTGAGCAGCGTCTGCCAGCACGTCTTGAGCGCATCGTCCTGCCCGGGGTGCGCCTTCTTCATGTCCACAAGCAGCGTGCGCATCTTCTCGCCCACTGCGGGCCAGGCAGGCGGGCACGGGGCGCGACACGGTGGGCCCTTGATGCTACGTCCCCCTCTGCCCCTCTTCATGCGCTCGTGCCCCTCACACCCACAGCGGCCCAGCCACACCTTCCACTGGCTTGATGGGTAGCCGCCGCCGCTTCTCCTCCTCCACCTTGGCCTGCAGGTGGGGGTGGGTGGGCGGGGAAGGGCCGTCAACAGCCTGGGACTGTGCCACCATGCTGTCCTCCTTCGCATGCCCTACGCGACACTGCCAGCTTGCGCCAGTCTCCCACCGCTCCTGCTGACACCGCAACTGGCTGTCTGGCCGCCTCACCTGCACCTTGCGCCGCTCCTCCTCCCTCTCCTCCTCAGTCAGCTCCTCGGGCAGCCCCAGCCGCCGCCGCCGCTCCCGCCGGTCCTCCTCTGCACCTCGCCGCCGCCCGGGGCGTGCGCACGTCGGGGCGACACCTTGGGCACGCAATCCCGCAACCCCTGCACCCAGCCCCAGCAGCAGCACGCCGCGCTGCTGCCAGCTGCCCCCAGCCTGTGCTTCTGCACGAGCGCTGCGTCGCCAGCTGCGCTCACCCAGCTTAGCCTTGATCTTGGCACGAGCCCGCTCCTCCTCCTCCTTCTCCCGCTGCCGCGCCTCCACCATGCGCTTCAGCCGCAGCTCCTCCTCCTGGCGGGCAGCCAGCGCCAGCTCCTTGCCCGCCCTGCACCCCAGGCCGTCCAGCCAGGCACCAGGAGGCAGAGGCTGAGAGGCCAGGCAGTGCATGCAGGAGCCAGCAACCGGGGCGCAGCAAGCCAGGGAGGAGCGGGGCGCAGGCGCCAGGGAGCAGTGCCACATCGCTGCCCACCTGATGCGCTCCTGCTCCCGCAGCCGCTCCGTCTCCCTCTCCTCCCGCTCCCGCCGCTCTCGCACCCTGCACCAGAGACGCCACGCATGAGCAGTGCGCTGGCCTGCACAGCTGCACAGGGCGCCCAGCCCACCGCCAACAACCAAGCAACTACAATCGGCTGCTGCATCTGCCCGCCCGCCGTCGCCCGCCTCACTTGCGGACCAGCTCCGCCGCCTGCGCCTTGGCCTCCTCCGGCGACAGCTTCTTCTTGGGCTGGCTCTGCACGGCAGGGCGCGGCAGGGGCACAGCACAGCACCGGCATGCGGTTGTCACCCAGATGGCCTCAGGTCACACGTGCAGACCTGTTGCGGCAAGCATAGGCAATCTGATGACGTCGGGTGCCACGACTGGAGGCGGCCTGGCTTGCGCCCCACCCCACGGGGCCCCCATGCCACCCACCTTTGGTACCAGCAGCGGCTCATCCAGGTCTGCGTCTCCCTGGTGCTCCTCCAGCCAACCCACCGCAGCCTCCAGGTTCTCGCCGCCGCTGTGGTACAGCGCCCTCGTGGCGCGCGCCGCCGGGAAGCCCTGCGCAGCGATGGATGTGCGGGCTGGTGGGGCCCTGGCTGCAAAGGTCGGGCTGCACCCGACATCCATGGCACAGCTGCAAGGCAGGCCGCCGCGTGCCCCACATGCCCCACCCACCATCTCCTCCATCTGCTTCAGCAGGTCCGCATTCACTTCTGCCGGCACCAGCTCCTCCGCTTGGCTGCCACCCCCCGCCGGCTGACCGCTGCCGCCCGCCTCCTCTGCCGCAGCGGCCTTCATCTGCGCCTCGGTGTCCACCGCCGCCGCCTCATCCGTCTGCAGCCAACGCGGGCAGGAAGGCACCGCATGTGTTGCCTGCCCATCTTCCAGAAGGTGCAACCACGTAACTTTTGGTTGATCAGAGGGCACGGTGCCTCCCCGGCTGACAGTATTCCCTGGCCGCCCACCTTGTCATCGAACTCTGCATGCCCCGTTCGCTTGCTGTGCAGGTCCCACTCGTTAGAGGAGCGACATGCCTTGCCGCACTCCCGGCACACCAGCCGCTTCACCTGCGCAGCAAACCGAGGGCGGGGCTGAGCGGCGGTGCCCGGTGCCGGCGCGCCGAGGTGGCAGCGCTCGACTTACCGCCTCGGTGGACTCGGAGAATGCGGCGTGCCCCGTTGCATCCCCGTGGGCCTGCGCCTCGGCCACAGACCGCAGTGCAACGCCGCATATGTCACACTTCAAGCTCAAGGCTGCCATGACGGCGAGCTTGTTCTGGAGCCTGGCTGTGATCAAGAAGCAAAGCAGCAACCCGAGCGATTGACAACCAAGTGATCAGCGTGATAACGGGCGCTGTACTGCTGCCACCCACTCTCCCGCCTGCCCGTCCTGCCCGTCCTGCTTGCTGATTTTGTGATGGGCAACCTGTGCTGCTGGTTCATTCTACAGCTATGTATATCTCACAGTTACTGACTGGGGTACATGCAAGCATGAATGGCGTAGCGGTTCATCGCAACCCGTCAGCCACCGCCGGCCCGGCATCCTCCATGTCGGCATCCCCGCCATCTTCCACAGCCGCCGCCGCCGCCTTCTTGCCACCGCCGTTGCTTTGCTGCTCCAGATGTCGCTCGAAGGGCAGCAGGAAGCGGCGGTACCACTGCTGGACCAGGTAGCCTGCACGCCAAATCAACAGAGGCACCGAGGCGGGGAGTGAGAGAGGACCAGCCAGCTTACCGCCCCGACTCTGAGAAGCACTGGCACAACATCAGCCAGGCGCAGTCGCCACATGGCCACGCCTGCCCGTGCTGCACGTACTGGCTCCCCACCTCCCCAGGGCACCCACCCGCGTTTGTGATGCGCTTCAGGTCAGCACCCAGCTTCTGCGCCACGGCGGGCCACCCGCCCGCGGCGCCCAGCGCATCAAAGCCGCCCTGGTCCAGGTAGGCCAGCCTCCAGAGCCGCCGCAGGTCGCACTCTATGCCGCCCATCCTGGGACCGCCCCGCGCCAGGCCCAGCTCCTCCCAGGGGATGGGCTGCTGGCTGCTGGCCGCCGCCCTGATGCCCACCCGGGCCTCTCCGCCGGTGCCCAGGCGCGGCTCCAGGTACCGCTGAAGCACCGCCACTATCTCTGCCTCGCTCAGCTGCTGGGAGGGCCGCGGCGGCGCTGCCGCCTGCTGCTGCTGCTGCTGCTGCTGCTGCTGCTGCGCTGCCGCCTGCACTGCGTCCTGCTGCGCCGCCTCTGGCTCCTTGGGCGCCTGCCCTGTGATGTAGGCTATCCGGTTGGGCGGGACGCCTGCGGGGTGTAGGACGGATACGGGGGGTGGGCCGGCACTCAGCAAGCGCTCCAACCCAGTGACTGCCAGCGTGCCCAGATGGCATGCCAGCCTGCCCTGTCCATCCCTATCCCACTGCACCCTAACCCAGTGGCACCATGCGGCGCATCAGACCTGGCGGGTCGGGCAGCAGCCCCACAAACATGTCCCGCGTCTGCGTGGCAGCCGCCTCTGCGCTCAGCTGCGCCATGCTCATCTCCCGCAGGTCAATGTCCTTGAGCGCTGCCGGCGGCGGCACAGACGGTGGCGGCATGGTGGCGGGCGGCATCCCAGCCGTGGGATCTCCGGGGCGGTAGCCAATGAACCTGCACACGCAGCGCCATGCAATCGTTGAGCAGCTGCTACCCACCAAGCACCCACCAAGCGGCCAGGCGGCCCAAAGCGTGCTGGTGCATCCCAGCTCAGCATGGCATACATAGGTGCATGTGACGCAGCCCTTCCACCAGCTCACACGCTGTCCAGGTGCCGCTGCATGGCCTCCATCCTGATGTCGCCGCCCCCGAGCGGCGCCGACATGGCTACTGCAAGCTGCACCCTCCTTCTTTGCTAAATCCCTGTGCACAGGTGATTGCTGACCCTCACTTCAGTTCTCTGCACAGCAGGGCAGCAGGCGGCTTCACTCTGTGGCCTCAAAGGGCAAACCGCGCACGGCAGGCGTGCCGCTACAGGCACTGGGTTGCTCCCTCTGTTGCAGGCGGCATATATGGCGCCGCGCCCTCTCACCCAGGTACCCAGCCTCCTCCGCCTCTCCTGCAGCACAGGCAGCCCAGACAAGGCAGTGCAGCAGTCGGGCGCGATGCAAGCGTGGCCAAGAAGGGGTCCAAGGCAGGGGCAGGGCGGCCTGAGACGAACCGTGTCTATCAAGGAGCAGGGTTGAAGAAGGAGGAGGAGCAAGCCTCCACGGAAGTCCAGCTCACCAGCCACGAGCACAACAGGCAGCTCACCTTGCATCGTGGGTGTAAGTTAGATGCGTGCGGTATACAGTGAGGATGGCGGTGATCCAGGCACCACCATAGGGGAGCAGGGCAGGCCTGGCGTCTCGTCGATTGAGGTTTACGGCTTCGTGGGCTGGATCACGTCCTCGGTGGCCTATGGTGAGCCTATTGCAGGGCAGGGGGCAATCGGGCTTGCCTCGCCCTGCACCCACCGGCGGCCGGTTCCCGCCCGCCCGCCGCCTCCTCACGCCCTGCACAACCCTGCACCCCTTTGATGCAGTGCTGTACATGCTGTGGGCCTACACCCCCAGCTCCATGTTGGAGGCTCACGGCGTGGCCTACTACCCCAGCAAGTACTGGGCAGTGGCGCTGCCCGCCTGGGCCTGCGTCACTGTCGTGTTTGTGTTTTGGCTGTACGAGAGGTGCGTGGGTCCCCCGCCAGGCTCAAAGCTGGGTGGCAGGACGCAGGCATGTGCCTGGTGAGGCACTGTGTTCCGTGTCCCATAGTGCCTCGCACGCTGCCCCCACTCCTGCAGCCTGTGCATGGCGGCCGTGCCGCCACCTGGCGCCGCCTCCTCCCTGCGAGACTCTTCCACCAAGCGCAAGGAGGATGTGGGCGTGCCCAGCTACTTCAGCGCCGCGGCTGCAAGCATACCGCCGCTGATGGACATCCCCCAGGAGCTGGTCAGCATGGTGCTGCACGGCGGCATGGCGCCGGGAGGTGAGCGCACCAGGGTGCCATCATCTGCCCTACTCAGCCTGTGCAGGCCTGCGATGCGGCGCGTGTCGTATTCACGCGTGGCCCAAATTTAGGTGTTGGAGTGCACTACCTAACATGGCCTATGGTCATGCTGCGGTGCAGAAGCGGAGGAGCTGTACGATCGGGGGAGGCGAAGAAGTTGCTAAACTGTGCATTAACACGAGAATCACCAGCTAGGAGCAGGGTGAACTTAATAACAGGAGAACAAGAGGACAAGCTGCTGTCTGGGTCACCCCGTCCTGCTGTCTGGCGACGGCACTGGGGTGGACAGCGAGGGTTCGATGGTTGCAGCGCTGGCCTCCTGCTTCTGCTCCTCCCGCTCCTCCTGCAGCAGCCTGCATGCAGCGGGGGGCGGGGCACGCGGCAGGTGGCTGTCAAGGGGCAGATAATGAAACGCAAGTGCTGCACCTGGAATGCAATCCATGCAGCGTGGGCAAAAGGATTGTGGCTGCAGGGCGCCGAGTCCCTGGAGGCGGGCTACCTCCGCAAGATGCCCACACCAGGCCCCATGGCCGCAGCAAGCCCCTGCCTGTCCAGCTCGCGCTGCTTGGCCTCCACGATAGCCGCCACTGCTGCCTCCCTGCTGCGCCGATCCTTGGCCAGCTGGCTGAGCCGCATCTTGAGGGCTGCGGTGCGCAGCTTCTGCGCATCAGCCACAGCCGCCTGCGGTGGTGCCCAGGGGGGGACAGGCTGGGGTGCGAATCAGCCAGGAGTGGTGGTGACGCAAGCTGCATAAAATGTGCCACAGAGGTGGCGCTAGGCACATCAGGCATGCGAGATGCTGTGATGGAAGGACCTCCTCACACGCACATGCTTGCTCAGCAGGGCCAGGTAGTCGCTTGCCGTGGCTGACAGCACCTCGATGTCGTTGAAGAAGGCGCCGCAGGCGGCCTTGTGGCTGGCTGCCACCTCCTGTGCCTGCGCCTGCACCGTCTCCACGGCCTCCATCCGTGCAGGGCTGCAGGTCAGGCGGGGGTGGGGTGGCAGCAGGGCGCCGTCTAAGAAGCTGCGCCCAGGGCGCCGGGCGATGGCGGCGGGGAGCACGGGAGTCCTTGCTCGCCTGCTGGGATTCCGAGCCAATTGTTCTGCTAATGTTCGTTGTTGGCGCGGCCCGTTCAGGCGAGAATTGAGCGGGGGAGTTTTGACCAGTGCAAAGGTGTCACAGGTTGCGGCACAGCTGGCACGGGCCACAAGCGTCAGCACATTGGCTTGCCAAGTGGTGGGAGGGCCTCGGGAAAGGCGTAGGGAGGGAGTGCCTCTTGGCTGCTGGGTTGTACTGCCTCGCCACGAGGGCGATGGTTGCGGGCTTGATGCGAGGCTCCTGGGCCGTGCCACACACTCGGCAATTGTGCAGGACGCTGAAACAGCTGTGGCAGCTGGTGGCGATCCCGATCGCTCCCGCGTTCAGGTCCATGTTTGGATTCAGCCCTCTCCAAGATCACAAGCAGCAGCAGCACTATGGAAGTCAGTTCGAGTGAGCATCTAACCTGAGTTTGGGCAGCCGGCCGAGTCGGCCTCCTTGCGCGCTGCCTTGGTGCTCACGCGCTCTGTATTTTTCACGTCATGCTGCTGCTGTTGTGCTGCTGCCGCCGCTGCGCTGCTGGCCCTCCTCTGCCCGCTCGCTTCCCAGTGCCGCCCTCGCCGCCGCCGCCCTCGCAGCCGCGCACAGCAAGTCAACGAGCTGCTAGTCGCCCAGCCGCTGTGCAGAGCCATCAACCCTGACAGGTAGGGGCTTCTTCTGTGCAGCCACGTCGTCACTTCCGCGTTTTGCGGGCTGCAAGCCGCCGCAAATGGCTTTGTGCCAGCGGTGCTGGGCACCACGGTATCGGGCACCCGGCCATGACCAGCGGCACCCAGCCAAGGGCCACCACCACCCGGTGCCTGCCGTGCAGGTCGCTGCTGGAGGTGGGGGTGCGACTGACGGATGGCACTCTAACCTCGCTGCGCATCAGCCTGCCGCCGGCCTTCCCTGGCGACCGCCCCGCGCTCTCCATCACCTCCCCCGTTCGCCACCCTTGGGTCGACAGCATCGGCCGCCTCTCCTTCCCGCTGCTCGACCGCTGGGGCGCGCCCAGCGTCCGCCTGGCGGCGGTGGTTGCAGACGCATTCAAGGGGCTGGGCGGCGCCCCCGCGCCGCTGCCCTCGCACGGGCAGGCGCCCGCAGCAGGCGCCGCGGGGCGGCCGCAGCAGCAGCAGGCAGGGGCGGCGCCCCCGCCGTCCTTGCAGCAGCACGCAGCGGGTACTAGCAGCGAGGCGGGCGGCAGCGCGGTGGGGCACCTGCCGGCAGCGCCAGCCATCCCCACCACTTTCCCCGAGGTGGAGGGCATGAGCACGGAGCAGCTGAGCCACGCGCTGGCGGATGGCGCCACCTACAAGCGGCTGGTGGACCAGATTGCGCATCGCCTGGGCCTCTTCCAGGTGGGCGCCACGCATGCTGCCGCCGCCACCTGCCCCAGCCTCCGCCAGCACACTGTGCTGACCCGCGTGCTGCCCCCGCTGCGTCGCCTGCTGCAGGGAGTGGAGAAGCTCAAGGCGGCCACCCTGGACCTTGCGGCGGCCAACCTAGCTTCGGGTGAGGAGCAGGGCGACAAGCGCAACCAGATGGCCATCATCCGCTCCTCAGAGTATGCGCCCGCCAAGGCGGCCTTTGACGACAAGTGGGCGCGGCAGCAGGCGGTGCTGTCCAAGCTGTCCCCGGATGTGCTGATGCGCAGGTGCGCGTGTGTGGTGGTGGTGGTGTGTGTGGGTTGGGGTGGTGGTTGGTGGCGGCGGCGGTGGTTGGAGGCGGTGAGGTTGCCGCCTGGTGGTGCCGCTGGGTGGGCTGTGACCCCAAGTGCAAAGCAGTGCCGCCGCCTCCTGCCCTGTTCCCCCACTGCCGCCGCTGCAGGCTGCAGGAGGGCGTGAAGATGGCGGAGGAGGAGGGGGAGCGGCTGGTGCAGCAGCTGGGCGCTGGGGAGGTGGTGGTGGATGTGTTTGTGGAGCGGTACACCAAGGCGCAGGCCACATACCACCAGCGTGACCTCAAGCTGCAGGCGGGGCAGCAAACGCTCCCGCAGCTAGGGGGCTGAGGCCGCCAGCTGGGGCCGGCAGCGGCCTGTGAGCCTCGGCGTCCGCATGGCTGATTGTCTGTTGAGACAAATGAAATGTAGGGGCTGGGGCATCTCTGCCGCCACAGCACATGTAAATCAGTGCGCAGAAGGAGCATTCATTCCGAGGGGTTCAGGCTGAGGTGTGGATTCATCAAGGTTTGGATCAAGCAATGTGCTGAGGGCCACCATTGTTCGGGTGGCTGCGTGCTCAGTTGCCGACGCCCGTGCCTTCGGTGGGGTAGCCCCGATACCGCCAGGTGGACAGGCCGCCCTGCAGGTGCACCACATTGGTGTACCCCGCAGTCATCAGCTCGTAGCACGCCTTCAGGCTGCGCGTCTCCCGCCCAAACGACCGGTCCGGGTCGCTGGCCTGCTTGCCGGTGCTGGCCACGCGCACAACGGTGTCCAGCGTGCCGCCCACCGCGCAGGCGACGATGACTGCGGCGCACGGGTGGGGTGGGAGGGCAGGGAGATGAGCAGCAGCGTCACGGCTGCAACTGGGATGAGGGATTGCATCACGGCCCTGCCTGCCTCCCATGTGCGCGCCCAGACAGGCATGCAGCCACCCCCCTGCCTCACTCGTCTTGCGCTTGTTCTTGCCCACCACCCGCTCAAAGTTGGCCAGAAAGTCGGGGTCCCGCTCGGTGGCCTTCATCACCAGCGATCCCATCACAAACTGCAGGGGGACGAGCCTGGTGAGTGGGCAGGCGGGGCGGCGTGCAGAGGAACTGCTGCGGGGTGCCCCAGGCTCGACGTTTGGTCAGAGGCCAGCAGCCCACCCACCTTCTTGACTTTGTCCCACCCTGTGTTGCCCGCCGTCTCCCGGAACATGGGCACCGACAGGGCGCCCTCGATGTGCTCAATCTGTGGGGAGCAAGCAGCATGATGGGTGGGTGGAGTGGAACGCACGGCCTGCCTGCCTGCCTGCTGCATGCATGCATGCATGGTGGGGGCTGTGCGCAGCTTGCCATGCCCCCCGCGCCCACCCAACTAGCCCCTCACGAACAACCCACACCCACCGCCGTCACCGCCGCCCCACACCTCACCTTGTAGTCAGCGGCCAAGCGCACATCCACAATCACTGCTCCCTTGCGGCACAGCGCCAGCGCCGCCTCCTCATCCACCTGCTTCAGCCCCTTCTGGTTCAGGTACGTCCACATCACCGGCCACACCGTGTAGGCAGTGCCGCTGCGGGGCGGGGAGAGGCAGCGGGGGCAGGGCGGCTTGTGCTGAGCAAGCTCAAAGAGCTGGCCCCCGTATGGCAGAGCGGTGCAAACGCTTGGAGGCACAACAGGTGTGCCGCACCTGAGGGGAGTGACGGTGGTCATCGATTGGCCTGCAAATCGGTCATCGCGCACCCAACGCTGCAGAAGCAGAGGCAGGAGGGGCTGGAGCAGTGCTGCTGCAGCTAGAGTTGGTATGCGTGTCTGCCGACAAGCCGCCATGCGCGCAGCACAACACATGGAGCCTGACCTGCATGGCTCCATCAAACTTGAAACCTGGCACTGCTGCCGCCTCCTTGCTCTTGGGACCTGCCCGCACGGGCTGGGCTGCTCGCTGCCGCCGGGCTGCAAGGCTGGAGCGGACGCCAGCCGCTTGCTGCCGCCGAGCTGCAAGGCAGGGGCGGGCGCCAGCACCAATGGCTGGGCGGGCCTGGGGTCCAGATGCAAGGTGCTGCATGATCTCAATCTGCGCTCAATTGGACAGCTTGCAGCCGTGTCTGCTGCAGGACGAGGAGCCCTGTGTTGTGGGTGGTGAGTGTAGGTCTGTGGTGCCTCTGGGCCGCCAGTCAATGGCCAAACTGGTCTGTGCCTGCAGATCTCCAATTGTGGGATCATTTGGGCCAGCCTTGCGCGGTGCAGTACAATGTGCACTTCCGACCGCTGGAGCGCCGGCCAGGAGTCCTCTCGCAACCATCGCGCACTAACTTATATTGGAGTGGCTGCTCCTTGCAGCCCGCCCCAGCTTACATTAAACGAAGTGCCTAACGTCGACCGGCGGGGAGCTAACGAGGCTGCTGGTGGAACGCTGGTGGACGATCCGGCATGCTGACACATTTTCGAGGGTTGCAGGCTCCCCGGCAGGCGGTGGCAGCGCCACGGCGGAGAGCGGCCGTGCCAACCCGCCCGGCGGGTGTGGTCTGCAGCCAGCAGGGCGCTGCGCAGCCCCGGCGGCAGCAGCGGCAGGGTGATGACAGCTTGATGCTGCTGGCACTCAAGACAGCGATGCTGGCGACCGCCGCCAACGCAGCGGTGGCCTGTCTACCGCCAGCAGCAGCGGCGGCTGCGTGGCGGCCGCGCCGGCACGTCGACAACCGCCTGCAGCAGAAGTACCGGAGCGTGGAGAGCGCTGCCCAGGTACGGGCTGGGTCCTCACGAGTTGTTGCATGCATTTATCATGTAGGGATGGGATGGGTTCGCTCGCTTCAAGCTGCATGTCTGCCGACCACACAAGCTGAGCCCTTGCCCACAAGCAGGCGGCTGCACGCAAGGCGGCAGCCAAGGCGGCGCAGATAGCGCAGCAGGCGCAGCAGGCGCAGCCCCCGGCGGGCGCAGGCGAGGTGCAGCGCTGGATGGACTCGGCGCAGCGCAGCGCGCAGCGCTGGTGGGAGGGTCAGCCCGCGGTGAGCTTAGCTTACAACAAGAGCTCGTGTGCTGTGCTGTGTGCCTGTCGCAACGTGGATAGCCCAGCCACATCCCTCACACCACGTCCCCTGCCTCACACCCCTGCCTGCCGCAGTACTCTGTTGGCGTGTCCAACCGACAGCAGGCCTACAGCAGCGGCGCCCCGCCCTCACCCTCCGCCTTTGGCTGGGTGCCGCTGGCGCTGGCGGCCAGCGTCGCCTTCATCCTCATGTTTGGCCGCCGCATCCGGCTGCCCTGGGGCGGCGGGCGCCGCGGCGCGGGCGGCCGCTGGGTGATGGACCGCTCGCTGGGTGGAAAGATGATCTTCATTCCTGATGCAGACCCCACGCCCGCCAGCGCCGCCGCAGCCAAGCAGCCGCGGCCGCTGTGGGGAGACGACGCGGCAGGCAGCGGCGCTGCCGCTGCGGCGACGGCGGCAGCGGATGCGGGGCCGTGGGGCGCTGCGCCGCCGGCGCCGGCGGCCGTGCCAGCGGAGCCGGACTGGTGGCAGCAGGCGCCCCGCTTCCTGGTCTATGCCACCGCTGAGCGCAAGCAGGAGCTGCAGCGGCAGGCGCGGGCGGTGCTGCGGCAGCTGGAGGACGCCAAGCTGCTGCAGGTGGGGGCCGGGGCGCATCTTGCTTGTGCAGGCATTTCATTGGCAGGGCCTGGAGTACCCGCTCTACTCATCCAGCTGGCTGCTCACCTGCTGGCTGCTGCGCCCTCCCCATCCAGGGCCTGGACTATCCGCTGAGCGGCCTAGTCAGCCTGCGCACGCTGTGCCAGGAGGCGGGCGGGTACCAGGTGGGGTTGGGTCGGCCGCTGCTTTCCTAGCTGCCTGGTGTTTTCATTGAATGCACGCACATCTCCCCTGCTCGACGCTTGCGAGCCCCTCCACCTCACCCCCTCCTGCCTGCCATGCACAGGTCAAGCCGCGCACAGAGTCGGGGCGGGATGCCATGCTGCGTGCGGGCGTCAAGGCCGCCATCTCGGCCGGGCAGGAGGGCCTCTTCTCCATGCTTGGGGGAGACCACCCCGCCAAGTGAGGCGCAGCCGGCTGCACGAGGCGGCACTGCATGCTGCGTGTGCCGCCCCGCACCTTGCATTTGAATACCTGCACAGTCCTGCGGCACATCAGCCGCCCCACCCCCTGCCCTGAACCGTCGCTCTGAGCCTTGCGGTTGGCCGCCGCCGTGCCTCTGCAGGTTTGTGTGTGGGCTGGCGCACGACCTGGGGGTCCCCGACAGGCGCGCCGTCACCATTGTGCACGCCGAGGTGGCCTCCACGTGCCGCTCCGCGCTGATTGATGCCGAGGCGGCGTACCGCTCGTCCAACCAGTCCGACATACTGCTGGCCCTCATCCGCCTGGCGGGCGCGCTGCAGACCTTCCCGCTGCCGCGCGGCAGCGCCGAGGCGGAGCTGGTGGCGGCGGGCATTGCCAAGCAGACCAGCGTGGAGTTCAGGAAAAGCATCTTCTTTGAGTTTGGGGCGGTGAGCCCCGACCTGGCGGCGCTGGCTGCCGAGCTGCTGGGGTTCAACCCAGACCTCGTCATGCCCGTGCTGCGGCAGCGGCAGGCGGCGGCGGCGGCGCAGCAGCAGAAAGTGTGACCGGCGGGCTGTCATCCCGCCTTGCCTTCCCACAGAAGCATTTATTTACAGTGTCACAGTTGTTTGGTGAGAGAGTTGTGTTTTGGTGAGGGAGTTGTGCAAGGTTCAGGGCCAAATGCCATTCATTCATCGACAGCAAAGGACGAAGCAGCAAGGTCAACAATCAGGCAGCACAAGGAACAAGCAGAAGCGAGCAGGCGCAATGCCGCCAGCCGCCGGTGTGTTGCAGGAAGGGATGTATTGCTGGGCGCTCTGTGAAAAATGAGCTTGCGCGGAGCGTGAAGGGCACACAAGCAGAGGAGGTACACACAGTCGGCTGTTAGTATGGACTGTCACAAAAAAATGCCGCAGGAAAAACAAGAGGGGGGTTGGGTTCGTCATTGTCACAGTGCGCGCAAGGTCGCAGCGCACCGCTCGTCAGCTCTCTCTCCCTCAACGGCGGCAGCTGGTCAAGTCAGGCCGTGGCCAGCGGCGCTGGGTCCTGGGCAGGCCTGGCAAGCACGGGGGTCGCGTCCACCGCGTCGCCGCTCTGGCTCTGTAAACAGGCAGTGCTGTTGGTGCCAGGCCGCTCCAGCGGGTAGCCGAATCGCTGCAGCATGCTGCGCACCGCGGCGTCGGCGGCGGCAGCCGCCTGCTGCTCGCAGCTCAGCCGCCGCGGCCAGGTGGGCTCCACCTGCGGCGCCCAGGCACGCGACGCCTGCCAGCTGCGGTACCTGTTGTGGTACACCGCGCGTGGCGCCTCGCCCTTGGCCGCCTCCCCCTGCCCCGCCAGCAGCTGCAGGTAGCTGGCCGTCAGGTCAGCCACCTTCTGCTCCTCGCCCTCAAACACCGCACACTGGTGCCCCGCCGGAAGCACCCCCACGGGCGGCTGCAGCGCCAGCAGCAGCCGGTCATCCTCGACGGGAGCGGCGCCGACAAACTCGGCCAGGCGGCGCAGCACGCCCAGCACGCCCGCCTTGTCAGCAAAGTCCTCATACTTGATCGCCAGCAGCCGCGGGTCGTCCAGGTGGGGCAGGATGTGGGTGTTGTCGGCCACCCAGCTGCAGCAGGGGGCACAACAAAGGGGCGGCAAGGCAGGTGAGCAGGCAGGGGAGTGCAGCGGCGTGCTGCATGTGCACAGCAAACACCCCCCGGCCCGCACTGCAAGGGGCATCAGGGGGCGAGCAGCCCTGCCGCTCCACTGCCTTGCTCACTGCCCTCCCTCCCCCTCCCCTCCCTCACCGCTCCAGGCTGTCGCCCAGCGGCACCCGCCGGTCCAGCATGGATGCCGCCACGTCACGTCCGTCGCGCACGATGAAGACGACGCGGGCCCGCGGGTCTGCCTTCCAGATGGCGTCCACCTTCATTATGTGCTTGGGCGTCTTCTCCACCCACCCGCGGAACCCGGCCGCCGCCGCCTCTGCATCCCACCGCGCCAGGTACTTGCGCTGCGCGTTGGGCCGCCCTGCCAGCCTGATGAACAGCTGCGACTCCTTGGGGATGCAGTGCATGCCCGGCAGGCTGGCCAGCGTGCGCTTCAGCACGCTGGTGCCGCTGTGGCCGCACCCCACCACGTAGACGTGGCGCATGAACGGCTGCAGCTCCTGGGCGCTGGGAGACTGGCCGCCTGCGGCATCCAAACAAAGCAGATGCTGGCGGGTCAGCAGGTTGTGCACACTGCTTCCTCTCACTGGGGGGGTCGCGGTGCTGGCCATTGAGCAGGAGGGGGCGCGTGAGGTGTTCAGGTTGGGTACCTGGTGGGAAGGCAGGTGCCGATCCTCCCGCCGGCGCCGCTGCACCTGCAAGCTCCAGGGCGGTCCTCCTGGGGCCGCTTGCAGCCGACACCGCTTCAATTGTCGGCGTCTTGTCCAGCCGCGGCAGCCACCAGGCCAACAGGAGGAGGAGCGTGAGGGTGAGAGGTGGAATGCGCGAGGGGGCCGAGATGGGCTTCTGTTGCGAGGCGCCCAACAGCCTGCCGCGGCCTGGGCTGTACATGCCGCGGCAGGTCGGCTGCTGCAAAGTTGGGGGAGCGGCAATGCCACTTGAACAAGCCGTTCACACGCTCTTTCTCACGGCGCGCCTCCAGCTCATGAATGGCGGTGGGTTTGCTATACTCACAGAGCGGGTATCTGCTTTGGGGGAGCCATGAGGGCGGGCACACCTGCAGTACAAGTTTGACACAAACACACATATCTTCGTCCCGGAATGCAAATCGTAGATCCAGGAGTGCGTAAATTCATTGGAACGGGTGTGCGGGCAGAACTCGCAGCTGACTATCGGCATGCGGGCCATGCGTGTGTGCCTGCTGCTTTCGCCATACTCCCTGCTGCTTGACACCCAATAGCGGGCCTGAAGACGGAAGCTGCATGCGACTCCGACGGGTTTGCCACGCTGAGGCCAGGCTGGCACAGCCAGGATCCCCAAAGCCTTGGACCACCAAATTTGTGGTCAGCTCCTGCATCATGAGCACCAACGCGCCCTATCAGCCAGCCCCGGAAGGCCAGCAGGGGCACGCCCGCAGCACAGGCGTGGCTGGCGAGTCCAAGGCCAGCCCTAACCTGGCGGCCTCGGCGAAAATGCAGATGGATGCAGTGCAGCACGACCCACAGGCCGCTGTGGAGGCTGGCGGCGACATCTTGGCGCGTGCGCCGCCGCCCTCATTCCTATCAAGGCGGCGCGCAGACCCACCCCAACCTGCCACGTGTGCGCCCACTTCCCCTACAGGGCCAACCGACGCTGGGGGAGCAGGCACAGACGGCCACCCGGGATGCCAAGGAGATGGCGCGCATGACTTGAGCGGGCTGGCCATGCTGGCAGCACCCCACTGGCTTAACCAAAGCATGATGGCAGGCAGCAAGCGTGCATCAATTACAAACAAAGAAACTGCTAACAAAATGGGGGGCAGCAAGGAAAGCGGAGACGACGAGAGGAGATTGATGAGTCAGTGGGTCACGGCTGACGGCTGCTGCGCGGCACGGCAGCCGCCGCGCCGCTTTGTAGGGTGGTGCAGGCGGCCTAGCTGAGCTTGTTCTGGATCTGGCGGTGCAGGAAGCAGAGGTACTCCACATAGCTCATGCCCGCTGCGGGGCTGCGGTCCTCCACCAGCGCCGAGTAGAACACGCCCTCCAGCGGGTCGCCCCGCCGCACCACGCGCAGGCGCAGGTAGCAGGCGCGCTGCCGCCGCACCTCGTCCAGCAGCTTGCGCACCGCCCTGCTCAGCGGCGTGTCCAGGGTGGGCAGCAGCAGCGGCTGCTGCGGGTCGCCGCCCTCCAGGCTGGGCACGCCTGCAGGGGGAGGCACACACGGAGGGTGGCCGGCCAGGGGCAGGCGGGGTCGAGCGCTACATCCTGGCCTGGAGTGCACAGCCTGCTGGCCCCCTGCTCCTCCATTTCGGACCATCCAGCCCGCCCCCTTCACGCTGCCGCCCCTCACCAAACAGCGCCATCATCGTATCTGGCGCCACATTCTTGCCGGCGTAGATGAAGGCGTCAAACCCGTTCTCCAGCAGGAACACGCCCTCAGGGTCCAGCTTCTCGGCAGAGAGCCACAGCTTGTCGGGGACAGGCATCGCGTTCTGCGGGACGGGCAGGGAGGGGTCAGTGGGGCCAGAGAAGCGAGGGGCAGCAGTGGGGAGTCGGCCTGGGGGGTCCTTCCAACATGCGGCAGCCAAAACAACAATGCAGAGCTCTCTCTCACATCTCGTTAGAAAGCAGGCACTACACCGCGATCACATGCATGCGTCCAGCAGCTTTCCTTCCCTCTTGCCCACCCAAACACATGGCACCCGCCCACCGCCACCCACCTCTGGCCGCTCCAGCAGGGTGTGCAGCGGCAGCATGCGTGCGTACACCAGCGGCACCGCCTTGTGGGCGGGCAGGCTGAGCAGGCGCCACATGGCGGCGGCGCGCACGTCGGGGCGCACGTCTGTGCGGAACACGGGCGCCTTGGAGAGGGCCAGCGTGTAGAGGGGCAGCAGCTTGAGCGCCTCGGGCAGGATGAGCTGGCCGGAGGAGGAGGCGGCGGCGCAGTGGGTGCGGTACGCCAGCAGCGCATCCGCCGCCGCCTTGTTGATGGCCTCCTTGCACGCGCCCAGCGCGTGGCCGGGCACCTGCGGGGCGGGCGGGAGGAGCGGGCAGGCGGGGGAGCAAGCAGTGAGGCGGGCTGGGGGTTTTGCGGACTGGGCACTGCTTGCGGCAGGCAGCACGCAACCCACCCCGCGCCAAACTAGAGGCCCCCAGAGCTTCTTGCCCCCCCTCTTCACTTGCGAGGCCACCTTGCCCGCCACATACAAAATGAAGGCACCCGGGCCCGCCCCCCTGAAGGCGGGGCCCAGCGAAGCCGTGATGGGCAGCGCCAGGGTGTGCACCCGCACCGCCCGCTCCCCGGCCTGGTGGGTGTACAGCAGCGCAAACTGCGGTAACGCCTCCCCACGCTCGGGCAGCTTCTCCTGCGGGGCGGGGGCGGGGGGCAGGGGTGGTGCTGGTGGGGCCAAGCGCAGCTCAAGGCAAACGGCGGGGGCAGGCCGGCGCAGCAACGCAATGCAGGTAGGAGCGCGAATGCACCCCCATGGCGCATGCGCCTCAACGGCAGCGATGCCCCAGACACCGCTGCGGCGGGGTCGGCCACCCCCTCCGCCCAACCACAGCGCGCACCTCGTACACCAGCTTGGCGGCCACGCTGTGGTCGCAGGACAGGGCGGGGAAGTTGAGGTCTGTGTCCACGCGGCGGTAGAAGGCGCCGATGTACTTCTCAACCGCCAGCCCCCGCGACACGCGCAGCCGACCCACCGCCTCCAGGCCCTGCACCTCGGGGGAGGAGGGCACCTCGGGGCCGGGCGCTGAGGCTGAGGCAGGCGGAGCGCGGGCCGCGGCGACGCAACGTGGCAGACCGCACACAGCGGTGCAGGCTGAGGCTGCGGGCCATGGCATCCCTGGCCCCGCCACCTGCCCCACTCCCACACGCAGCCACCCCCCACACGCCCCCGCGATGCGCACAGCGCCGAGCCCCACCTGCGGGCGCACCACCGCCCAGCGCAGGTCGTTGAAGAATTCGTCGGCATCCAGCGCTGGCGTCCAGGGGGCCCAGTGGTGTAGGGAGCCGGCGGTGTGGGCCGACAGCACGCCCAGCGTGGCCACATCCACATACCCCTGGGCCAGCAGGAAGAGGTCCACAGACACCTGGTGCTCCGCGGCATCCGCCGCCAGCGCCGCATACTCCTTGCTTTCCGGCAGCATCGAGTCCAGCGTGTCGCGGTCGGTGGGTGGGCGCCCGATGTCGCGCAGGCGCAGGTGCATGGCGCCGCGCCGCGGCAGGGAGCAGAGGAAGGCGTGCAGGCGGCCGCCCTCGCCGCCCTTGAGCGCCTCCACAGCGGAGCGCAGCGCGGCGCCGCCGCACGTCTCCTGCACCTGGCTGGCCGCAAACATCTTGGGGATAGACTCCAGCAGGGACACCACCTGGGGGGGGGCAGAGAGGTGTGCGTGTTTGGTGGGGCACATGGGTATGGCAGCATGGCCGGAACAATGACAAGGAGCAGGGCCCGGGCGCGGCCAGAGGGCGGCTGGTAGGGCGGGGCGCGTGCGCGGCGGCCAGGCCCTGCACCATGCGCACCAGGCCTTTGGACTGGCTCAGGTTGACCACCACGTTCCCAGCCAGGGGGCAGTACACGTCTGTGATGTCTGGGACCACCAGCATGTGGGGCTGGGCCTGGCCGGGGCGCAGCGAGTAGAAGTGGATGGTGGAGTCAAAGGTGGCCACGCACACCTGCAGGGCAGGGTGGGGTGGAAGGCATGGGCTGGTGCGTGGCTGGCTGTGTGGGCTGTGGTGGGTGCTGGGGGTGGCAGTGATGAGCGCAAGGTGAGGTGCGGAGGGAGGGGCCGCTGTGGCCCAGCTCCCCACCTGTCCTCGCACACACCACCACTGTGTGGCACCGGCCACATGCACCCAACCAGGCCACAGCCATCACAACCACCAACACACACGCGCACCCGCCCCCAGGCCCCACCCACCTGCGTGCGCTCCCCTCCCGGCAGCTCATCCAGGATCTTGGCCACGGAGGAGCAGACGGCGGCGGTGGCTCCCGAGGAGACGGCGGGCTGGGAGACGTCGATGAGGAAGAAGTGGGTGGGGCGCATGGGCGGGCGCACCTGGTACTCCCCGCTCACACTCATCTCGATGCTCCTGCGGCACAGAGAGAGGGCAGGGCAGGGAAGAACGGAGTGCGCTGTTGGGCACCCGGAAAGGCCGGTGGCAAGGAAAGGCAGGGTGGCAGGCCATGCACCAGCAACAACCGGGTCTCCTTCTCTGCCATGCCTCAGCAGTCACCTGCTGTGCTGCTGGCCCCCGCTGCACCCTGCTTCTGCTGCACGCGCTGCGTTTGCCTGCTCTCCCTCCCACAACCCAGCCATCTGCCCCACGCGCCCCAGCTCACCCCTTGCACAGCTCCGGCCGCTCATACTTGTCGCGCCGCTCGCCGTCGGGCCCCGTGTGGCACTGGTAGTCTGGAGGCACGTCTGTGAGGCCACCGCAGAAGCAGCACTCCATGGAGCGCCCGCCCTCCACCCAGCGCATGTATGGGTTGATGTATGCCTTGCAGGAGCTGCAGCGGAAGGGGCCGCTGGCGGTGCAGTCGATGACCTGCGGGAGCAGGTGGGGAGGTGAGCGGGCATGTCTGTGTGGGTGGGTGGGGAAGCGGGGGGCAGCAGAAGCAGGGGGCAACAGCAGTAGCAGGACAAGCCTGCTTGCCCAAGCAGCATTGTGCCATACAACCCTGCCACACCTCCACCGGCTCGTCCCCGGGGTCCTGCAGCGCCAGTGGGCAGATGATGGCCACAAAGGGCAGGCTGGCGCCCCGCAGGATGTCAGAGGTCTGGGGCACCATGTTGAGGTTGGAGCGCATGAAGCGGGGCCCTGCCGACCCGCGGTCGCGCACCACAATGGGCGCGTCGGCAGCGGGCGGGATGGCGTGCGTGCCCTCACGCCGCGTCTCAAACACCTGCACATGGAAGGCAGGTTGGTAAGGGGGCAAGATGGGGGTGGAGTTGTGTCAGCAGAATGGCAGCGGGAGCATGGCAGCAGGGAAGGGCGGTGGTTGCCAGCCCGGCGGTGGGAACACATTGTTGCAGCGGTCGATGCAGGGTAGCACCCCGGACGGTGCATGTCCCACCAATGTTGCATCCACGCTGCGCACCTGGGTTGGGATGGCAAAGGGCATGGGCCGAGGTATCTGTGCCGGGTCAATCTTGGTGGCGGACGCCGAGGTGGGCGATGGCATCATGCCCGGCATAGGCGGCCGAGGGTGCATGCCGGCAGCGGCCCCGGGAGACGGCGGCATGCCCGGATGCTGCGGGTGCTGCATGCCCAGCTGCGGCAGCATGCCCGGCATTGGAGGATGCGCCATGCCCGGCTGCTGCGGTGGCGGCACCATGCCGCGCATGCCTGGTGGCTGGAGCGGCGGTCCACTCGGCCGCGGCATACCGCCCATAGGGGGCATGGGCGGCCGCAGGCCTGCAGGGCAGGACAGCGCAGGTAGCAACCTGGGTGGGTTTCAGCAGATAAGGGCACGCAATGGGGCCAAACACTGCTCAATGCAACTGCAAGTGAATGCCATGAACCCATTGGCGCCGCTGCTTACCCGGCTGCTGCTGCATCATTGGCTGCCCCGGCAGGCCGCCAAAGCCGCCAACTGGCGGCTGCGGGGCGCCGCGCTTGGTGGGGCTCGGCGAAGACATCTGCAGCGCAAACGGTGGCGGTGTGCCGTGCGGCTGCTGCTGCGGCGGCACATCCGCCTTGCGAGGGGTGCTGTACCCAGGCACGCCGGCACCTGGTGGTGCTGCTGCTGGCACAACCGCTGGCTGGGGCTGGAGCATGCCACCAGGCCCTGGAGGGCGCAGGCCACCAGGGCCGCCAACTGGCATGCCAGGCGGGTGCTGCCCATGTGGTGCTGCTGGCGCTGGCGCTCCAGGCATGCCGGGGCCCATGGCGGGTGGCCGAGGCATCCCCGGACGTGGCACCCCTGCCAGCCCAGGCATGCCAGGCCGCACCCCTGGCGGCGCTGCTGCTGCTGTTGCTGCTGACGGGCGCACAGCGCCAGGAACAGCTCCGGGCATCTGCTGCGCCCCGGGCGGCGCGCTCGGTCGCATGCCAGGCATGCCTGGCGGCCGCTGCTGCATGCTGCCAGGTGGGCCGCCCCCTGGGAAGCCATTTGCTGCTGCTGGCGGGCGCTGCGCCACGCCTGGGCCAGCTGCTGGCCCCATCGGCCTGGGAGCGCCTGGCGGCGCCATCCCAGGGCGCTGCCCAGGCTGCTGCATGGGGCCCGGTGGGCCACCCAGCTTCATCTGCTGCATTTGGGCCGCCAGCGGCTGCTGCTGCCCCGGTGGCCCGCCGGCCACGCCGGGAGGCGCCCCCGGTGGCCCAACAGCAGACGGGCCATTGGAATATGCCCCGGACGGCACTCCTGTCTGCGGCTGGCCTGCAGTGCAGCGGCGCAGCGGTGCGTAGGACGAGAGAGGCACACAGGGGGTGCCAGCTCTGGCACTGCGGTGAGCGACTGCCGCAGCGGCAGCGGCGGCGGCGACAGCAGTGCACCCGCATTCCACGGCTTGCTGCTGCGCTCGTGGGGGGGTGCCCGACCTGTCCGAAACCCAGGACGCACTCCAGGAGGCCCTTGCTGTGACTGGTGTTGCGAGGAGGGGTATTGGTAGGGCGGCGGCCCCCCAAGGGGCCGCCCTGGTGGCTGCATGGCCTACAGGCCTCCCAGCAGGCGCTGGCCGTGTGTAGGACGAGAGATCAAGAGGGCGATCGAAGCCTTTCTCTATGAGCGCAGCCCAAGGCTCTGTAGAGGGCTGCAGGGAATGAAGGGGTGGCGCTCAACCCGCGGGAATGAAGGGCGATCCAGGAGAGAGAAGAAGGTTTGCTTGCTTCGTCAGCTGCCGCTCTCGAGGCGTCAGCAGGCGATCTGCCCCTCGGCCTTGTTACGCCCTGCCCCACACCTGCCCCATTCTGCTCCAGGCTCCCGCAGGCTCCCCCGCGGCGCTGCAGGCACCCCGCAACAACTCCCCACTCTCCCGCTCCTCGCCATGGCGCACCAGTCCGAGTACGACTTCCTCTTCAAGGTGCGGGACTGGGGGCTGGGCAGGGCGGCCGGGCGCTTTGACTGAAGCCTTGCGATCGTGATCAGAGAGCCTGCCGCCCTCTCCACCCTACCTGGCCCCTTTGCTGCAGCTCCTACTCATTGGAGACTCGGGCGTGGGCAAGTCGTGCCTGCTGCTGCGGTTTGCGGTGAGCACCGCCAGGGCGGCGCTGCGCCGCCAGTTGCTCCGACCGGTTGCGCTGCTGCCTCTTCGCGACATCCACTCACTGCTGGCATGCCGCTGTTGCGCCGCAGGATGACACCTACACAGAGAGCTACATCTCGACCATTGGCGTAGACTTTGTGAGTGGCTGCGCTCGGGTGCACAAGTCCGGATGCAAGCCCGACTCTGTCTGGCTGCTTGCCTACTGCTCATACGTAGTACTCGTATTTGACCATACGCTGCAGAAAATCAGGACGGTGGAGCTGGACGGCAAAGTCATCAAGCTGCAGATCGTGAGCCAACCCGCCTGCTCGTTGCCGCCGGCCGGTTGCTGTCCCAGTTTGGATGTGCCTGGTCAAGTGTTGTGCAGCTGTCAGCCCCAGCCCATTTCACAGCTGCATGCTCTGCTTGCCGGTGTCCTTTTCATCTGCTGACCCGCTGCCTGCCTGCCATCCACCTGCGCGCAGTGGGACACGGCAGGCCAGGAGCGCTTCCGCACCATAACCAGCAGCTACTACCGCGGCGCGCACGGCATCATCGTGGTGTTTGATGTGACGGACCAGGAGAGCTTCAACAACGTCAAGCAGTGGCTCAATGAGATTGACAGATACGCAAACGAGAACGTGAACAAGCTGCTTGTGGGCAACAAGGTGGGTGTCGTGGCTGTCGGGTGCATCGTATGGCTGTCGGGCTGCACGGCTGGATTGCTCGTGCCTGGCGTGCCCAGGCCGAATGGTTGGTCTCTGGGCTGGGCCCAAGTGGCGTCAATCCTCAAATGTTTCCCGCCTCACCGCTGTGCCCCTGCACTTGCTTGCCTGCTCGTAGACTGACTTGACTAGCAAGCGCGTGGTGGACTTCAACACGGCCAAGGCGTTTGCGGACGAGATTGGCATCCCCTTCATCGAGACCAGCGCCAAGAACGCGTCCAACGTGGAGCAGGCATTTATGACGATGGCGGCAGAGATCAAGAATCGCATGGCGCGCGAGCCTGCCGTCAACAAGTCCGCCAACACCATCAGGCCGGGCGAGGGCAAGTCCATTGCGACACAGAAGAGCAGCTGCTGCTGAGCAGAAACCCGCGCGCCGGACGCAGTGCCAAGCGCAGTGCAGCCCGGCGCAACCCTTTCACAGTCCGGCGCAGCCCTCCGTCCTGTAGCAGCAACTTGGTGTCACCCCCTTCCCCCAGGCTTGCTGGCCAGCAGCATATCTGAGCAGCAGGCGGAGATTGCGCCAGGCTCGCAGCAGCAGCAGTACATGACAGCGGTGGCACTAGGAGTAGTGTGTTGGCAGTTCCATTTCTGCCACTGTATTTTAACTTCTGGCTCCTTGCTTTTGTTCCTCGTGGGGGAGCCGCAAATCCTCTCACAGAAGCCTCTCTCTGTGCCGACGCGTCATCCATGAGTCACTCATTTGCTTCTCAGTATGCTGTTTCTCCCGCCACATGCAACAGCAATGACTTCTCGTGTGCTGATGATCAGGCAGGCGGAGTTGGCCTTCTGGTTGGGTGATGGCAATGAGCTACACAGCTCTTACAAAATATAGTGCAGCTGCGTTCAAAGATGCTGGGAATCACAAAGCGATTCATGCCGCCTTTTTCTTGCTGTTCTTCGCCTCCTTTGGGGCATAGAAGACAATTTGCAGAGCCAGTGCGCAGTTGAGCAGGGTGCCTGCAGGGGGCCATGGGCAGCAACCAGCGCAGGGGCCATGAGTGGGTGGAAGCACCCGGGCAGCTGCATCATGGGGAATGGTGGGGCAGGTGCGTCACGGCGTGCTGCGCTGCTGCTGCCGTAGGCGGCCTGCTGCCACTCACTGATGACGGCGCCGCGCAGCATGGCGGCCCCCGCATTCTCCTGGACGGACGTGAAGATGCGGGCGGCGGCGCCCGCAGTGTTGAGGGCATATGTGACGAGCGACAGCTGGCCCGTGGACCCCGCGATGAAGTTCTGCCAGATTTGCGGCACCCTGCGGCATGTCACACCTGTGTGGGTCTTGTCGCATGCAAAGTAGGCCCGAGTGTAACACAGCCACTTGAGGGTCTGCGCAAGCCTGAATGGCTGGGCCAGGTTCCTGCTCAAGCCGCTGCACACCGCCATGCGTACCCACCTGGAGGCCACGAGGATGAAATTGTTGCAGTCGTACAGGGTGGTGATGGCGGCCTGGCTGAGAGTGCCCGACAAGGCCACAAACCCGCTGCCTGCTAGAACGCTCAGCAGCGTGATGGTGCGGGCCAGCGAGCGGCGCTGGTAGAAATAGATGAGCACCAGCAGCCCGCAGTTCTGGAACAGCAGCGCCTGCACACACAAGGGGGGCAGTGCGGGAGTGGGAAGCAGGCGGCAGGCGGGGCCCCAGTTCAGCTGCAGCTTGCCGGCACGTGGGCGCCTGCCGGTCGGCAGACTGCTCCCCGGCGCACCCACCACTGTCTCGCCAAAGGCGCTGATGGGGAGGCCCATGAGGAAGCCGTAGGTGACGGCGATAACCAGGCCCAGCGTCTCCAGCTCAAAGGCCAGCGGGGACAGGCCGGCGGCGCTGCGCGCCCGCACCACATTCAGCACCTGCGGCACCTTCACCAGCGTGCTTCCTGCCAGGATTCCATACCCCAGACCCTGCAGGGGAGGCGGAAGACCGGCCGACAGCGAGGATGGCCTCAGTGACAGGGTAATCACCTTGAGGGGCAGCACGGGGGCCCTGCAGCCGCGCCGCAATCTCTTACCTTGCTAATCAGGGCCTTGGTGAGGTCTGGTGGCGGCAGCTTGCCCTGCAGGACAAACTGGAGCGCCCCCCGCAGCAAGTCAACAAGTCCCCCTGCTGTGTTCGTCATAGTGGCGACTAGAAGTTGTTGAGCGAGTGAGAGCCAGGATCAGTGGTGTGTGCTCCCAAGGGTTGTCCTCCCCATGTCAAGCCCGCTGAGGCGGTGGCGCATGGCATGCCACCCACAACTGCCTTGCAGGGGACCCTATTGAGAGCCGCTGAATGTGAATCACAACTGATGCAAAACAGTTCTTTTTACACGGCAGGGAATAGGGGAGAGAGTGTAGCAGCAAAAAGATGTGCAGACGCAAAAATAGCACGGCAAAAAGAGAGAAAATGGCCGCCCCCACCAGAGCTTTGCGGGGGGTGATGTGCTCTGGTGGCAAAAAGAGAGAATAAATAACACACACACACACACCACTCACAAGGAAGGGGAAGGGCACCTGTGCGGTGACTTCCAGCAGGTGGCACAGAGAAACAAGCATGCACGCAAATGGGGCATGACAAGGGCACTTCACGACCGCGAGCAACAGTTGCAGACGCGGAAGAGCGAGCTGAGCAGCATGGCACCGAAAATGCCGGTCTCCACCCAGCACATGATTGGCACCGCATCACGCGCCGTGTTGACGCTGCTGGAGGCGGTGACCTGGGCGGTGCCGCCCAGCGGGTCCATGGCGTTGGAGCCAATCACCCCGCTCGCAACAGCCCACCAGATGGTTCCCAGGGCTCCCAGCTGCAGGCAAGCACAGTCCAGGGGCGCCAGCCAATCGGTGGAGGCGGTTGAGACAGGAGATTGGCAAGCGTGCCCAGCAATGCAGCCACATGGCGGCTCTCCCCTAACGTGGAAACTCACCAGGACATCCAGGATCTTGCCCAGGCCGCACAAGTTGCAGGTGCAGCACTGGATCATGCTGATGACCGCGGAGACGACGAGCGAGACACCGCACACAACAAAAGTGTACGTGCACAAGCTGGAGCTCATGTAATCTTGCCCGAGGAGGCATTGATAGCTGCAACCAAAAAAGAAAGGGCAACCCAGTTCAGCACGTTGAGGAGGGCAGCAGGCGACAGTGCAGTCGAGCACAGAGAAGGCGCTGTCAGCCTTGAGCCGCCTGCTGTGGGTTGAGAACCTCCGCGATTGATCCAGTATGGCTTGCTCAGGCAGCGCAGACAACATGCAATGCATGCCTCCGGATGCATGTGCCGACTGACGTGTAGGTGGTGCCAGACACGCTAACGTCCACCAGCTGGACCGCCACCACCACGATGATTGCGATGGCCAGAATGATCTGCATGGTCGCAGCCAGAGTCAGCTGAGGTCAGGGTCAGCTGCAAAGGGAGCCGCACAAGGGAGCAGCAGGCAGCTGCAAGGGAGCTGCGAGGGGAGCGCCAGGTGGCGGCGGCGGCGCGCCGCGGCGGGTTTCCCCTGCCCACAACGCGTCCACCTCCGTGAGCGGTCGCCGCCTCAGGCATCCTTGGCACGGCGACAAAAGGGTGCAGGGCGCCGAAACAGAGGACTGCCGTTCGGCTCCCACTGGCTCCCGCACCTGGAGGAACGCCGTCACGTGGAATAAGATTGAGCAGGCGCCCATATTTCCCGAATTGGCGCGTGCCGGGCGCCCTGTTTCGTCTGTCAGACAAAATGAAAGTTGTCACGGCGAGCTGGCAGAGGCAGGGGGCTTTGTGACGGTGACAAGCTTTCAGTGATCAAGTGGACGATAACGCTTTGGCTCTTGCATACCGCCTCCAAACACCAGTTCCTCCATGCAACACGTTTGCCAGCTGTCAGCTAGGTGCACCTAGGTGTTGAGCATTGAGAGGTGCAACCCTTTCAAACGAGCAGTGCGTGAGTACCCACTCAGCAACCAATCGGAGCAGGGGGCGGGGCAAATCGCTGGTCTCCATGCTGAACTGAGGGGCCTGGAGCGGGCTGCCCAGGGCCCTTCCAGGGCGGGGATTGGGGTTATGGCCGCCCAGCAGCCCGACCCAGCACGGCAGATCGACGCGCTGGAGCGTCAGCTGGCCGCCCTGACGGTGGCGCTGACGGGGCGGGTGGTGGGCGCCCAGCAAGAGACGATGCAGCACTTGCAGTTGCTGCAAGCAACGGTGGACGACCTTGAGGTGAGAGTCGGTGGCCTGGTGTCGGTGTCCGCTGTGGTTGCAGCGGCATCACCCCAGGCCTCACAGCTCCTGTTTTCACCGCTCATTGCTCCAGGGTTCGGCTCGCGAGGCGGCCGACCGCCGTGACCAGCTGCTGCTGGCGGCCAAGCGGCTGGCGCTGGAGCTGCGGGGGCTGGACCTGCTTGCCGACCACGTCAAGGCGGTGGATGCGCTGAGCCGCAAGCTGGAGGCGCAAGTGCAGGAGGTTGTGGGCGCCAAGGAGGGCCGCGCATACGGCTGGCTGCCCATGAACCCGAGCAGTTAAAACTTGAACAATGTCCTGCTGCCGCTGCTCATTGTCAGATCATTATATTGTAAAGCATGCATGTAAGCGTTGGCCCAGGCATGTGAGCGTTGGCGGCGCCAGCTGGCCCTCCAACTCCCAAAAGGTTGCACAGGCAAGCATTGGCTCTATTCCCAGACCACCTTTAGTGCTCCTGTGCCTGTTCACAGGGATCGCAGCCCCAGTCTAGTCCGAACGTCATGGCGGAACCTGACAAGGTGCTTGCAACAGCTGTGCTGCTTTGCAATGTGCCCCAGGGCGCATGTCTGTTGTGTTCAAAATGCGATGGTGGCTCCCCGCCGGCCAGCGGCGCACACCGCCGCGATCAACCCTGCACGTGTGGTGGCCCACCCACCTCGCCGAGACCCCGACAGTGTCCACAGCAACGCTGGAACCGTGACACTGCGTGCTGACGATCTGAGGATGTGTCCCCCCTGGTCTGCAGACCGGCGGCGCGGCTGCCGCCACGGGAGGCGCCGTGCAAGTGCTGAGCCTGCAGCCGGTGGCCATCGTGGACCATGTCTGCATGATTGAGGAAGACGCCCTCAAACAGCTGGTGGCGGATGAGCTGGGGGGCAGCCACCGCGTGGAACTGGACGAGGTGCAGCGCACCCTGACGGCGGTGGGGGAATATTACAGCAAGGCCGGAGGCAGCGCTGCCAACACCACTCGAGGCCTGGCGGGGCTGGGCATAAGCAGCAAGCTGATCGGCGCCCGCGGTTTCGATGAGGTGCGGTTGCACAGCAGGCGGGTGCCCCCCTTTGTGGGGAAGGATATCGCACTGCTGTCGGCTGGGGACCTTTGCCCAACCTAACATGCCTGCCTGCCTTTGCAGTGGGGCACGCTGTTCATCAGCAGCATGAAGCGGGCAGGCGTGGATGTGAGCGGGGTTGAAGTGAAGCCGGGGCCCACCGGCCGCTCCTGCATCCTTAGCTGCGGCGGGCAGCGCACCATGCGCACCTGCCTGAGCGGCTGCTCCCCCTTTGATGCCAGCGAGCTGCGGCCAGAGGACTTTGCCGGCGTGCCGTGGGTGTTCCTTAGCGCATGTGAGCGGTGCTTGGGTGGCCTGCCAGCTCCAACGTGACTTGCGTGGCAGCACTTTCCTAGAGCCACCGTGATTGTTGTTTGTTCACGAGCCGGGCGCACACGCTTGTGCACGCTGTACCCCGTGCGCAGATTGCCTGTACAACCCAGACATGCTGGAGCGTGCGGCAGAGCTGGCGGCGGCGGCGGGCTGCCGTGTGGCCATCGACTTGGCCAGCTTTGAGGTGGTTCGAAGGCAAGCCCGACTTGCGGTGTGGCAGTGTTGCCGAGCTGCGGCATCGTGCATGTATGCCAGCGAGCGGCCTCCCGTTGCATCAGTAATGCATTGCTGCATGCCTCGCCTGCCCCGCAGCTTCCGCCCCATCATCACCTCCCTGCTGGAGCGAGGCGCCTTTGATGTCTGCTTCTGCAACGAGGATGAGGCGGGGGAGCTGATGGGCGGCGGCAGCTCTGCGCCCGAGGCTGCGCTCGATTATCTTGCCGAGCACTGCAAGCAGCTGGCGGTGGTGACGCTGGGGGAGAAGGTGATGGCTGGGAGGGTCGGAAGTGATGTGGGGTGTGCAGCGTCTGCCCGGCATGCACTGCTTCCTGTGGTTGGGCTCGTGAGGCTGATGCTGTGCCTGCTGGTGGCCTGCAGGGCTGCTTGATCAAGGACCACGGCTCAGCAGAGGTGATCGGCATGCCCGCATGCTCCGGCGTCAAGGTGAGCCTGGCCCTGGGCATGGGGCGGGTGCCGGGCATCCCCGTTGCTGCTGCCGCTGCCTCTGGCGGCCCAACAGCATGCCTGCGTGGGGATCGCTTGCCGTGCCAACACGGCTCACCGCCCTGTGCTGCCCAACTGCTGCTGCTGCTGCCCCTGCAGGTGGTGGACACCCCGGGGGCGGGCGAACTGTTTGCAGCGGGCTTCCTGTACGGCCTGGTCCGGGGCTACCCGCCGCGGCGGTGCGGCGAAGATGGCTGCCTGGCGGGCGGCGCCCTGGTGCCAAAGCTTGGCGGTGAAGAGGGGCGGGGACCGTGGGGAATGAAAGCGGGGCGGGGGTTGACCGCCACCGTTGGTTCCGGAATGTAACCAACCCACTTCCCCTCATTCTCGAAATGCAGGTCCTGGTTCCACCAGCGCAGCCAGGGCGAGTGGGCGGCCGCGGGGGTGCGTGACAGCGCGGCGGCAGTGCAGCAGGTGACCACCCATGATGCCTCGCTACCCCGCAGCTGACCTCTGGCTTGTGCGATGCCACAACGTGTGCCGCCCGTGGCCACCCTCCCTCCCAAACTCCCTCAACCCCCCTGCTCCACTTGGCCTGCCCGATCTGTTGCCCTGCTGCAGGAAATGCTTGCATGCTATGCGTTGATCGAGAAGAAGGGGCGGGGCGTGGTGTACTACGGCTCCGCGCGGCTCAAACAGGACAGCCCGCACTGGGACCGCGCAGTGGAGCTGGGGCGCGAGGTGGCCAACCTGCTGAGCTGCACCACCTGGTCTGGCGGCGGGCCTGGCATGATGGAGGCGGCCACGCTGGGCGCGCTCAGGTGGGGCGGGAGGGAGGCCGCGGCACGGCAAAGGTGCCCCATGCGGCGTACACGTTGGGGCTGCTGTGCCGCACATGCCATGCCTTTACTGCGCTGCCTGTGTGAGGCCGGTGCCTGCCTTCCTGCTGCAGTGCTGGCAAGCCCGTGGGCGGCATCCGCATCCAGGTGAGACCTGCGCTGGCTGCCTGCTGCTAGCAGCCCCCGCCCCCACCCGGTTGTGGACTCTCACACATGCCTGCCCACTCCCCTGCACGTGTGCAGCGCGAGGCGGGCACCACAGTGCGCACGGCCTCCTACCTGCCGCCCGACAGCCAGGTGTTCTGCCGCTACCTGTCGTCTCGCAAGGTGGCCCTTGTGGACTCAGGTGTGCTGGTGGGCCCGGCTCTCTGCCTGTAGTCAGTGCTGACAGCCAGTTAAGGAGCATCTCCTGGCTGGCACCAGCGCCAGCTCACAAGCCAACGCGCGGGGTGCAGGTGTGCGCATGAAGGAGAGCGACCGCACCGCCTACCTCTTCCTGCCCGGCGGCCTGGGCACCATGGTGTGTGCAGAGCACACTACATGTGTGTTCTTACTCTGCCTGAACCGCCGCATGCTATCATGCCGTGCCTTCCCCTCCTTCCGGGCTGCTGCTACACGCCATCCTGCTGTGCCCGGCAAGCCTGCCCACCGCTGCGCCCTGGCACTGCAGGACGAGCTGTTTGAGATTCTGACGCTGGTGCAGCTGAAGAAGCTGGGCAGCAAGTACCCGGTGCCGGTTGTGCTGGTGGACTACGACGGCTTCTACGGCGGCCTGCTGCAGGTGCGGTTGGTGGCGGCGCTGGTGCCTGTACCCTGCCGCATCGTACTGCAGGGTGGAGCGCGTGGAGTCAGCAGCCTTGCGGCAGGTTGGGGGCCAGCACAGGAGAACACCGGCCTGCGCCCATGCGCCAAGGTGCTGCACTGCGCCGACGCCCTGCGCCGACCCGCCTGCCCCTCCCCCCGCCCACGCCCGCGCCCTGCCTGCAGTTCCTGCGCGCCTGCGACACCAACGGCACGGTGGGCGCCCAGGAGCTCAAGGACCTAATTGTCGCGCAGGACAATGCGGGCGTGCTGGACGTGCTGCAGAACTACTACGGGGTGGGGCAGGGCGTGGGAGGGGGGCCCAGCCCCTCCAAGGTCTACCGCGCCTCCTCCTACATCCGCCTGGGCGCGCAGGACGGCGCCGGCCTGTGAGCATGCTGCCGCGCCCCCGCGGCAGGTCGACTCGTGGCTTCGGGCACCAATGCAAGCCTGCATATTTTTCTCCCGCGCTTCTCCTGTGACGCACTGCCATTCATTGCTTCTGGTCACAAAAACAGCTGTTACATGCAAAATCACCCTTGTGACAGTACAGCACTACAGTCGGGCACCCAGTGGCATTCGGGTGAGTTTCAAGAGTCTACTACAGCATTTCAGCTGTCCAGGGGAAGCGTTCAGCCACCAGGGGCAGGGCGAGCACCCGTCCCACAAGGTGCCTTGGACGGCCGTGGTTCCAAGGCTGCCGCTGAGATGGACAACAACCTCGAGCAGCAAGTCGAGCTGCTGGCTCAGGGCGACGCGGCAATGCCCGGCGGCGGCGCTGCTGACAACCTGGCGACGGAGGCGCAGGTGTTTTGTCGGGGGCCGGCTCAGCTCACCACACAACGCAGGGCTCCCAACCTGGTCCCAAAGGTTGTCTCTTATGCAGGAGCTGGATGTGCTGGCCTTCCCATTTGATCGCAACAGAGAGATAGAGGCGGAGTTGGCGGGGATGTCGCCGCAGGGCGTGGCGCGGTGGGCACGCCAGCAGCCCTGGTGCCTGGAGCATTGGAGCACAGCCTGCATTCCATATGCATAGGCGCCCTTTTCAACTTGCAGCATGCATGCTCTCGTGCATGCAGGGACCTGGAGGGTTACGAGGCGGCAGCCAAGGAGCTGGAGGGCAGGGCAGAGGCCTCGGCGCCAGCTGAGGGGGGACAGCAGGAGGGAGATGCAGGGGGGGTGGCGGGTGGGCAGGAGGAGGAGGGGGCAGGGGAGGGTGCGGCAGAGCAGGCGCCACAGGAGGAGCAGATGGAGGCGGCGGCGGCACCGGAAGGCAAGCAGGAGGCGGTCGAGCCACCTGAGCCAGGCGCCCAGGAAAGGGCTGCGCCAAGGCAGGGCCTGAAGGCTGGGGTTGTGGCAGGGGACAGCGAGGAGGCGCCCCCGGTCGTCACGCCTCGCCCTGCCGGCGGCGGACCCTCAGGCGGGCATGAGGGGCCAGCAGAGCAGGCGCGGCAGGTGCAGCGCATGGCCGAGGTGGCGGCCCCAGAGGCCCAGCTGGTGCCCAAGGAGGTGGCACCTGCCGCCGCTGCTGCTGCGTCTGCGGCCCAAGTGGCAGCTGGACAGAAGCGCAAGGCGGAGGGCGAGCCTGGGCCCGCAGGCCCCGCGGAGCAGCAGGAGCAGGCGCAGCAGGAGGCTGCCGAGGCAGGCTCGCATGAGGAGGGCGGGCCCAGGGCGCGCAAGAGGAGCAAGAAGAAGGCGGCCGAGCCTGGCTCCCGCGGGCATGGCGTCTACCTGGCAGCTGTGCAGGCCATCCCTGCAGGTGAAACAGCCACCTACTCTGAGGTGAGTCGGCCTTGGGATGGAAGTGCCAGAGCAGCCCAAGCGTGAGAAGCCCAGGTGTGGGCCTGCTGCTGTGCGGGATCTGTTTGCAGTAAAGACCAATGCGGTGAATTGCTGGAGGTACACCTGCTGTGCTGTCCCCTGGTGTACACACGCAGGTGGCCAAGGCGGCTGGCAAGGGGCCGGGGGGCGCTCGCATGGTGGGCAGCGCCATCCGCCAGCTGGACCTGCGTCACACCGAGGTGCCCTGGTGGCGGGTGGTCAGCGCCGACGGCTCGCTGCACCCTGGCAGCAAACAGGTGGCCACCCAGCAGCTGCAGAAGCTGCGTGAGGAGGGGGCCCGCCCAGGCGAAGGTGCGCGGCAGGTGCTCTGCTGCTGCTGACCCCTCGTCCTGGTCCAGCGCCCCATGTGGCCCGGAGCGGTGTGGGGCCGCGCTGGGCCGATCACAGGCCATGCCGGCCCCCCAACTGCAGACCAGAGCGTGGCGGAGTGGTGCCAGCAGGCACACTGCCGGCTGGTGGGCTGCTACGAGCATGGTGGGCAGCGCATGGTCTTCACAGCCCCGGACGACCCACGTGCTGCGCAGTTCAACCCCAAGAAGGTGCGCTGGTGGCGAGGTCTGACAGTGTGCCGCGCACAGGTGCGCGGCAGCCTGGCATGCTGCCGAGCATCGCATGCCTCCCTGCCTGCAGGTGGAGAAGCTGGCCAGCACAGAGCGAGCCAGGGAGCGCGGCTTTGTGCGCATTTGAACGCGCTCGGCATTCAACTGGTGCGCTAGCAGCGCAACGCCTCAGTCTCCACCCACTGGTCCCTTTCCAAGCTCCTGTGGCAAAATGCGTTTTTGTCAAGAACACATTTTGTACATGCCATATTGCCATAAAGCGTGTCATGATGTAGCGTGTCACAAAGAACAGTGCCTCTGCAAAATCACCCGGCGGCAGGAGTCTGCAGGACCAACAAGTCCAGCTGCTCACGGACAGCCTCTGCTGGGCGCACCCTCTCCTTCACTCGGTGAGGATGAGGCTGTGCCACCAGCCGGCAGCAATGTCTGTCACCTTGGTGCCAGCTGGCACCGCCACCGCCTGCGGGGTGCGGGAGCTGGCAAACGTGCCGCTGCCCAGCTGGCCAAACGCGCCCCAGCCGCAGGCAAAGGCGCTGCCGCTGGCGCACAGCAGCAGGGTGTGGCGGGAGCCGGCCGCCACCTTGGTCACGCTCTCGCTCGCCAGCGCTGCGTCCTCCACCAGCTTGGGCTGCGGCACGGGGGCGTGTGTGTTTTGACAAAAGGGGCGCCAAACGGATTGAGAAAGGCGTGCCGTGCAAAGCAGAAACACGCAGCCACACCAGCTGCAGTGTACTGCCCCAAAAGCCCACCTCCAGTGCCGACACGTCGCTACCGTCCCCCAGCTGGCCATCGCCGTTCAGGCCCCAGGCATACACATCGCCCTGGTCAGTGCACACCACGGTGTGGCCCATGCCCCCAGCCACGCCGACGCATGTGAGGGGGCCCAGGCTCTGCACCACGCTGGGCATTGGCACGCTGGGCGCCGACTTGCCGCACTGGACGTGCAGGCTCCAGCCCCAGGCCAGGCACTGACCCAGCGCATTGAGGGCCAGGCTGTGCCGTGCGCCGCATGCCACGGCGGTGGCGGGCTGCAGCAGGGCAGCGTCGCGGTGCTGCGAGGAGGGGCCTGCCACCAACACGGGTGCAGCCGAGGCCACGGTGCTGCTGGAACCCAGCTGGCCTTCTGCATTGCTGCCCCATGCGAAAACGTCGCCATTGGCACCAAGGGCTAGGCTGTGGTGCTCGCCTGCAGAAAGCCCGCAGCGCAGCATTGTCAACTCACAACTCTAGGACAGCGGCAGCTTGGTGCTCTGTGCCAAACTAGCCATAAGGATGCTCTATGCTCTCCCGGCTGTGCGGTGGCCATCAAACACAGCAGCAGCCTGCCGCACCTGCCGCCACCTGAATCACCGCCACTTTGAAGGGAACTGGCGTCAGGAGCAGGCTGGGCGGTGTCCCTGCCGGGCGGTATGCCGGGCCAAACACCAGCACCTTGCCATCTGTGACCAGTAAGCCATGGTCAAAGCCCGCTGCCGCCGTGGTCACGCCCTGTGCCACCTGCTAATCAAAGGGCGCAGCGGGGCAAAACGTTCGGCAAGCGCCCATAACGCCTCCGGGAGGGGCGGCAAAATCAGTAAGCTGGGGTTCGAGCCCTGCAGCTCCCGCGCACCTCATCCAGGGTCGAGGGGTCTGCACCGTCGTCGTTTCCTCCCTGCTTGGCAAGAATGGTGGCGCTGTTCACCCCCCAGCTGTAAATGCGATCAGAGGTGGCGGCCAATGCGAATCCCCATCCTCCGTCGCATGGCTTGCTCAGCTGCACCCCCGAGGACACGGGGACGGGCTGGGCAGAGGCCAGCTCGTGCGAGTTGTTAGGCTCGCCTCCTCCCAGCGGCTCATTAGCCAGGAAACCACACTGCAGGAGCGGCATGATGTGATCCGATCAAACACAGCAGGCGTTGCCCCGCTGGTCGGGCCAAACACTGCGGCGGTTGCGGTACGCACGGAGCAGTACCCAGTCAAGGCTGCATGGGTTGACGGAGTCAGCAGGCAGCCTCCCAGCTTTGTCTCCAGCAGCGGGAGACACCATGCCCTCAAAACTGAGTGGTACCGTATCCTGATCAACCGCCACAACTCGAGCTCGCTGAGGTCACACCTGTCATTGGTCACAACCGCGCAGAGGCACCACGGGACTGAATGAAAAGTGGGGCAGATGCAGGGGCGAATTAAAGAGCTCACAGCAGGCTACTTCTTGCCATCCTCTGCCTTGCCGTCTGTGCCGTTGGTGCTGCCCTCTGCTGCCGCTGCTGCCTCTGCTGCCTTCTTGCCGTCCTCCTTCTTCTCTTTTGCACCCTCCTCCTTGGACTGCTGCAGGCAGGCAGGCAGGCAGGCAGGCAGGCAGGCAGGATGCAGGCCCTGGTGATCCTGCGCAGCCTGATAGCCCCCTTTATAGTTGCCAGATACCTGGTTGCAGCAGCATGCACTGCCATCTGTCGCCTGATGCTCCCGATCCTTCCATCTGATGCCATCCCCCGCCCGCCCCACCTTCTCCTTCTCGATCGCCATGCGCGCCGTCTTGTTGTCTATCAAGTCGTGCAGGGCCAGCACGCTGCGGATGAGGGAGGCCAGGTACAGCACCAGCATCATGTCGTTGCTCTCCACCGCAAACGACCGCGACAGCTCCGCCACGTTCAGGTTGGGCAGCAGGTTGAAGATGTCCTGCAGGGGCGGGGCAGGGGAAGTGCCGGACATGAATGGGGGCAAGCGGCGAGCAGCACACACACCAATGTTGCTCCCATGTTACACTGCGGTAGAACAGGGACCATGCCCAGCATCCAGCCTGAAGCCGCCCGGTCGCATGAGTCAGAACCCCCACGGAGAAGAGACGACAGCAGCCTGCCTGCCTACCTGCAGGTTGCGCATGATGTCGTGGTTGACGGGCAGGCGGCCGCCCGCCACCGCCTCCAGGTACTCCCGGATCTCCAGCAGCCGTGACTTCAGGCCGCGCAGCCCCGTCACCATGTCGCCCACCTGCGGGAAGGGGCAGGAGGCACAGGTGATCAGCGGACAGCAGGGCGAAGGCCGGAGCTGGGTGTCAGGGTGTCAGGGCAGTGCCGCCACGCAGGAGAGAACGGAAAGGACAGCGCGGCGTTGAAGCCGCCGCCTGCAACAGCGCCATCGACTCCTGCCGGATCCATCCCCGCTCCGCCTGAACTGCCCCCCAGCTCCCTAGCTGCATGGTGCCGCCACCACAAAGCGCGCCTCACCTCGCTGGACAGCGTGGACACGGCGGCGTCCTTGACGTCGCGCAGCAGGTGCTCCACGCCAATCTCCTCCGCCTCGGTGGCTCCCACCTCGGTGGGCAGGTTGACAAACACCTGCTTGCTCTTCTCCGTGCCGTCCTCCCGCACCTCGTCGCGTGCCAGGTATGCGTGCACCGGCAGGCCCATGTCCTTGGGCTGCAGCACACGCCGGGAGCACGTGGAGGCAGAGAGGTGGGGGGGTGAGAGCGTGCACCGCAACGAGTCAGGGTCGCAGCATGGAAGCGCTTGGCCCCTGATTTATGCCCCATCCCTGGATATAACCATCCCTGGATCCACTCCCTAACAACCAGATGGTGCCCGCCCCCGGCCCCGCCCACTCTCCGGGACGCACCTGCACCTCGCAGATGATGAGCAGCGGGTTGTCGCAGTAGCGCGCAATGAGCTGGTTGATGTCGATGTCAGCCTCGCGCAGTCGTGGCCCCGTGTGGTACCAGCCCACAATGCGCTCCCGTGCTGCAGGGCAGGGAGCATGGAGGTGGTCTGTGTGTTGTGTCGTGGTGGGCCGCCCAGCACACGCTGGGCGCAACGGGGCAAGGTGAAAAACAAAAGCGCAAGTGATTCCCTGGCCATCAACCCCCGCCCGCTCACCGTTGACCTTCTTGAACATGCGGAACATGTTCTCCAGGTAGCTGTGGTCCAGGAACCAGATGGACGGGTCCTTGTCGTCCTCCTCAAATGGAACTGCAAGTGAGGGGGGCGGTGCGGGCCCAGCAGGCTGCTGGTTTCGACACAGCCTGCAAACCAAGCTTTGCAGGTGGGCGCTGCATGGCAGCTGCGGCCTCCTGGAGGTGTGCAATGCGCGAGCCTGCCCCAAAAACAAGAGCCAGCCTGCGAGCCTAGGAGCGGCAACCGACCGCCCACCGCCTACCCGCAAACGAGTTGGTAGCGTCAATCCTGCCCTTGTAGCTCTCGCCCAGGATGAGCCCCACCACGCGCTTTTTGGTGTCCTTGGCCACCCGGTTATAGTGGTCCACCACGCTGAGCAGCACTAGTGGGTGCACGACCACTTGGTCTGGCGCCTTCTTGCCCGCCGCTGCTGCCGCCACCGTTGCGGCCTCCATGTTGCCAGCCGATCAGGGGGGGCCAGGGATCCCGGGGGCACAGCTGGTGATCGTGTGAATTGCGATCAGACGGTAGAGGTGGGCTGGGAGGGGCGCAGGGGCCGATCAACGACGATGTGCAATCGTTGAACAGTGGGGCAGCGAGGGAAGCCAAGCATGACGAGCAGTGCGGTACGTGGAGGGTACACATGGGATGCAGCGATTTCTGCCTGTGCCTGCCCGCCTCGGCGCCTGTGCTCTCGCCCCTGCGCCGTGGGTGCCCAGTCCAGCCTCCGGCGGGTCTCACATCGCTAGGGTCGGGCCTGTGGCAGGATGTCGCTCCTGGCCCACTTCGGGCGCTCTGGGGCGAAGCGGCTGGTGCGCAGCTGCCCGATGCCGCATGGTTGGATGCTGGAGGCTGCGAGGGTGCCAACCTGCACTGCTGAAGGCTCCCCCACCCTTCGCCTCTGCTGCTCGCAGGCCCCTGCAGGCGCTCGGGCGCTGGGCCAGACGGAGCAGTTTAGGCAGTTTGCGGCAACCCCCGCCCAGCCCGCACAGGGTATGCCGGGGGCGGGTGGCCCGCCCTGCCCTGCACAGCCTTCCATCAGGACTAGTTGAGCACAAATCTGTGCCTAGCTATCATTCTTTCTTGTGCAGATGAAGACATCGTGCTGTCGTCATTCCGCCAGTCGCAGCAGCAGTATCAGCAGCTGATGCAGGGCCTGCAGGTGCGATGGGTTGCCGGGTTTCTGTGCTGAGACCTGCCAGGCTTTCAGCAATGCTGCAACACTACTTGCCCGTGTGCCCAGCGGCCCGGCGGGCACACCTGGGTCGCAAATTAGTTCAGCAAACAGGCCCTGGCAAAGCCCCGCTCGCCCAGCTCTCTCCCTTTGCTTTTGTCGGCGCAGAACATCAGCCTGCCCCTGACCGGCGACGATGCGGCGATCAAGAAGTATGCGGCCGATGTGGAGGCTCTGAAGAAGCAGATTGGCATGCCCGACGTGGAGGATGTGAGCTTGTCCTGCTGCCACACGGCTGTGGGCATCGGCAGATGCTGGGAAGCCGCCGCGCCTGCTGCTTTCTGCCGGGCGCAGGCTTGAATATTGTGCATGCTGCCAGCAAGTGGCTTACCGCCAGCACTTGCCCTCCGCAGGTCATCAGCGCTGAGCTGGACTACAAATTTGCGTGCACCGGCTACGCCGTGCGCCAGTTTGTGACCGAGGCGCTGGAGAGCATGAGCCTGGGCGGCAGCATGGCGGCGGCCAAGGCCGAGATCATGGCGGCGCTGGACGAGGCTGAGAAGGCGGGCGGCGGCGAGCTGGACTCTGCCAACGAGAAGGGCTGGCAGGTGCTGACCGCCAAGCTGGGCGAGATTGAGAAGAAGTATGGGCTGGCAGACAAGGGCAAGGTTCGGGAGGAGGCCATCTTTGAGATGTACAAGCAGCACATCAACCAGCTCCGCACCACGGTGGGTGGCCTGCGTGTGTGAGCGGGGTGGGGTTGCTGGGGCATACTCAGCATTCCCAGCTGCACGCACGCGCGAGCAGGTTGGGGTAGGGCAACAGGGTTGGAGGCACCAGCTACATCCACGGGGTGCCCTTGCAGCCCCCAGCTTGCCTGCTTTCCCCTGCTCATCTTGCTTCCTGCCCTGCCCCTCCTGCCGTTTGTGCCAGGTGCTGAGCGACATGAACAAGGCGCGCACCGATGACCTGGCCGACATCCAGCCCAGCCTGACAGGGCTCAAGCCCAAGCTGGTGTGAGCCCAGAACCAGCCCTCGGGCCGACGCGGGCTGTGCTCAAGACTGCTCACATGTGCACTCCAGCATTGTTGCGCTGCAACGGCCGCCGCGCCGCGCCCCCCCCCCCCCCCTGTGGCACATGGCGAGCTTGATGCTCGCAGGACGAATGGAGTTGCCCAGCCGCAGCTGTTCTCAATGGACTCCACACTTTTCACAAGTCGCTCCGTCCCTGTCATAGCTATTCTGGTTTGCGACATGTGCACCCAAATGCCGTAAGGTGGCAAAGCGCAACAGTTCAGATGCACTGCTGCCAAGTCAACAAGTGGTAACAAGGTGATTTGTGGAAGCATAAGAGAGTCAGCAGAGAGGAGCACAGCGGAGCAAGCAGGAACAGGGGACTGAGCAACAGGAACATTGAGCAACAGGAACAAGCGCACGAAGCAAACAGAGGGAAGCGTCAAAGGTGCTTAACAGGGGCAGAGCGGGTGCAGTAGCCTCCTACCGCTCATCGTCCGAGTCTTCTCTAAACCGCGTGGGCTGCTCACCACCGTCTGCATCCATGTCGTGATGCCCGCCGCCGCCGCCCACATAACCGCCCATACCCCCATAGCTCATCTCTTCTGCCATACTGTTCATCATTTGCTGCCGCACCTACAGGGGTGAAGGCGCAAGCGGGAACGAAGGGAGTGCTTGGCCAACAGGCTGGCGAGCAAGTAGGAGCAGGTTACCATAACAAATGAGAGCCATTCGACCCAGGGCAACAAGTTCGTTCATGCCCAGCTCGCCCACCTCCATCTCCTTCTGCAGGATGCTTCCGTAGCCGCCCCGGCCCGAGTCGAAGTCCATGCGGTACTCGTCCCGCACCTGCGGAGCAGACACAGTATGGGAATGTCATGAGCTGCCTGGCAAGGCTGGGCTCAAGGGTGCTCAAATCAGCAGGCCCGCCAACAGCAACCGTAGAGACCAACAGCTGTGACACCGCCCGCTCCGACCTGCCCCGTCTGCTGGTGCCACACGCACCCTTCCTCTTCTCCATAAACCTATGCCTCTCCCCAAGCTCACGACCCACGCACCTGCCCGCCAGATCGGCCGCGCCCGAACTGCCGCCCCTCCACAAAGCCCCAGTCAAAGTCGACGCGGATGGGGCGGTCGTCGAGCATGGTGCCGTTGACGTACTTGACACAATCCTCGGTGTCCTCCCGCGTGTAATAGACCACAAAGCAGAAGCCGCAGGGCGTGGACCTGTGCTTGTCCAGCCCCATCACAATGCGCTTCACGTCGCCCACCTTGCTGAACACCTATGGTGGGAAGCACCAGGAGGGCGGCAAGTTGAGTGTTTGAGCATTGCGTGTGTGCAAGCAGCAGTGCTGGGATCCAGCAATGCGGGCTGACACAGCAGGAAGCAGAGCTCCGGTAGCCAGGCTGCAGCACTGTGGCCCACCGCCGCCGCCACCGCCGCCGCCTGTCGCTGCCCGGCCACTGCGCCCGGACCGCCGTTGCCTGCGCACCTCGAAGATCTGGTCTTCAGTCGTGAAAAAGGACAGGTTGCCCACATAGACGGTGGTGGAGGTGTGCAGGCATTCCTCAAACTCCTGCTGCGTGCCGCAAAACCGCCTGTCCTTGTACTGGCTGATTGCAGGGTTCAATTGCTTGAGGAGTTGCGCCATCCTGGGAGCCGTAGCGCCAAACGCCGCCCCGATGGCACTGGACAGGCCCTGCCCTCCCCTCAATGCACTCGGGGCAGGTGCCGTGATCGTCTGCCGCACAATCGGGGCAGGCTTCCATTTTTGCCCAGCTGAGGTGGCCAACTTTTCTTGCGGTAATCGACAAATCCGCGGGTTGCATGCCGTGCAGGGCAATCCTAGGGCCACGCTGCATGCATGGATAGCTGGGATGAGCCGGGCGGCCTGGGGTGAGAGCCCTTGCAGTGGTGGTGCAGAAGCGTGTGGGGCGGGTTGCTGGCCTGTGAGGCACCAACAATGCAGCAGCCAATGCTGCCATGCACCGGCTACCCCGCCCAGCCAAGGCCGCCACTGCCGCCCACACCGCCGCGCTTGCGAAACGTTTGCGTGCGTCCTCGTCCTGTGCTGCAGGCAGGCCCTGGTAGAGGCCGACCACAGCGCAGATGCGAGCCTGGCCCCGGACAAGGAGCAGTATGAGTTTATGTCTGCGACTGAGGCAGCAGAGGTGGCGCTGCTGCAAGGCGAGGGCGGCGACATCCTCCTGCCTCCCGAGCGCAGCCCACTGTCGCGGACTGCCAGCATGAGCAACCTGCTGGAGTCGTTGGGGTGTGAGGAGGACACGCGGCAGCAGCTGACCTCCTGCCAAATGGCGGGGACTTGGTTCACCGCCACCCTGCTGCTGGGCACCCTGCTGGTCATCGCCTTTGTGATGCTGGCTTTCCCCTCGCCCTACCTCAACGGCGCACCTAACTGCCGCTCCGGCGCCGCTATGGGAGTGCTGTCAGCCAACGGCAACGACAGCCGGCGCCTGGTGGTGTGGTCGGGGAGGGGCCAGTCCGGCACAGTGTTTCACGAGTGGCTGCACACTCTCAGGTGGGTGTTCGAGCTGCTGCGGCATGCTGTGCCCTGCAGCCCCATGCTACCCCGCATGCGACCTCTGCCAGGTCTTTTGTCATGTGCTGCAGCTAGCTCCACACTGGTGTGTTATGATAGGCTCTGACCTGCCTGCCGGCCTGCCGCTGTCCCCTCATGCCTGCAGCCTACTAGACCTGTCGTGGCAGAAGGTGAGGGAAGAAGCCGATCCGAATGACGACCCGATGCCTTCGCAAAAGCAGCAGCAGCAGCAGCAGCAGCAGCAGCAGCAGCAACCAGCGGCGTCACGAGCATTACTCCTACGGCCCAGGCCCAAACCGCCTGGCGCTCTGCCGCACGGGCGCTGGAAGGCAGCAGTGGCATCGCTGGGCAGTCTAGGGATGCTGGTGCATGGCGGTGACGCCCCAGAAGCAGTGCCAACAGCGGGAGGAGATGAGGTGTTCATGAGCGATGCGTGGCTGCTGGGCGCAGACCTCCGGTGGGAAATGGGCAACTACAGCAGCAGCACAAGCAGGAAGAACAAGGATGCAGGTGCCATGGCCCCCAGCGCGCGCCATTCGCACAGCATGGTGGGCTATCAGGTGCGCTCAGTCAACTGGTTGCGGCCGCACAGTGTAGCAGCAGCCATAGCAACTGCATGGTTCCCTCCCTGCTTGCAGGATGAGGAGCGTCGGCAAGCCATCCTGCTCTTTGGCGGCCGAAGAGCAGATGGCCTGCTGCTGAATGACGTGTGGAAAGGCACGGTGACTTGGCCAAACATTAGCTGGGCGCTGCTGAATGACCCTCAGTCAGGCATTGGCTCAGGTGAGGCGGGCATAGCACCTTGTTGGTCTGCTGTCAATTCTGTGTGGGATGGCAGTCGGCATGATGGCTGTAGCTGTAGCTGTAGCTGAGGTGTTGCGTGTGGCTGCTGCCGTTGCTGCTGCAGGGCCCTCGCCACTGCCGCGCAGCGGGCACGCGTCAGCCATGCTCAACGGCACCACCCTGCTCATCCATGGCGGGCGGTCTGAGGTAGGCCGTGTTGATAACATTCTTCAAGTTGGTCTTCCACAGCAACGAACGAATTGCAGATTTAGCCACGTGGCGCAGAAATGTTTGTGATTCAAGAACATTAAGTTTCTAGGTATCAAGTTATTGTATCAGTAAGATGTGTGATGCTTTTTTGTTCCATTACTTGTCGACAGGTTTACGGCTCCTTTGCCGACCTTTGGGCGTTCTCTCTGGTGGATCTGCGCTGGACACCGCTGACACCAGCCACCTCAGCACAACCGCCGCCGCGAGATTTCCATGCAGCAGCTGCGTTTCGCAACAAGCTGCTCGTGTTTGGCGGCAGGTTTGGTGAGTGGGAGCTGGCGCTTGCGCTGATGCCTGGCGACTCCTGCCTCTCTGACAGCTTTCTGCTCGACCTGTTGTCCTCCTCCGCCCTCCCTGCTCCCGCCAGGCACGCTTGCCAAAGCATTGCGGCCTTTGGGGGACCGCTGGTTGTTTGATATTCAAACCAGTGTGTGGTCCATGCTTCCTGTGCGTGGCCTCAGCCCGCTGCCCAGGTTCCTGTTTGCCTACACGCAATACACACCAGCCGATGGCGGGCCCGATCAGTTGGTTGTGTTTGGCGGCGAAACAGGTGCCCTTGGCAGGCCTGATAGTTGCGTTGGTTGCACACTGCTGCGCTGCCATCTCCTCACACGCCTCTTGTTCAAACTCGTGTGCAGGGTCTGGATGCAAGCTCAACGACGCGTGGGAGATTGATCTTGCGGTCCACCACTGGACGCAGTTGTCCATCGCTACCTTTGCCACCAGGGAATGCCAGCAGCTGTTTGGCTGACGCTGGGCGCCATTATGCCTGTACATCACATTAGCCTGTTTTGGTTCAAGCCAGTACTTGTTTACATGCCTACTGCTCTGCTCTCAGTGGTTACAACATGTTTTGCTCTCCAACATTCGCAACCGACCGAATGATGACGGTGAGCGGTCAATAGAAAAGAATCGGGTAAGTGTCGGGTAAGCAAGGAGATGAAAAGCGGCAGGGGAATAAGATGGTGGCGAGCGAGCATGCAAAAAGTGGTGCAGAGACTGGAATGCACGCCAACGCAAGAACTAAACGGCATGGGGGAGGGATAGCGAGAGGAGCAAAGTGCACAGTTGATTCGGTGCGGCCTGGCATCCCACCAGGTCACCTCTGGTGTCGGCTGAGGCTGGAACCCTGGACGCCTGCACTGCGCTCACGCCACCAGCTTCTTGCGACGGTAGCGCACGCGGCATGCCTTGGGCATAATCACCATGGACGTGTAGTTGGGCTCGGGCACAGGGTCCAGCAGCTCAAACTCAAAGTTGCGCAGCAGCACGCTCCAGATTGTCTTGATCTGCAGGTATGCAAAGTTCTGTCCCTGCACCACAGGCAGGCTCAAGGGCAACATGGAGGGCTGGGGTGAGCAGGGGCCATGGGCACACCGGTGAGGTGCAGGAATGAGGTGCAGGAATGGCCCAGACACACCCATGTTCCCGCACAAGCATAGCATCTCTCGCGCGCACGCAGCCGCACGTGCTCACCATGCAGCCATGGCGGCCGCCACCAAAGCCCAGGTAGGAGAAGGGCAGCGGCTTGTCCTCCTCGCGTGGCGGCAGGAAGCGGTCGGGCTGGTACTCGTCCGGCTGCTTGAAGACGTGGGGCAGGCGGTGGCTGAAGGTGGGGCTGGCTGCCACGATGTGGCCCTGCGGCAGGCGCACCAGGTCGGGTCAGGCGGGGCCAGGGTTTCACACGTCCAAACAACAGACATGACAGGCAAGGTGGTACAGGCAAAGTGCTGAGCAGGCCCATCACACTCCCACCCACCACACCTTGGGCACCACATAGGTCCTGCCTTGGCTGGTGGTGACGGGGAACGACTCCTTGGCCAGGCGCATGACCATGATGAGCGGCGGGTTCATGCGCAGCGCCTCCTGGATGTTGAGGTGCAGCGTGTCCATGCCGTTGAGCACATCCATGTCCAGCTTGTCGCCGTGCTCCCTCACCACCCGTCTCTGCTCCTCCTGGGCTGCCGCAAACCACTTGGGGTTGGACAGCATGCGGTAGCCGGTCCACGAGGAGGTGACGGAAGAGGTGTGCTGCCCCGCAAACAGCAAGGCAATCAGCAGGCCCGCAATCTCATCGTCGGTGGTGGCACGACCGCTATACACATTGCGGTAGCGGCTGTCAATCAGCACCTGCGGGACGGGCAGGGTGCAGGTGTGGCGGCACCAAGATGGGCGATGAGGAGCCCGGGGGGGGGAGTTACAGCAAGACATTGCGCGCACAAGGAGGCCGTCCACTCGCTGCAGCTCCACCCAGACCTGCACCCCACCGACCCACATCCACGCCCTGTCCACCCCACACGCCCTTGCTCCAGTCAACCCAACCACCCTCAGGGCCCCACCTGCAGGATATCGTCCTCCTTGACGCCGCTGTCGCGCCGCGCCTTGATGACCTTCTTGAAGATGCCGCGCAGCGCCTCGCGCGCCACGTCGCGCCGCCGGTGGAACTCGGTGGGCAGGTAGGGGAAGAGGACGGAGATGGGGCGCATGCCATCATCCAGGTCGTGGTACAGGTCTGCCACCTCCTTGAACATGCTCTCCCGGATCTCGCGGCCTGCATGCAGTGGTGGGCATGCCTGTCACGACCCGACCAGCTGCATTGCATCATGCTGCAATGGGGGAGGGCGGGAACATGCCGTAGCACGGTGCCCCCCTCGCTGCCCAGCCCCGTCTCCCCAGCAATGCCAGCTCACCCAGCAGGGTGCGTGAGGCAGTGAGGATGATGAGGTCGGAGAATGCCTGCATGAAGTCCACCACACCCTCCTCGCCCCACTTGGAGAAGTAGTCGTCAGCCTCCTGCAGGGCAGCACCAGTTGGGGGCCACTAAGCGGCACAGAAGACACGACGGGCCAATGGCCTAAGCTGTCCCAGGTGAAGCCGGCTGCCCCTGCCAAGCGGGGATGAAGCCAGCCGCTCAACGCTGCTGTGGCGCCGCGCTCACCATCTTGAAGGCGGGCACATAGGTGCGCAGCTTGGCGGTACGCAGCGCGTCGGCCACAAAGCGGAACTGCTCGGAGCGCACGCGCTGGTCCACGTCGTACACCACGCCGTACCCAAAGGTGGGCACATTGAAGTTGTAGACCTGGGGCCAGTGGCGGCCAGGCGAGGGTGTGGTTTGGAAGAAGGGGCGGTGGGTGGCAGGCGCCGCCAGCATGGGCCGCCCCATTGCAAACAGCAGCGGCTACAGGCAAAGACACGAGAAGCCAGCGGCACGAGTAGCTGCAGGCGCACATCCCCCCAGCGGCTTCACGTGTGCCGCCCTTTTATGCACTGCCCTAGGTCCTGGGGAGCCACCACACCTCGGTCTGGCTCATCTTGTCGTCGGTGGCATTGAAGAAGTGGGGGGAGACGTGGGGTCCCAGCAGGAAGGTCATCTTCTTGTGCAGCAGAGGGATTGTGAAGGCCTCGCCATGCTTGGCATACATCTCAGTCATGAGTGGCAGCGGGCCCTGCAAAAAGGTCAGCCGGCAGCAGTGGCGGCGGCGGCAGCAGCGGGGACCCATTCATTGAGCAGCAGCCCGGCAGCCAGATGGAATATACTGAGTCGGCGCAACATGACTGTTTCTAGGTAGAGGGCTGCTGTGAATGGCGGCCCGCAGGGGTGCGGAGGAAGGCAGAGGGAGCCAGGCGAGCAACCGAAGGTGGCGGGTGGTGGCGGCCAACCCAATTGCAGGCAGCAGCGAACCTTGCTGAACTTGATCAGCCCACCCACGAAGGGCAGCCCCTCATCTACCGGTGGCGCCGCCCCAGGGAAGGCGTTGCTCAGCACTCGCAGGATCAGCAGGGAGAGGAAGATGACCGCCGCGCCGCTGGCCAGCTGCAAGGAGAGGGGCAGGGCTTGCAGGCCCTCGCTCAGAGCGGAGAGCTCCATTGGATTGGGGGAGGCAGATGGAGTCTCAGAGACCCTCAACCCGCGCGGCAGAGGAGGGGAACGCCTGCCCTACTGCTGATTATTCACTGCCCGACGCCATTCAATTTTCTTGAAAATGACTTTGCGAGCCCTGTTGCGTGGCCTCCAACATGGACACAGGCCCTCCCGGCTCCATGGGTCCTCTAGTAATGATTGCTCCATCGCGCACGCCTGCTGGTCATTGCTTGCCTCAGTCGAGTCGCACCTGCGTCATGTCCATCACCTCGACTTCACTGCACACGTCTGGGGCTCTCGTGTTCCAGTGCGCCGCCTGCAAGACCATTCTGAGCGACAGTCGGGAGTTTGTGTGCACGCTGACGGCGCCAGGCCCCGCCGCCGCCAACTATGTCGCCGTCAAAGGTGCGGGCGGGTGGGCGGCGGGTGGAGAGCACAGCAAGATTTCAAGCACAGCAGAGGCCCCTGGTTGACCGGTCTGCGCCGCTGCCTGCCTCGCCACCGCCCCGCTGGCTGTGCAGGCGTGTGTGATGCGCGGGTCGACCGGATAGCGCATACCGCAGAGCACACCACCCACTTCTCGCTGTGCTGCGCCGGTTGCGGCGGCGCGGTGGGCAGGCTGTACACCGAGGTGCCACCCGCGCTGGCACCCGTGTGCAACCTGTTTTGCCTGGAGGTCAGCAGCTGCCTGAGCTACGAGCTGGGCAGTGCGGAGGTGAGGGCGCCAGGCGGCGGCTGCGCGCCCGCCGTGGCGCAGCAGCAGCAGCAGCAACAGGTCGGCGGCCCGCAGCTACCAGGGGCAGGCGGGGATGCCACGCTCGTGCTGGAACTGCTGGCGCGCGTGGAGCACCTTGAAGCCAGCCTGTGCACGGTGCGAGGCATGCGGGGAACCCGACACACTGCTCCCTGCTCCCTGCTCCTGGCCCCTGCTCCGTGCACACACTGCTCGCTAGCCGGCAATGCACCGCTGTTGAGCCTGTCTGCTGCTTGTGTGCACCGTGCAGCTGCAAGGCATGCAGGTGCTGCATGACGCACAGCTGAGGACGCTGCCCGGCTACCAGGTGGACGGCCAATTTGCAGAGGCGGTGGCGGCGGGTGGCAGCTAGCGTCGGTTGCGGTCCACACCACTCCTCCTGTTGAACGCACTACTGTTATGCCCCGTCAGGTGTTGACACAGGCCTCAGATGCAAAAAGAGAGCTGGGATGGCGCCTCCACGTGGCCTCATCCTAGACGATTTGCTCCTGCTTGCAGCCACCCTGCACATCGGTGTGCTGCGAATCCATCCCCTGGAGCATCCGGACGAATAGAAGCGCAGCAGAATGCAGGCCCTCGCTCGCGCTCCGGCCTTCTCGGCGGCCTCTCCCGTCAGCGGCAGGCCCTCTCACCGCAGCAGACTGGTTGTGAGCGCCTCGGCCAGGTGGGCAGCAGCGTTGGGCAGTCTCCTGCACTAGCACATCTGAGAGATGCGCTGGGTGTCTATTCCTGGATTGAATTGGCATTGATTCGTGTAATTGCAGGAATGATCAGGGCATGATGCAGCAGGCGGCGGCGGCGGGCCTTGCAGCGGTGTTGGTGGTGGGCGGCGCCGCGCCCGCGATGGCAGACTCTCAGGGCAGCGCGCTGCTGGATGAGCTGCTCGCCAAGCCATCTGTCAAGGTGTGGTGCTGCTACTGTTTATTTGGCGTGTCCAACCATCTCTTGATGCTGCTTCATGACCTGGTGTGCGGTTGAACAGCATCAGGACGCTGCACAGCAAAGTACACTTCAGGATGGCCTGCTGAACGGATGCCATGGAACCCCACTTGGCTCTGTTACAGGTGCTCAAGAGTTCCCAGAAGGTCCAGGCACCGTCGTACGGCGAGGTCAAGAAGCTTGTGGCAGTCCCTGCACCCCCCAAAAAGGGCGCTCCCGCCAAGGCCGCCGCCAAGAAGCCGGCGCCTAAGCAGGAGGCTCCCAAGCCCAAGTCCAGCAGCTCCTCCACCTTCAAGCTGTCTGGGCCCGTGAGCAAGGGCGTGCAGGCACGTTCCAGCCGCATGCCAGGGAGAAAGATGCTCTGCCCGCGTTGGTCTGGCACTACTTCCACATGCGCATCTGTTGTTGTTGGCAGCAGCATGCACACGTTTGCCGATTATTCAGATGATGCGCGACTTCTCATCTATGCAGGGTGAGACGCCCGGGAGCCTGTCGGTGACTCCTAAGATCGCTCCTGCTCCAAAGTCAGCCCCTGCCAAGGCCGCACCCAAGGCTGACGCACCCAAGCCGGCGGCCAAGGCCAAGCCCGCAGCTGCGCCCAAGGCAGCCGCCCAGAAGAGCAGCTCGGACGGTGACCGCGCCAAGCAGGCCGCAGCTGCTGCTGCCGCGGCAGCAGCCGCAAGCGCCGCCTTCAAGGCTAGCCAAGCAACACCCGCCCCGGTCCCCGCAGCGCCCGCTCCCGCATCCAAGCCTGCCGTCACCTTTAAGAAGGCGACGCCGACCTTTGTGGCTCCGGCAGCACCAGCGGTGGCAGCCGGTGCCGCAGCTGTGGGCGCGGGTGGTGCTGGCCTGGAGTCTCCCATTGCGCAGGCTTCTGCTGTAGCTGCGGCGGAGCTGCTGGCAGTGGCAGCGGCCACAAGCACTGTGGGCGCCATTTTGAGCAACAGCAGTGCCAAGAAGACGGTCAAGGCGTAAAGGAGCGTGCCTTGCGTTCTGCTCACCACTGCATTACGGCTCATTCATTCATGCTGCCATTGCGTTGTTTTCCGCTCCGTTTCTGCACCGCCCTCTTTGCCGATTAGAACAATTATATGCTTTTCTTTCATTTGTCCTGACATCATTTGTATGTGTGGGGATCTCGTTGTTGTTTCTTTGATCTGTAAACAACACTTATTCTTATCTACTAGCACCTGGTTGAAAGGTACAGCCGCCCGCAGCAGTGCAGTACAGCCGCGCTGATCCAAGTCGGCACGTCCAAAGGGAATTTGCTTCCCCTCGATGATCAAAGGCGTTGCCCGCGCCAGGCCGGCTGGGTTGGCTGTGTTTGGGCGCAACTCGGCCACCAGTCTCCCTCTCTCGTTGCGCAGCAGGGTCGTGGCTGCCATGGCTGGAGCGAACGTGAGGGTGTTGGTGCCAATTGGGACCGGCTCGGAGGAGATGGAGGCGGTGAGCATAGCTCGACATTGCCACTGCCGCCGGTGCCGCCCCCACGCGGGACGCCTTGGACCGTGCAGCCAGCAGCCCCCCCAATGGGGCCTTCATGCATGCAGGTCATCACCATCGACGTCCTGCGCCGTGCGGGCGCCGAGGTGAGGCTGGCAGCAGCTGCATGAGGCTAGGGCACAAGCGGTGTGGCCTCCCTGGTTCATTCCCGTGCGGCTGCCACCTCTGGCCACGTGCTCCCTTCCTCCTTGTACCAGCCGTGCTGCACATTTCCATGACGCAGGTTACGGTGGCTTCTGTAGAGGATGACCTGACAGTGGTGTGCTCCCGGCAAGTGAGGCTGGTGGCGGACAAGAGTATCAAGGACTGCGCCGGGGACTGGGACCTGATAGCGCTACCGGTCAGTGGTGGTGGGTAGGCGTGTCCGCAGGGCGCACCGACAGTGTTGCAGCTGCAGAGGCAGGTCCAGTCTACGAGTGGCAACACTTTCTGCCTCTGAACGCTGTGGTGCACAATCCCTTGCCGCACGCCGGGATCCGCAGGGCGGCATGCCGGGGGCGGAGCGGCTGCGCGACTCTGCTGCGCTTACCGAGCTGGTGGCCAAGCAGAAGGCAGCCAACAAGCTGCACGCCGCCATTTGCGCAACGCCCGCAGTGGCATTTGAGCCTCAGGGTGCGCCGGGTAGTGGTGTAGAGGGGCAGATCACTACAAACATGTGGTTGCAGGCATGAAGAGCTACATCGTGCCAGGGCGGCGTCTCCAGCCCCGTATGGACTCATCTTTACGCCAGTTCAAGCGGCTCTGGTCCCCTTTCCTGCAGGCGTGCTGGCTGGCAAGAAGGCCACCGCGCACCCCGCATTTTCCGCCAAGCTGACAAACCAGGCTGCCGTGGAGCAGCGAGTGGTGGTGGACGGCAAGCTGGTGACCAGCAGGTGGGGGCGATAAGTTTGCAGTTCGAGCCTCGGTTGATGGCTCACTCTCGCAAACATGTGCTGGAGTTGAATCAAGAAAGACTTTCCCCTTGGACCATCATCAACACCCATGGTGCTGCGGTCTGTGCAGGGGCCCGGGCACTGCGTTTGAGTTTGCGTTGGCGCTGGTCAAGATGCTTTACGGCGAGGAGAAGATGAGGGAGGTTGCGGGGCCCATGGTCATGGCAGACGGCTACGACAAGGCTCTGTGAGCTGCTTGTCATGCATGCGGTTGGAGCTGCGTGGAGCTCCAAGCTGCGTTGCTGCTCGATGCTTGCCATGTTGCCAGTTAATGAACAGTTCGTGCCTGCGGGTTGGTCTGCGAGTGTAACAAACAGGCAGTAACAGCATACGTAAAGCTTCCTTGCTTCAGCCTGCTTCAGCCTGCTTTGTGCAACTGCTGTTCATAAACACGTGCTATCAGATTGGAAGTGTGCAACGAGAGGCAACGTAGGACCTGAAAAAAGATGCTGAATCAGATCATGCGTCAGAAAAAGGGTTCGTTTGAACGAAATGCACTGCAGGGTGCCGAGAAAAAGGATGGAAAATCCCTGCAAGGAAATGCCAGAATCATTCATTCATGCTGACCGAGTTGTGCTGCTTTTGTAGATCAGGCAGGCACTGCCTCTGCTGCCGCGTCCGGCTCCTGCTGCTGCTTGCCGCCCTCCTCGTCACTGCCGCTGCTATCTGACGCCCCGGAATGCACCCAGAAGGCACCCAGATCTGCTGTGTTGACCAGGCGTTGGTAGATGCCGCCTTCCAGCCTTAGCAGGTCATGATGGCTGCCCTGCTCCACAACCATGCCCCCTGCCACCACTGCAATTACGTCTGCACGACGCACAGTGCTCAGCCTGCATAGGGCGCAGCCAGGTTGGCACCACGGGTCGGGGGGTCAGCATAATTGAGATTGTGAACAGTTTACGCTGCTTGTGGTTGTTCGTATCCTGTGGTTGCTGCTGCCACTGATGGAGGCCCATACCTGTGAGCAATGATGAGCTTGGTGGCGGCCAAGGAGCGCAAAGTGTCGCTAATGTACCGCTCGCTGGTGACATCCAACGAGCTGGTGACCTCGTCGAGTACCAGGATCTGGAGTGGGGCAGTGTGGGCGACACGGCTGAGCAGGGTCAAGGGTCAACGCGTGCAGGTAGTGCCACGCTCACAGCAAGATGTGCCAGGCATTTTGGTTTTGTAAAGGCAACAACATGACAGTGCAACATGTCCGCAGGCAAGCATACCGTGGGGTGCAACAGCAGGGCCCTCGCAATCGCGAGCCGCTGCTTCTGTCCGCCAGACAGGGCGTGGCCGCGCTCCCCCACTTCCGTCTCGTAGCCATTGGGCAGCTGCCGCACAAACTTGTCTGCATGTGCCGCGCTGGCCGCCTCTAGCACCTCCTCAATGGCAGCGTCTGGCTTGCCGTAGCTGCATGGTACATATGGCATGGCGGCATTTGTTGATAGGTGGGTGGCAGGGGTTGACAGACGGTATCACGCCTGCCCCAGTAACAGGGTCACGCTGCTATCGTATAGAGATTCAGGTGCAATGTTCCAAGCAGCTCTGCCCCAACTACCCACCTGATCTGCTCACGCACGGAGCCCGACATGAGCATCGCCTGCTGCAGCACCGCAGCCATGCCCACCGCCGCCGCGCTGCCGCCAGCCTGGTCCTCCGGGTCAAGCGGCTGCCCATTCACCAGAATAGTGCCCTGCAGTGGGTGGTACAGGCCTAACAGCAGCGCCGCAATGGTGGACTTGCCGCCGCCGCTGGGCCCCACCAGCGCCACCGTCTGCCCTGGCAGCAGCGTTAAGCTGAAATTCTTGACGGCCCAGTCCTCGGCCCCTGGATAACGGAACCAAACGTCCCGGAACTCCACCTGGCCGCCTTGGCCGCTGCTGCCACTGCCGTTGGTGCTGTTGGGAGTGGGCATCTCCAAGGCACGCGCTGCCACCCCGCTGATTCCCGCCACCAAGGCCTGCTCGCCGCTGTCGCCGCTGCTGCTGTGACTGGGTGCCGCAGCCCTGGTCTCACTACTGATGCTATTGCTGCTGGCGACGGCATTGGCGCTGTCCGCTGCTGGTGCTGCTGCTGCAGTGGGAACCACCAGCTCTGCAACGCGTTCCAGAGCGCCTACTGCCTTGCCCAGCTCCCCAAGGCTGGCAGCCACGGAGCTGAGGCCCACGGAAATGAACAGATTGAACACATTGACTGCGCAACACAACGAGGCCAGCGGGGGCACGCAAGTGAGCCTGATGTGGTGCCAGCCCCTGAAGTGTAGGCAGCAATAACCGGCTGCCCAGGGTCACAGGGTGCTCCAGGCTGGGTGATGGGTGCGGCTGCTGAGCAGTAGCCATCAGCCCCGCTCGCCACCCACTTGCTCACCTGCCAGCAGCGCCCCCACGCTGATCCGGTTCTGGATGACGAGCATGCCGCCTAAGCCCAGCAGCGCCACCGTGCCTACATTGACAGCCAGCCGGCCGGCCCCTTCCACAATGCCCTGCGATTACCGTTGATGACACAGTGCATAGCTTCAGCCAATGCATGAGCACGCTCGCAGCTGGTGCTGGTGGTGCTCAAGTGGCGGGACGGCAGGCAGGTGTGTGGGGCAGGGTGGGGCAGCACATTTGGTGCACCTGGAAGAAAGCGTAGCGCTGCGCCATGTCGTAGCCACAGGCAGACAGGTCCCTGAACGCGCCCGTCTCACGCTCCTCCTGCGCAAACACTTGCACCGTCTGCACCTGCGAAAGCCGCTCCGACGCAAAATCCAGCGCCTTGGCCGCCACCTGCGCCCACCAAGAGCGAGCCGCTGAGTTGGCCGAGTGACATTCGGTTCGCCCCCTCTTCCTTGCCAAATGTACGCCCTCCCATCCCACTCATCCCGCCCCACCTGCTGCCGCTGGTAGATGATGGCAGAGCTGCGCACCACGACGGCACGCAGCAGGCGGGAGAGGGCGGGCGTGATGAACAGGGTGACAAAGGCCAGCAGTGGCTGCTGCAGCGCAATCATGGCCAGCGCGCCCACCACCTCAAACATTGACCGGAAGCCGCGCTGGCCGATGAAGTCTGCAGGTGGCAGGTGCATGGTGGATGTGGGTGTGTGAGCGGACGTATGCCACCAGACTGGCAGTGGGTGTTGGTTCTGGCGGCTGGGCAAGGCATGCTCCCCTTCCCCAGGCCGCACCTGCCAGCGTGTTTTGCAGCACGGTGACGTCCAGCGTGAGGCGAGACAGGAGGTCCCCCTTGCTGGCAGCATCAAAGAAGGCCTGGTCCCGAGCCATCAGCGTGCCCATGAGCCACCCCCGCAGCCGGTGTCCAAACCGCTCGCCCAGCAACGAGCTGCACCATGACACCATCGCGTTGCCGGTGGCTGACAGCACCAGGCAGGCACTGAGCTTGAGCATGACGGCGGTGAAGGAGGTGGGAGGAGCGCCTGCTGTGGCAGGAGCCAGGCCCGCAAATGGGTTGATGGCCGCCGCCGCACCCTCTCCTGCCAGCCCGCCGTTGGCGCGGACGAGATCAAAAACCTGCAGTGAACATAGACATGCAGATCAGAACATGATAACTGGAGGACATCAAACATGTGATCACTTTTCACACACCTCGCCGATGACGAGCGGGAAGCAGAGTGTGAAGGCTATCGTCGCAACCAGCACCACCGTCGTTAGAAGCAACAACGGCCAGTCTGGCCGCAGCGTCTCCATTGCCAGCCGCAGAGCCGATGCCGCATTCTGCGAGGCCGCAGGTGTTGGGGAGGCGGCAGGTGCTGCCGTGTCTGCTGCTGATGCTTTGGGCTGGCAGCGCTGCTGCCGCCTTTGCTGCCGCTGCTGCCGCTGCTGCTCAGTTTGAACGGTGCCGTGGCTGCGCCTCAGAGGACTCGCTGGCAAGGGCCGCACTGGCTGCTGCTGGGTGGTGATGGCGGCATGGCTGTGGCTGGGCTGCGAAGCAAGCGCTAGCAGGTGCCGCTGCGGCGTGGGAGGTTGCCTGGCGGCAGGGGCGCTCAGCCGCCACTGCCCATTCTGCCGCAGCGCCACAGCGCAGGGCACATGCGGCCGCGCCGCAAGCATTCGTGATGGCTGGCCGGTTTTCTATGGTGGGAAACAGAACAAGGCGCATGCAGAGCAACCACAAGGAGAGCGGTGGGCGCTGCCTGTATGAGCACAGTCAGAAGGTAAGTCGCTGTCGTGAGTTTTGTAGTCTGGCGAATGGTTGCCGGTGAGAGCACAGTCTTGTGTACTGCCTCTCTGGTACAATCACACCAGGTGCTGCAGCTTTCCCCTCTGCGTCCTTGATTTCCGTTTCAAACCCACTATCGCGTCCAGCTTGTACGTCACTTCGCTTTGGAGGCATGAAATAACTGTGACGCGGAGGACAGACCTCGACAGAAGCGGGTCGGGAGCGCCCCGCCCGAAGCATGCGGACGGGCGGGAAAGGCAGGGAGGTGGGGAAGGTAGTTAGCTTCGGCTTGCATCCTCTCCAGCCGCAGCAGACCCCCGCCACCACCCGCCCGCACACCCGGCCACCGCTGCTTGCGCAGACTGGGTTGGTGCAGCCGCTGTGGAGCCCCGGCTCTGCCTTGACGCCCCAGCTGTTCACGCAGCGCAAGAGCCTGTTTGCGAGCGAGGCGCCCGTGCATGGCGGCAGCGCGAGCGGCAGCCCTGCAGGCGGTGCACCGCCCAGCGCCACCGACGACAGCATCAAGGTTGTTTTGAGGATTCGGCCCCCCACTGGCAAGGAGACGGCCGAGGCGGCATGCCTGCAACACACTGGTGTGGACACGCTCACGCTGCTGACCAACCCAGAGCCTACATTCTACACGCTTGATCATGTGGCGGGCGGGTCCCAGGCCCAGGCTCATATGCACAAGGTGGTGGGCCGGCCCATCGTGGACAACGTTTTGGCGGGCTTCAACTCCACGATTATCGCGTATGGACAGACGGGGAGTGGCAAGGTGGGCAACCCACTGGAAGCTGCCCTGGGACCACCACTTGCATAAAGTGGCCGCGATCTGCTTGGATGGGCACCCTGGTGTGCCTGCTGCCCTTCCTGTATCCTGCTTCACCGCGTCACTAGCTGCCCCTGGCTGGGCTGCCCTGGCCCCCGCAGACCTACACCATGCTGGGGGAACTGCCGGAGGAGGGAGTGGAGGAGCTGCCGGGGGGTGCGGGCCTCATGCCTCGCATTTTTGCCCACCTTTTTGAGCGCATCAGCGAGATAGACCGGGCATGCCGAGCGGGGCGGGAGGCTGCGTTCACCGTGTCATGCAGCCTGCTCGAGGTGTACCAGGAGCAGGTGAGGGGGTGATGATGGGTGGCTGGGCTTTTTCACAGGGTGTCGCGCGCAAGCATTCTAGGAACTTGGAGGATGGCATTGCTGTGCACCACCTGGTGCCTATCTCTGCCTGCCACACCGTACAGGTCACTGACTTGATGGCCACATCGGCACGGGTGACACTGCGGGAGGACAAATCGGAGGGAGTCTTCATTGAGGGACTCAGCTGGCATCCCGTGGCCTGCGGTGAGGCGCATTGGTGGCGGCTGTCACAGATCAGTGGGATCGTTGGCAGCAGCTGTCGCAGCCTTGAATGCAGCCTCCGGTTCCAACCCCCGTGCGCAGCTGGCGACGTGTTGCGCCTGCTGACCAAGGGCGCCGCCTACCGCCATACTGCTACCACCAAAATGAACGACACATCAAGCCGCAGCCACATGGTGAGAAGCAGACAAGGAGAGAAGCGGATGATGGAAGGCTAGCTGTCAGTGTCTGCCTTGGCTGCCCGGTGGGCTTTCACATCTGAAGCCTCGAGCCTGGCTCCTCTTTTCGCAGGTCATGACGTGCTCTCTGGAGATGCGCATTGTGGAGGAGGGGGCAGGCGTGGTGCGGCGACGCAGCCGGCTCAGCCTGGTGGACCTGGCGGGCAGCGAGCGGCAGAAGGCGGCCGACACGCAGGGGGACCGGCTTAAGGAAGCACAGGCCATCAACAAGAGCCTGTTCACGCTGGGGCAGGTGGGTAGGTGCCAGCTATCCAACACTCGCTTCACACACACACATTTTGGCAGCCGGTGAGCATCAAACGTGCCCCATGCCGTTGGCTCAGGTCATCAACAAGCTGACCGAGGGCTCCGCCCATGTGCCGTACCGTGAGAGTAAGCTCACGCAGCTGCTGCGCGAGTCGCTGGGGGGCAACAGCCGCACAGGTATGTGTGCTGAAGAATGGGAGGTGCCAAGGAATGAAGAATGCGTGCACATTGTCCCCGCAGTGCATCTGCATTCTACAGCTGCAGTCGCCGGCCCGTTCATGCATGCCCTGCCCCTGGCATGCAGTCATTATTCCCACCGTGGCGCCCTGTGCCTCTTGCTTCTTTGAGACGCAAAGCACACTGAAGTTTGCTTGCCGCGCAAAGCAGGTCAGACTGGCTACCGCAAAAAGCTGCTCGGTCTCAGCGCTGCCTACAACTGTCCCTTCTTTATTGTTTTGTTTTTTCCTTCCCCTCAGATCCAGAATCGCGCGGTGGTGAATGAGGACGTTTCGCAGAGCGCTGTGGAAATGGCGGCAGAACTGCAACGCCTGCGGCGCGAGGTCGCCATGCTCAGAGGGCTGGCCAACAGCAGCAGCGGCGGCAGCGACGGCTCCACAGAACTGAGGCAGGCTCTGGTTGTCAATGAGCAGCTAGAAGACAGCAACAAGCATCTACAGCAACAGCTGGGGCGCCTGAGGCAGTGAGTGCACAAAACACGTGTCAGTCAGCGCCATGTCATGCACTTTCTTCTGGACACGTAGACTCACTGGGCCGCTGTTGCTCACCCTCTGTTCGAGCAGGGAGCGTGATTCTTATGAGGCTGCCTCCAAGGCTGCTCACGCACAGCTGCAGATTCTGGAGCAAGCGGAGAGCGGAGCAACTGAAAGGATGCAGGACCTGGTTGCCGAGGTGGAGCGCCTGCAGCAGGCCTACACCGATTGCCAGACAAAGCTGGAGCAGCAGCGTGGCCAGCTGGGTGGCATGGCGGCTGAGACGCGGCAGCGCGCCCTGGACCAGCGGCTTGCCGCTGCGGCACTCTCTCAGCAGTCAGCGGCACTGTCCAAGGCAGAGCAGGAGCTGGAGGTGGCGCGAGCACAGCTGGCAGCGCTCCAAGCCTGCGAGGGTGCCAAAGAGAACAAGCTGCGCAGGTGCATGTGTCGGCCTAGAGGTGGGAGCATGGATCTTTAAGTTTGAATAGATGGTCATGTTTGATCCCCGGCATGCCACCTGCCTCCCCTGCAGCTCCCGGGAGATGGCCGCCACTGTGGCATCCCTGGAAGCCACCTACTGCACGGTCCAGATGCAGATGAAAAGGCTTATGGACCGCAATGACGCGCTGGTGGCGGAGCGGGATGGGCTGAAGGCCAAGGCGAGTGCTGCCGCAATCAGATCTGGTGGGATGCCCTGTATGCATGAACCGAGCTTCTCCCTTGCCACCCAGGTGATTGTTGCCAGGCTTCCTCCCTGCCTGTGCCGCCTAGTTTTCGCTCCTGTGTGTGGATGCAGGTGCAAGATTACGAGGTGCGGGCAGCCAACGCCGCCACCGTTATTGCGTCGAGCCAGGCACAGGTAGAGGCCCTGCGCGGCGAGAGGGCCGCCCTCCAGGACGAGGCAGCGCGCCTGACGGGTGCCCTGGCGGAGGGCAAGGCGCAGCTGCAGGCCCTGGCCAAGCGTAACGGCGAGCTCAGGTGGGAGGGCGAGTGGGTGGTGGTGTGGCTCAGCCCTGTCACAAAAGCAAGCTCATGCTTGCTGTCTCGCTTACCTTTGACCCCTGATTCGAGAGGGCGCTTCTCTGCTGCTATTGCAGCTTGGAGATTGACAACCGCCGCAGCTTCGACAACGGGATCCAGCACCTGCGTCAAGAGCTGGCGGAGGCGAAGCAGGATGCAGATGCCCTGCAGTGCAGCAAGGCGGCTGTGGCAGAGCGGGTGGTGCTGCTGGAGATGCAGCTTCAGGAGCAGTCTGTGGAGGGGAAGCAGACGGCCGCTGCTGCAGCTGTGCAGATCGACAAGCTCTCAGTGCTACTGAGGGATGCCAAGGAGGTGCGCATCTGGGCCCTTCGCTTCTGGTTGGTGCTGCGCTGTGTATCCAGAACCCATGGCAGTGGCGACGTGGCATGCAAGCTAATCATATCTGTCATTCTGTTTCCGCTCTCTGTCCCTCTGCTCCACGCTCCACCTCACCCGCAGCACATCTTTTGTGCACAACACATCTTTTGTGCAGGCCAGCCTGGCACATGAGGCATCGGCAGCCTACCAGCGCGGGCACCGCGAGCAGCTGGAGAAGGAGCACACTCGGCTGATGCGCGAGAAGCAGCAGCTGGAGCAGCGGCACAAGGAGCTGGTGGACAACCTGAGGCGCAACCGAGAGGGTGAGCACAGTCCGGATGTGCACAGCCAGGCAATTTGGTGGGGTTTGGGCCTGAGTGGTCGCAGCGGACTTGATTGAAACATGTCATATGCAACTACTGCGTGCGTTTCCATTCTTTGACAGCATGCCTGGCTGTCCTGCAGACAAGTCCTCCGCCCGGGAGTCGCAGTTGGCGGAGCTGGACGAGGCATGGTCTCAACTGGATGTGCTGGAGAACACGGTGGGAGAGCTGCGGCGTGCCAAAGTGCAGCAGACGGCAGAGCAGGCTGAGGATGTCGGCCTGCGCCAGGAGCTGGACCAGGCGCGGCAGCAGCACAGCGACGCGGTGGAACGCCTGGCACTGGCAAAGAGCGAGCGTGATGCACTGGAAAAGCAGGTGGAGGCGCTGCACAGCCGCGGCGCTGCCGATGAGGCGGCTCTGTCCGGGCAGCAGGCGCTCGTGCGGGAGCTGAGGGACCAGGTCAAGGAGGCGGCGGCCGAGATGGAGCAACTGCGGGTGAGTGGTGGACAGGAATGGGACCGTGGTGCTGCTCGTCTTGACGGGCAACAGTATTAACGTGGCTGCTGTTGGTGCAGGACCGGATTGGTGAAAGCCAGGCACGCCTGCAGGCAGACCACGAACAGCAGGCTAGGCAGGGGGAGGAGCTGGAGGCCGCCCTCAATTCTATAACACACAAGGATGCTCTGCTCGACCAGCTCACCTCCCAGGCATGCCGAAGCTGGTTGCTTCCTGGCACCGGATTGGAAATGTCCCAGGGGATCGCTGCCTGTGCAGCACCCTTGCCACCAGGGACCATCGCAGAACTGCCTGTTCTACTGCTGCAGGCAGAGGAGCTGTCCCGCCGCCTGCAGGAGGTGCAGAGCAGTGCGCAGGGCTCTTCGGCAGAAGCGGCGCAGCTGCAGGAAATCCTGCATGTCAAGTCTGACCGTCTCGAGGCCCTGGAGGCAGAGGTGGCGGTCGGGCAGGAGCGGCTGGTGGAACTGGAGCGGGTGCAGGAGGCCAGTAGGGCGGCGTCAGAGGGGGGCCAGGCGGTCGTTATCACCCTGCGGGAGCAGGTGGTGACGCTTGAAGCAGAACTGAGCCAGGCACAGTCGGAGCTATATGCCAAGGATGGCACCATTGCAGGTTGCGCCATGCCTACCAGCTGATCCATGCAGCATGCGCCCTGATGGTGGCTGTTGGATCTGCGAGCTGTCTGCTTGGTTGATGAGCTGTCTGCTTGGTTGATGAGCTGGTGATGCAGGGTTCCATGGCAACAACTGAAGTATGTTCAATTGCCTCCCCCTTGCTGTAGGCTTGGAGGCTGCCTTGGCTGAACTTCAGACCCAGCTACAGCATCACACCGAGCAGGCACAGGAGGAGGGTGCAGAAGCGGCCGCTGAGCTACGCAGCATAGAGCAGCAGCTGGAGCGGGCGCAGCAGCAGCTGGCCGATGCGCAGCAGGGCCTGGCAGTGCGCACGCAGCAGCTGCAGGCACACGAGGCGGCGGTGGCAGCGCAGGCGGAGCAGGTGTCGAACGCGCAGCGGGCATCTGGGGCGCAGGCGGCGCAGCATGCAGAGCGGATGGCTCAGGTGCAGGCTGAGCTGGCAGCATCCAAGAAGCGGGCAGATGAGTGCAGCGCAGCAGCCAAGGCTGGCGCTGTGCGAGCAGATGGGCTGGAGGCACAGGTGGCGCGGCTTACCAAACAGCTTGCGGCGGCAAAGGAAAAGACCGTGCAGTATGACAGTGCCGCGCTCGACTTGGAGAAGCAGCTGTCAGCTGCGGAGGCTGCGCTGGCCAGTAAGGGCAGGGAGCTGGAGGCAGCAGCGGCGGCACTCACGGCGCTGGAGGAAGAAGCTGTGGTACTGCGGCAGCAGCTGGCCCACAAGGGCACGGAGTTGGAGGCAAAGGTGCGGTTGAGAGGCTGGCACGCAGCACGCTTGAGGTCACGCCAGCCAAAATCCATCGCACCCTGCCTTGTCAGCATTGTTCCTAAGCCCTTGCTGCTGTCGCCATGCCATCGTCCCCCCTGGCACAGGAGTGGCGCATCGAGAGCTTGCAGGGGGCACTGGCAGACCTGGAGCAGGAGATGGCAGGCAAGGCTGCAGAGGCAGAGGCGAGCACCGCGCGCACGGCGATGCTCACCAAGCAGCTGGACGAGCGGGAGGCAGAACTGGAGGCAATGCTAGCAGATGTCAAGCAGCAGGCCGCCGCGAGCCGGGATGTGCTGGGAGCCAAGGCGGCAGAGGCGGCCTCCCTCCAGCAGCAGCTGGCGGCATCGCGGCAAGAGGTGACTGAAATGTTGGACACCCAGGCCCAGCTGCAGGCAGCCCAAGAGGCCAGCCAGGGACAGCTGGCTGCTCAGCTGCAGGCGGCCGAGGCCGAGGCCGCCAGCAAGCAGGAACAGGTGGAGGCAGCAGAGGCTAAGCTTGCAGCAGCAGAGGCGGGAGCTGCTGCCACAGCGGCGTTGCTCGCGAAGCTGCAGGCTGGCGCCACTGCTGCAGAGGAACAAGCTGTGGCGGCCAAACGCGCAATGAAGCAGTCGCAGGCAGACACCGCAGGCCTGATCCAGGAGCACTTGGCCACGCTGCGATCGGTGCAGGAAGAGGTGAGGGTTGCGGCTTCGTTATAGAGAGCGTCCTCACCCACAGCATCAAAATCCCCTGCCTATCGCAGCCTTCTATTGCCTGCCTCCCCATTCTGCTTCAAGCAGGTGGCAGCGCTGAAGGCGGAGGCTGACAAGGCGCAGCGGGAGAAGCAAGTGCTGCGGGAGGTGAGCATGCCTGGTTGGGAGAGGGAGTTGGTTGGGAGGGGTGGTCAAAATCTGGGCAACTCTCAACGATGTGACCCTAATCAAAGATGTGAACTCCTGCCTTCAACCCACCTGACGAGGTGACGGAATGCTTCACATGCATGGCTGGCTGCAGAGCCTGTGCCAGGCCACCGCAGATGCAGTGGAGCAGATGGCGGCGCACCAGGAGTTCCGGGCAGAGCGGGACGAGGCGGTGGGCATTCTGCGGGCGCAGGTGGCCCAGCTGCAGGCGCTGGGGGCCTCCAGGCAGCATGAGCTGCAGGGCACCATCAGCCGGCTGGAAGGTGGGTGGCAACGTGTGCAGGCTGGTGGCATCTTTTGATCGCTGCTGAAGCTCCTGATTCAATCAAGCACGCGCATGCTGCTGCCCACATTGTTCGTTCCTTGTTCTGTTGCCTGTTGCAGATCTGCAGAAGCAGGCATCCAATACCAAGGCCCAGGCGGTGGCAGCAGAGCAGGCGCTGGCCACTGCCACCGCCGAGCGGGACCGCCTGGCTTCAGCACTGGCACAGAAGGATGCTGAGCTGGTGGCCGTGCAGGCCGAGCGCGACGGCCTGCTGGCCGACCAGCAGCAGCTCATGCAGGCTGTGGCGGAGCAGGCGGCGCAAGCTTCCGAGGACGCGGCCCACGGCAGCGGCGTGACTCCTGCTGTCGCCATCGCTGCGTCTCCTGCGCCGCCCTCGCTGGACGTGATCCGGATGCTGCGGGACCAGAAGGATGCGCTGAAAGCACAGCATGAGGCCACTGTGGCGGTGAGTGGCCTGGGGCTGAGATGAAGCATTGTTCTGCCAAGGAGTGGCACTGCTGGTTCAGCCCCATGCCCACCGACCCCGCAGTTGCCTGCCGACCTGCAGCCTGCCCGCTGCCCTACTTGCCCGCCTGCGCAGGACATGAAGGAGCTGATGTCCAGGGAGGCGCAGCTCCTACGCCAGCAGCTGCAGAGACTGACGCGCGAGCGCGACAACGCCGTGGCGGAGCACTCGTTTGCGCGGGAGGAGGCGCGGGTGGCGGCGGCCAACGGCGAGCGCGCCCTGGCGGCCGCGCGTGCAGCACAGTCGCAGCTGCAAATTGAGCGGGACGCAATCATGTCCAGCCTCAGCGAGCTGCAGGCTGCTTTCAACACAGTGGAGGCCAAACGGGGTGCGGAAATGCGGCGCCTGAAAACAGCTGTGGAAGTCGAGCAGCGCGAGGCAGCCGAGCTGAGGGCGCAGCTGGAGCAGTACGCCATAGAGCTGCGCCACCTGAACACTGCGGCGGCTGCAGGCCAGGCAGCGCCCCCTCCTGCTGCCGTCGCTGCCCCTGCCGCCGCCCCCATGGTGGAGCCCCAGGGGCGGGGCAGCCACGCGGGTCAGGCCAGGGTTCAGCAGCAGCAGCAGCGCAATGCCGACATTGATGGCGACGTGGTGCTGCAGCGCTCGCTGGCCAGCAGCCAGGGCCAGCCCATGCCTCTGCAGTCGCTTCGGCTGGTGGCACGGCAAAACGTGGCAGCGGGAATGGCCGCGGCCGAGCCGCCAAAACAGGGCGGCTGGGGAACGGGTTATGAGAGGGCGTTCTTGGTAAGTGAACAAGCCTATCGACAAGCTGCTGTGAAAGTGCTGCCAGTGCCTACGGATCTTACTACCGATGCCGTGTTGCAGGAGGGCGGCACGAGTCCAAACGGCAGTGTCGCCTCCCAGCACGGTGGCGGCAGCGGCTTCCTGTCCAGCCGCTGGCTGGTGGGCCAGGATGAGAACAGCAGGGGCCACCCAGCCACCCAGCGTGCGCGCTTGCCATCCGTTGCCCGCTACTCGCGCTTTGACGGGGAGGGGCCCAGCAATTGAGCGCCAGGCGGCGAAGAGCGCTGCATTGTCTTGGGTTCGTAAATCGGCTCTATTTCGATCAACTTGGAGTGGGAAATGTAGCTTGTGCTTGCGACACCTCTGGTTGCCCTGAGCGGCACGTTTGGCAACGTCTCCCTCCCCTCCTGAGGCCAAGTCAGGCGACCAGCACATTGCGCTTGCTGAGTTCCCCTTGTGGAACAGCCGAGCACGAACAGGATCATTCCTCTTATTAGCAGCAGTGAGGCCATCTCAACTTCAGAGGTTGAACATGCAGCGTGGCGCCGGTGGTACATTTGGGTCGTATGTACATACATATACCCCCCGCACATCCATTCAGTGTGTTACACCCTAAATACGCGATCGAATGTTTCAAAGCCGGCAGCTGTCGGGGCTGCTTACCTGGCGACGGGAGACAGCTGGAGACTCGAGGTTAGCAGAGCGTGTGAGGGGCCGTCGCACGGTCTTGCAGCCTACCCGGCTTAGTCCCGCAGTTGCGCAGTGTTTCTCGCTGCTCCTGCAGGCGGCAGTTGCTTTGCGCTCGCCCGTTCCTGCAGCGTCCCTTCTGCTCCCACGCGCATCATGAGTTCCGATGCCCCGCCCGGAAAGAAGAGGGGCAGCAGCAGCCTGGTGCAGCGAGGCAGCAGGTTTCTGGCCCTACAGCTGCGCATAATGTCCGTGCTCCAGCTCCTGGCCGGAGGAGGCTACATCGGCGTGGCCGTCATGCTACAGTTCCCGCCTGGCGACCCGCTGACGCTGTGAGTGGCGCGGCGTTGGCAGGAGGTTCCTTGGCCACCGACAGGCGGCGCTGCCGTCGCCCAGCTGCCGCTCCGCGCCCGCTCTCCCTGCCTTTTCATTGCCCCACAACCCTTCCCATTCTCGTGGCGTAGGGGTTTGTGGGCCATTGGCTGCCTGGCCATCCTTACTGCGATCTGCGGCTGCATTGGCGGCTGCCGTGTCCGCTGGTGCCTGGGCGTGTACGTTGTGCTGGCGGTGCTGGCATTGGCTGGCCAGCTCGGCTTTGTGCTCTACCTGTTCATTGCACCCGATCAGGCTGAGGAGCAGCTGTCCAATTACCAGCGCACCAAGGATGGCCAGATCAAGTGAGTGCTCCGGTGCAGCTAGGCGGGGTGCCAGGGCGTGGCCGCATGCTTGTGGCCGGGCTGGCCTGCTGGCCAAGCCCACCACGGCCACCTTGGTCTGGTTGCGCTGATGTAATGCACACCACCACCTCCTGATCCTCCGGGCCGCCACCCTGCCGCAGGGACAACCTGCACGAGATCATCATCATCGGCCGCTGGGTGCTGCTGGGCCTGCTGGGCGCCCAGGTGCTGGCCATCGGCCTGGCCTCCTGCCTGCGCTGCTGCACTCGGCACCGCTCCTACGTGGAGTTCCAGGAGGAGGAGCAGGCAGAGTATGAGGCGCGACAGGATGCGGCCACAGACCAGCTGGCGCAGCTGCGCGTGAAGCTGGGGCTGGCAGAGGGGCAGGTGCCGGGCGAGGCAGGCGCGGCGGCGGCCAAACGCCAGGTTATCAACATTCACGCGGTGTCGGGCACGGCGGCTGAGCGCCAGGCAGCGGCGCAACAGCAGCAGCGCGCCATGCGCAGCAGCCTGTTCCAGCGCAGCCAAGATGGTGAGGATGTCAAACTTGACGCCGACCTGGAGGCTGGCAAGATGATTGGATCCAGGTGGGTGGGCGCTGTTGGGAGGCTGCCAGGAATCCTGCCCTGAATCCCCTTTGAAATGCCATTCGCTGGAACTCTATTCTCAGGAGTCTGCAGCCCTTTGCCGCTCACATCTGCCGTTGCAGGGTGGCCACCGACACGGATGCCAACCCTTGGGAGGCGATGCCGGCGCAGCCCAGCCCCACCTCTGCCTGGCCCCAGGCCACCACCCCCTCTCCGCAGCGCAGCTTCAAGCCCACTTGGTCAAAGGCCGGCAAGCAGTGAGGAGGTCACATTCACCAGCAAAGCGCTAGCGCCACTCCTCCTGCAATTCTTGTTTTCCCCTGTTCCCCCAGTATTTTCTCGTTTCCGCCATTTCCCCTCTCTGCCCATGTGGGTTCGTCAAACAATTATTTCCCCTAGGTTAGACTGAAGGCACTTCTCAACGATGTTTGCCTGCGCTAGTGGGCAAAATTACAAAATTGAGTTGAAAAAGTGGAGCGTGGTCACCACAGGGGTTGCAGCTGGGGTGCAGCTATCGAGGGCCATGCGCAGGCGCAGGTCAAGTGCACGATGGGAGGTTGAAAAAACAGCTATGGCAATGCGGAGACATGATAGAAGCGTCTAGTGAAACACAGGGTACAACAGTTTTGGATGGAAAGCGTGTGGATTTTGCAGTGCGTTTGCAGTGCAGCTCATGAGCACCACTGCTGCGGGAGGAACTGGCGGCCGGCGCAGTATCGCAGGGCGCGAGTAGAGGCCTGGTGCTTGGTGGAGGCTCGGTTGTGGAGGCTGCCGGCCAGGGCCGCCTCACTCGGTCTTCTTCAGGTAGCGCGTCAGCTGGGCCACGGCCGAGGTGTAGACAAAATAGCACCAGGGCACCCAGCTGGGGATGCCGGAGTGCGGGATCTCGGTGAACAACGTGGCGCCCGGGTAGTGCCACAGCTGCAGGATGTGCATCAGCATCAGCTGCAGGGGGCGGGGGCGCGGGGGACGGGCGGCGCATGTCAGCAGGGACCAGAGGCTGGCTTGGGGACCGGAGGCTTGCTCCTGCGCTGCCAACATGTGCAGCGCCGCACTCGAGCGGCAGAGCCTTGAACATGAAGCGCTGCATGCCCACCTCAGCCGCGGGGCAGGCCAGCGCGCACAGCAGCGCCAGCGCCAGCCCCTGCTTGGTGCCATCAAAGATGAGGTAGTTGACCGCCGCGCAGCCGGCCAGCGCCCACGAGATTTGGTCGGCGGGCACGTTGTTGTCATACAGCACGCTGGACAGCGCCAGCACCGCCGCCACGGAGCTGCAGGCAGACAGGCGGGAGCACGCGACACGCATGGCATCAGCAACTTGCAGGGAGAACTAAATCTGTGTTGCAGCTTCCTCCCTGGGGTGCTCACACGCCAGGTTGCCCGGCGTCCCTCACCCAAAAGACAGGCACATCGTGCCCAGGCTGCACCGCCGGTAGGCGTCCTCAGTGGCCTGGTCGCCCGCCTCCAGCAGCCAGCTGTCGGCCTTGTAGACCAGGCCGCCCAGCACCATGTAGTAGGCTGCAGGCAAGCAGGGGCACGGGAGGGAGGACCAGGTTGGTGTGTACCGCTGGCGGGCGGATGGTGAGGAGCAGGCCTGGTTTCCGGACGGGTGGCATGCCGGGTATTCGGGCCACGAAGGAACAGGATTTGCGCGTGGCAGAAAACAGCAACTACTTGCCTGCCAGCAGCGGCGGCACCACGGCCGACGTGTGCAGGCCACCGTGCACCAGCGGCAGCTTGTCATACACCAGCACTTGCACACGGCTGTGGATGCCGTCCATGTAGGTGCCGATGGAGGCGCCGGTGAGGCCCAAGGTGGTGGCAATGGAGATGATGTCGCCCACGCTGCCGGGCATGTCCTTGCTCTTGGGCGCGGGCTGGGACCCGGGCGGGGGCAGGCGGGTGGACGCCGCCCGCACCGCCACCGCCGGGCGCCGCGTCACCGGCCGTGCCAGCGCGCGGACGCCGGCCGGGGGAAGCACAAGGGTTGACGCGCTGGCCATCATGGCTGCTGCTGGGGTGCAGGCACCTGGAATGTGCAGGTGTGCAGGTCCCAAGGGAGGGCCTGGAGGCGCGGCGGGAGCGGCTGAGAAGGACTGCTGAAGGTGAGGCAGGGAAGAAGAAGAAGAAGAAGAGGGTTTGCGAGTTGCGCCTGCAATCTTCAGATTATCCTGGCGTCGGTTCGTACTTCAGCAGTACTGCATGAGCGGCGCTGGACACTCCTCGTCTCCTTCTTCTCAGGAGGTTGAACAACCTGGCATTCACATACCTGGCTGGCAGTGCCCTCTCTGTCCTGCGTGTTCAACTGCTGGCAGCAGGCATTTGCGTGTTCTGCAACGTCTGTGTTCCACAGGTGGACTCCCGGGGATCAGGGACGCTGCACCTGCAGCAGGGAGGAGCGGAGATAGCACATGGCGCCAGCTGGCACTGCGCCGGCAGCGTTGAGCGCTACCGTGCTTGAGCAGGCATGGCAGAGCGGTGCCGCAGCAGGTCTGCATTCAGAGCCTGCTCGCCAGCAGACGTCGTGTCCCTTGCTGCACAGTGTGGGCACTCTGTCACGTGCAGTGTCTGCCACTGTCAACAGGCTTTACGGGCTGTCACTGCTGCGGCGGCAGGGACGCAGGCTACCCCAATGCGCAGGGTCGCACTGGCCCACCCACTCGTCTCCGGCGCTCTCCCCACAGCCCTTGTTTTGGGAAGGAGCCGTGGGCGGTGGAACAAGTGGCAATAGCTCGAATGGCAAACTTGGCCTATGTTTGAACCCCTGCCACATCTCATGGTGGCATGCTTTTTGCAAGCCCGTGTGTGTGCAGGAGTGGGCCATGGAGGCCACCAGATGGCGAGCTCGGTGGAGCAGGACCAGCAGCGGATGCCAGCCAGGCACCCCAAGCACTGGCCCCACGTCTGATGGTGCGCCGGTGGCGCTAGGTTTGGTTGAATGCGCTAGCTGGCGAGCGGCACCAGCTGCTGGCACGTGTGCAGCGGACAAAGCAGCCCTGCAGCAGCAGCAACAGCCCAGAGAGCACTGGTACGCAGCAGCATGAGTAGGGCGAGCTGTCTGCTTATTTCGCTGTTCATGCAATATCTCAAGAATCCTTTGTGTTGTCTTACAGTTGGCCAGGCAAATTCCCGCCAAAAAACACAGCCTGTCTTCAAGTGTGTGAAGCAAAACGTGGTAGCATGGGCAGCAAGGACAACAAACAGCAAAGGGGAAATAGGAGATTGCCAGCAAACGTGAAGTGAACAGGAACAAGTGGGTGTCTAGCGCATCCTGTAACGGTATTGACGCATCAAGCTGAATCGAAGTCGCAACCAAGCTGAATCGAACCTACAAGCAGGGGCAGCAGCACAAAACACGGCTGCAGCAGGATAGAAAGGTGCAGGGGCAGGTAAATGCCTGGATGGATGGAAAGGATGGGGGGGGTGCATGGTATGCTAGTGGCATGTAGGGCAAGCCTTTCCGGGGCGGCCACCGCTGCGGCACGCCCGGCTATGTGTGCCCCTGGGTGTGTGCTCTGCGCCGTTTGGAAAATGAATACCTATCTCCGTGATACCACCCTTCGACTGACATTAGCGTCGCAAGGACTCGGCCACCGGCGGGTGCAAGTGATGCAAACATGCATGCATGCATGCATGCCAGGCGCTGTGCAAAGGCACTGTGCAGCAGGGAGGGGGTTGCAGTTAAGGATGCTGAGCGCATGGCAGCAGAGAAGGCAGTCAGGCGGTTCAACGCCAGGCTCGCCACCTACCCATTGTTCGCTCCAAGTCCACCACGGCCAGCCGTGCTAGCGCAGGTCTGGCAGTGCAGTGCCCCGCTCCAGATTTGCCTTGATCTCGGCGGTGTGCGTGCCAAAGGCGCGCTCGATCTTCTTATTGAAGTGCGCGTTGCGATCGTTGATGTAGTCCACATCCTTGTCCTCGCGGAACGCACGCCGCCGGCTGAACGACTTGCCCTGCCTGCACAACCAGGCAGGCACGCAGGTGCAGGATAACAGGCACAGCCGGGCTGCCCCCCTTCCCCTGGCGCCAGTCTCGGTTGTGCTGGATGCAGGCGGGTGAGCAAAGAACGCACATGCCGGCGTGGTGCTGGCGGCGCAGCCCCGCCCGCCAAGGCGCCCGCCACACAACCCACCGCTCGTTCAGCTCTGCCACCATGCGGTCGATGCCAGCCTCGCTCACACGGCCCGCAGAGCCGTACAGCAGGCTGTCGGCGGTGCGGTAGAACTCGGGGTCGGTGGACTGCAGCCATGGGAGGCGGGGAGGAAGCAAGGGAGCAATTGTTCAGCATGCTGCGGAGGTGTGACTCAAGGTGGAGCAGGGCGAGGGTCTGCGGTGCGCGCAACCCTGCGCAACATCATCCCAACCGCCGATCGACTCAGACCGCCCGCCCACCTTTGCCTCCTCATACTCAGACCGATCTGGTTTGATCTTCTCGGTGCGCTTCTCGTACGCCGCCGCCAGCGTGGCCTGGTTGAACTGCTCCCTGCACCAAGCCACAGCCACACTTCAGCGATTGCTTCCGAGCCCGCTCCTCCTGCGATCTGCTGCGATGCACATGCCTGCCACAGCTCATTACCTTGCCATCCAGCACCAGCAGCACACATATTACAGCCGGCCGCGCCGGTGCCCACACTCACCAGCCCTGCGGCGCGGGCTTCTTCTCTTTCTTCTTGAACTGCGCCTCGGCCGTCTCGGCGGTGTCCAGGCGGTACGCCTTGCTGGGGTCCAGGCCCAGCCGCTGCAGCTCCTCCTCCTGCAAAACAAAGCAGACGCACCCGTGCGCCAGTGTCAGGGCCGAGGCCAACAAGAAGCACCTGTCATGGGCTTGCTGATGCCTCCCTCCACCTTTCAGCGGACACATCCCGTCCAGCCGTTCATAGGCAACCAAGCAGTCCCCAGGCCTCTACCCCCACCCTTCACCCACCTTGCGCTTCTGCTTTTCCTCAAACCACTTGCGCTTGGAGCCCTGGCGAGCACCGCCGCCGTCCCCGGCTGCTGCATCAGACTTGGCCGCTGCCTGCTTCCGCTTCTCCGCCACCACCGCATGCTCATTGGCCTTGCGGGCCGCCTTCATTCGCTGCTGCAGCTCCCACAGCTTCTTCTGCCGGGGATTCATGCCAGCGGTGGGGTCCACAAACTCTGCCGCCTCCCCATCCTCGCCACCCTCTGCTGCCGCCCCGCCGTCCGCACCCGCTGCCGCCGCCGCAGGGGCCGCGCCCCCCTGTGGCCGCGGTTGCTGCGCCGCAGCCGAGGCGGAGGCCGCCGCCTGCCGCGCCTCCTCCTCCGCCTGCTCCTTCTCCTCCAGATCCCGCAGCTCATCCTGCGCCGTCTTAAACGGCAGCGCCGCCTTGCCGACACTATCTCCACTGGCCCCACCCTGCAGCGCCTTGAGCCGCGCCCGCGCCTCGGCATCAGGGTCCACAAACACTGGGTCCTGCTTGGACGCAGCCGCCTCCTCCCGCTCCTTCAGGATCTTAGCCATGATCTGGCGCTTGCTGGGCAGCTGCAGGAGGGCCAAGCATGCAGGTGGCAAGGGAGAGGTGAGTGGGGCAACATAGGCCAGTGGCAGCAGAAGGGTGGCAGGCTGATGTGCAAGCTCTGCTGATTAATCAGCCCAAACCCACCTCGCCACAGTCTGCAATGTATATCTTCTGGGACGTTCTGCCGCTGCGTGAGCCCAGCGATTCCATGCGCTTCACCACCGCCATGCCCTCCGTCACACGCCCAAACACAACGTGCTTGCCATCTGCAGCGATGCGCAGGGGCAGCAGCCCGATTGGCTCACCTCCCTGCCAGCAGTGCTGCCGCCAAGCACCACAAAAAAAGACTGCACAGGCAGGCAGTCAGCAGTGCCCTCACCCAGCCATTGGCAGGGCGCAGTGGTCAAGAAGAACTGGCTGCCGTTGGTGCCGGGCCCAGCATTGGCCATGCTCAGCATGCCTGGCTCCGTGTGCTTCAGCTGCAAGGGCGGCAGGCGGGCCAGTCGCGACTTGGAACAGGGGCTTACTGCTGCGTCAAGCGAGATTTGAGCCTCTAAGGCAGCATCTGGAACTGGGCGGCATGTCCTCGTCCCAAACCATACATCATACACAACCGAAAATGCCATGCACCTGAAAGGACTCGTCAGCAAACGTGCTGCCGTAGATGCTTTCACCGCCGGTTCCGTCAGCATTTTCAAAGTCGCCACCCTGGCACCTGCATGAAAAAGCGCAAGAAAGGACGATGGGCCGGCGGTGGGGCACCAGCATCATTCCTGCCTTGCCTGTGCGTCCTGCTCCCACAGCAGCACCCCAGTTCAACTTACATGAAGTCGGGGATGACTCGGTGGAAGAGGGAGCCCTTGTAGTGCAGCGGCTTGCCACACCGGCCCTGCCCAGCCTCGCCTGTGCACAGCTGCCTGCACAGCAGTGGGCGACGGTGCCTCAAATGTTGTGTGACCTGTAGCATTGCATAATCCTGCTGGGCACTGGGGCAACCCCGCAGCGGGCCCAGCCGCACCTGAAGTTTTCAGCCGTCTTCGGCACCACATCATCAAACAGGGTCATCACAATGCGCCCTGCCTCCTCCCCCGCAATAGAGATGTCGAAGAAGACGCGGGGGTTGTCCATATCAGCTTTAGATGCCATGGCTGCCACGCCTCACGCTGGTGCCTGCACCGTGGCGGCAGTGGTGGAGCTGCAAACGGGGATGGGTCGCGCCGGGTGTGGACCTCTCGCCCGTGCCTCCCTTGCAAGCCTGACCGCCCCTGGCCGCCGAATGGGAAGCCGCAGCCACCACCAGGAAGCAGCCGCACGGATGCTTGCCTCTCCGCAGCCGCCCAGCCAAGATTGCGCAGCAGCTCTGCACCGCTTCCAGATTAAAGAGGTGGGAGGTCTGGCTTTGCCCTTTTTGGGGCACTCTGGCTGTACGTGTACCTCGCTGGCAGCTGCCGCTGATGTTGGCCGTGGGAACCAAGCAGCTCACATCAGCCTCCCTCTCGAGCCGTGTGGTGTCCTTGCTCACTTCATCAGTCGCACCATCACCACTGAAAAGTTCTTGCCGTGAGCTGCTGGGGTTGACACGGCCGTTCAAGGGGCCAGACAACCATCCAGACCCTTCCAGCGGAGCCGCGCAAGCGCTGAGCAGCACAGGAGCAGCACTGCCCGCCGCCGCCTCCGGCACCCGGGGGCATGCTCTTTTACTCCTACTTTAAAACGCTAGTGGGCAAGGAGGTGCGAGGGGTGGCTGGCATTTGGCCCATCTGGCGTGTGATCATGGCCGATCAGCTGCTAGCAGCCGAGTACTTCCCGGCAGCCTGTGACGTGTGTTTCTGCTTCCTCTCCACGCATGCCCTCCCACCCCCACCCTCATAAAGGTAACGGTGGAGCTGAAGAATGACCTTGCCATCACCGGCACGCTGCACTCGGTGGACCAATACCTCAACATCAAGCTCAACAACATCCGCGTGGTGAATGAGCAGAAGTACCCGCACATGCTGTCGGTGCGGGCCTGCTTTGTGCGCGGCAGTGTGGTGCGGTATGTTCAGCTGCCACCAGGCAGCGTGGATGTGGAGCTGCTGCATGACGCGACACGGAGAGAGGCTCGCGGCGGGTGACCGCTGGCAACCCATGGCTGCTTTGCTCCACTTCCTTGCATCATTGCATTCTCTCTGCCTTCCCCTTTCTCGTCTCCCTCCTTGTCAACCAGTAAACGCATGCAATGTCACACATGCAAAAAGTAATTGGCTGAGCGCCGCACGATGTAGTGCAGCATAAGGTGACGATCTAATTGCCAGCAGCTGTGTCAGTGTATATAGAGGGAAGTACCAAGGAGGGAGGCGGGGTTCCCGCCACGAAAGTCACGTATGCACTTGTGCGAGAGAAGGCTGGCAGCAGGGGTGCGAGAAAAAGAACACGGCCTAGTGGACAGATGAAAATGGCCGGCCTGCAAAACAATGCCAGTTGGGAACATGAAGAGAATACAGACGACGCGGGGCAAGTTTGAACCAAATTGACGGGGTTTTCTGCGCACGCGGGTGCAAAGAAAACTACACAGGGAGTGGAAATGGAAGAAAAAGGAAATAGCAGGGGTCGCTCAAGGGCAAGCAGCGATGCGCGCACAGCGCAGCGCAGTGCTGTGGTGGCAACAGCACACAAGTCAACAGCGTGTCAGCAGCGCTGGCCGTGACGGCGTCCGCGCATGTTGCCGGGGGGGGTGGCTGCACCGATACGGCTGCCGTTGTTGTTGTTGTTGCTGCTGCTGCACTGTGGCAGAGGTGCTGTGCAGGTGCGCAAGGTGTGGTGGAAGGCTGAGGCCCTGCACAGTGAGCACCAGCTCCGAGAAGCGACTCAGGTACTCCTGCAGGCATGGTGGCAGGCGTGCAAAGCTGAGGGGCGCGCCCGGCACACCAACACATCAGTGAAGTCACGGCACCCATTCACGGAGGCCAGCAGCAGCTGCTCCGCTCCAACCTGCACCTGCATGTCCAGCATGTGAAGCAGAGTCGTGTCGTATTTGAATCGCTTCGCCGGGTCCTTCAGCACCTCGAAGGCCGACCGGATGGCCAGGAAGCGCTCGCTGCACCCCGCCTTGTCGGGGTGGTAGAGCAGCGCCAGCCGCCGGAACTGGCGCTTCAACTGGTCGGGTGAGGCCTGCGGCAGAGGTACAGGGGCGTGCAATGTGGAGTGTGTTGACAGCCTGTGAATGAAGGTTGAGCAGCTTGCAAGTGAAGGCGGGGCGGGACGGGGAGGGCGCCCCACGTTGGTAGCCCGGCCAGGGGCCACCTCCCACGCGCCACCACGCGGGACGGTTGCCCCAAGTGGTCCATCGCCCCTTGCTGCCTGGGTTATCGGCAAGGCGAGGCTGCGCGGGTGGCGAGGCTCCCCCGCCCAGTCTAGACCCACAGCCGGTGGCTGCTCACCGCCAGGGTGCAGTCGAGGAGCTCATACAGCGTCACTGTGCCGCCCAACGGCGCTGAGTCGTGGGCGGAGGAGCTGGGGCTCCTGGGGCCACCCTCCATGGCTGTGGAAGGTCTCGAGGACGCGCAGGCGGGCCCGAGCCGAGAGAACAGTATCGGACGAACAACAGGATGGGCTCTTGCTGGCCCGCATTTGCCTGTGCGTGGTGAGAGTGCTGCGGGCCACCCTGGTCAGGCGTTGTTTCCACGAATTGAATGGTCCTTTTGGACAACAGGCACCCAGGTGAAGCAAAACTGGCGCTGCAGCCTGCAATTTTCGTTTGAGCTCCTTCCAGACCCGGCCGGCTTTCCGCCACTCCGGCCCCGCAAGCCCTTTTGGCAGGGCTCTGGGGAACAACTTCACAGCGCCAGAATGCGGGCGGCAGTGCACAGCAAGAGTAGCGGCTGCCTCACCCCCTCCTCGCAGCGGCAGCGGCACGTCGCCGGTGTTTTAGGCAGCAGCAGCATGGTGAGAATGTGCAGGGCAGCACCGTCAGAAGGGCCTGGTGGGCACCGCACCTGGCTGCAACTTGCTGCCGGCAGCCTTGCTGCCGCCAGCGCCGCCGCCCATGCCGCTATCCTTCCTCACCGCTATCCTTCCTGTGCCCCACGTGCAGGCCCCGGCCTCGCTGTCCTCCTTTGCCAAAGGCAGGAGCGCGGCTGTCACACCGGCCGCGGCGGCTCCCTCGCGGCAGCGGCAGCCGCTGCAGGTGTGGGCCAACACGCAGCGCAGCAACTCTACCACCAAGAAGCGCACCTCTGGGCCGCCCGGCCTGCCGCCCATCAACGCCAACGACGGCGGCGGTGGCGGCGGCGGCTGGGACGGACATAGGATTGCGCGCAACGTGGCCATCAACGCCGCCCTCTTTGGCATCTACTGCCTGCTGGACAGCGGCGGCCCCGGCGGCATCTTTGGCGGCGGCGGCGGCGGCGGCGGTAAGTGGGCTGCCCCGCCGAGGCAGCCGAGCTGGTGATGGCTTGGCAAGCACAGCTAGCTGCCGCGCACCCCGCCTCACCTGATACCATGCATTTTGTTGTGTATGCAGGCGGCGGGGGTGGCGGGGGTGGGGGCGACGGCTACCATAACAACAACCTGGGCAACCCTGGGGAGCCGCAGCTCAGGATGCGCGAGCTGGACTATGATTCGGAGGACGAGGCAGCACGCAGGAAGCCGCGTAAGAAGAAGAGCAGCGGCGGCGGTGGTGCCAAGCGCCGGACGGCGCGCCTTGCCACCGCCTGACCGCAGCACTGCTGCACGCGCGCACTTTGCATGTATATCCTCTCAGCCCCACCCGATTTTATGGCCTCTGCCGCCCGCCCCCAGCGGGCCGCACCTTTTTCATGCCGACCACGACAGTGCTGGTTTGCCATGCAGCTCTCCTCGCTGTTTGTTTGCCTGTTGCTTGCCCTGGCGCTGTCGCATCTCTTCCATACCTCAAGATGCATCCCCTGGCCCATGCCAATCAGCCTCTCTCTTCAACAACGCTCTCCCATTTCATTCACAACTTCTCTGCCCGCTTTCCGCTGCCTTGTCTTGCGGTTTGTTTTGCTGTTTGCGCCACGTTGTCTTTTGCTGATGGTGCCAGCCTCTGTCAAGCGCCCCTGTTTGTTTCTCGGCCTATGCTGTGCACACCACCTTGTAACAGGCATCTTCTTACAAGTGTAGGAGGGAGGGAGGGGTAATATCCCCATCCTCCGCAAAAGTGCCGTCTGATGTGGCTCGGCTGAGCTCCGGCTCCAGTGGCGACTGGGCCCGGGACGGCATGTGCCCCGCCTCTGCTTGCCGCCCATCCGCGGCAGCAACAGCCGCTGCTGCTGCCAGCTGCACTGCCTCTCCGTGCTGGCTGAAGCTTCCGGCCTCCTGCTGGCGCTGCCACATGGCTGCGTACAGGCCGCCCCGCTGCAGCAGCTCCAGGTGCGACCCAGCCTCCGCCACAGAGCCGCCCTCCAGCACCACGATAACGTCGGCATCGGCAATGGTGGACAGGCGGTGCGCCACAATGATGGTGGTGGTGTTCTGCTGCCGCATTCCTGCCAGCGACTCCTGGCACAGAGTCAGCAGGCACAGCGGCAACAGCAGAATCAGGTAGAGGCCAGGCGGATGATGATGAGGCGGGATGAGACGGCGCACGGCCTGCCACAAACCCTGTGTAGGACACGATCTGCTCCAGCAAGCCGACCACCAGCCCCCTTCCAGCGCCCCACAAACCTGGATCATGCGTTCTGTCATGCTGTCCAACGCCGACGTGGCTTCATCCAGTACCAGAATCGCAGGGTTGCGCAAGACCGCGCGCGCAAACGCCACGCGCTGCTTCTCGCCACCGCTCAACCTGAGTCCGCGCTCGCCCACCAGCGTGTCATACCCATCTACAGGGTACGAGGGATCGGGGTGGAGGGGCGCAAAGGCCTTGTGCGGGCTGCCCTGCGCTGTGATTATGTGTTGACAATGCGCAGCGGTTGTTTCGGGTTGTGCCAACGAAAAGCTGAGTGGCGGGGCGCTGTGCTACTTGGGATGCTGCGTGGCGGGGCTACCTGGGAAGCGCCTGACGACGGCCGCGTGGATGTGCGCCACCCGGGCCGCCTCCTCCACCTCCTCGTCGCTGGCACTGGTGCGGCCGTACCTGCAGCACGTGCAAACAGGTGCTAGTACATCGGCACACACAAGTGCTTCCCTGCCTCTGCAGCTGGGAACCCTACCTGACATTGTATCGTATTGTGTCGTTGAAGAGGACCTGCAGGAACAGAACATGGCCACCTTGTGCCAGCTCCCACGACAGCCCCCGCCCCTGCCCCAACCCCCATCGAACAGCCACGCATCCAGCCTGCCCAGCACCCGCCACCCCACTCACCGTGTCCTGTGGCACTACCGCTATGTGGCGGCGCAGTGAACTTTGAGTGCAGCGAGAGATGTCGGTGCCCTCCACCAGCACGCGGCCGGCGGTGGGGTCGTAAAACCTCAGCAAAAGTCGCAGCACGGTGCTCTTGCCGCTGCCCGTGGCGCCGACAAGCGCCAGCGTGCGCCCACCCTGAACTTCGAAGCTGATGTTTCGCAGCACTGGCGGGCCCCTGCCGTAGCTGCACGACAGCCAGGGTTGGAAGCAGCAACAGTTGGAGCGGGCAGAAAGGGCGGCATCATGCAAGAAAGTGGTACCTGAACGAGACGTTGGCAAACTCCACTTGGCCGTTGGTCACCTCCAGCTGGCACGCGTCGGGCGCATCGTCCACCTCTGGTTTTCTCGCTAGCAGGTCAAACATGTTCTCCATGTCTATCAGCCCCTTCTGGACCTTCAGTTGGTGAGTCCAAGCAAACGCAAATCAAATGCATTGTTTTTGGCCCTTCTCCCTGTTTTGCCCGTTCTGTCTTACCTGCCGATAATAGCTACCGAAAAAGCTCAGTGGTGCCATCAACGAGTTCATGAGGGATAGGAAGAGCACCGCGTCCCCTACACTGAGTTTGCCCGCCAAAATACCGCGGACGCACACAGTCAAACCTGCAATGCCATGCAGGGCAGAACAGCCTCAACAGTCCTCCCAGGAACAAAACTTTTATTTATTGCCGCCCAGCCGCCGCCACCCGGTCACAGGCACCACTCACAAACCACTCACCCAGCGCCAGGCCCACAAACACCAGCACCGACTGCGCAATATTGAGCAGCGAGATGCACGCCAACTGCAGGTACTCCTGGGTCTGGTAGGCGTCGATGGCGCGGCCATATGATCCCAGCTCGAACCGCTCAGACGTGAAGAGCTTAACAGTCTCGTAATTGAGCAACATGTCTGTGGCCTTGCCCTCCTTCTCGTTGTCCTGTTGGAACAGCAGAGGGCCAGGTTGGGCAAGAGGGAGGCAGGTGGGGCCATGCACGTGTACAGGAGAAGGGGAGAAAGGAGGCGACGGCTGGTGAGGGGCACCAACTGCCAGCAGGCTACAACTGCCTCACCAGCTTGTTCATCTGCTTTCTGACCTTCCCGCAGTACTCGGTAATGATGAACGTGATGGGTATGTATGTGACGACTGAAGGGCAGGAGGAAGGATGGGTGCCTGGACGGGGCGCCCAATGAAAACGGCACGCGCCCCTGGCCCACCTGTGACCGTCAGGTGGGAGGTTGCGGCCCACCTGTGACCGTCACGATGATGGCTGTCCAGGGCTGCAGCTTGATTGCCATGAACATGCACGCAGCTATCATGTCCAGAATTTGAGGCCCAATATTGAACAGGACTACCTGCTCCACGCACGGGTAAGCATGCGGCATCAGAGACCGCTGGAAGGGTGGTGGGGCAAGCCGTCAAGGCATCGGCGATGGGAGACACATCAACCTGCCTGCATCACATCCTGGATGGACGAGGTCCCTCGGTCCAAAACGCGCATCACCTTTCCTGCAGGGTTGGTTTGACGGATGAAACAAGGTTCAAAGATCCCGACTGAGGCATCCATGGCCTGACCCCAACGCAGGCTAGCGGCAACAGGCACAGTGGTCGCCTGCTCGCATGCCCACCTGTATTCCTGCCTAGGTGAAAAGAATGGTCAAGGTTGAGCAAATGGGCAAACACGTCCAGGCTGACGCGGCGGCAGGCGCGCTGCAAGGGGGACGACAGGCGAGGAATGGAGGGGCAAAAGTTAAGCAAGATATCATGTTGCTCTGACCAATGTGGCTGCAAAGCGCTGAAGCAACGCCAAAAGGTTGCAAGACATGGTGCCTGCTTCGCTTGCTGGCTTGCCTGCTGCAGCGGAATCCACAGCAGGTCACGCACATTGGCCAGAATGCCGCCCTTCCCGCTGCTGCCCTGCAGCCAAGTAGCGGCAGCCAGCACTGCAGCAAACAGCCAGCACGCGAGCCACCTTCCTGCCGAGTGGTTAATGCGGCACATGCACTGATCTGCTGGCCCAACCTACTTGCAGGAACGTGAGGGCAAGGTAGATGGCCACCCAGGGGAAGAACACGGCCTTGAAGGTCGGCACCGCCGCCGCGCCCAGCGCCGCACATAGCACTCGCAGGCTGGGCATCCCGCCGCTGGCACTGTTCTCGCTGGCTGCCGCTGCAGCAGCGACCCCGGTCTCTGCCAACCGGTCCACCACTTTCTTGTACGCCAAGGGCAGCCCAATGTTCACAACCCTTCCAACCAGCAGCAGCACGAAGCATGCCAGCAGCCTGCATGGTGGCAGGCGGCGGGCGTGGCGCAAGTCGCAGGCGAGGCTATGTGTCGAGAGCGAGCGAGAGAGTGCGTCACAGGTGACACGGCCCGCCTCCAGCCAGATGGCTCTACATGCCAGCATCAACAGGCAAACAACACAATCTGGTGGCCCTCCCTCACTGCACCTTATCTTCAGACCAAGCTGGTCCGGAACCAGGTAACTCAGGGTGCCGTTGATCAGGACCATGCGCTTGCTGCTGCCGGCCTTCTTCGTCCGTCGCTTGCGTTCCCCCACTTCGCCCAGCAGCGGCTCGTGCTCGTGCATGCAGCTCGCTGCCCCCCAGGCGGGCGCAGCCGCAGCTGCCAGCAGGAAAAAGGTGGAGGCGAGCAGGGCTGCAGCGCTGAGCGCCGCCAGGACCAGCACCGCCACCTCGTAATGCCGTGTTGCCCAGCCGCCGTCGCTGCCGCCCTCTTGGTGCGCGGCGTGGTGGAAGGCATGCACCGCCTCTACAAGCGCCCCGACGTCGAGAGCAGCCCCAGACGAGGTGGGTGTGGCCAGCAGCCAGAGCCGCCGGTTGTCGAGCCACGTCCAGTGCAGCGCCTGCAGACAAGGGCACGTTCAGGGCATTGAGCTGAATGCTGTGCATGTCCGTTGCTGTTTGCCCGCTCAACTCACCAGCAGCAGCAGACAGAGAGCGCAGCTGAGCGCATCTGTCAGGCCATCGCCACCCCGTTCCACATCGTGCAGCTGTGCTCGCAGTGCCAGGCGAACGGCATGGCCCAAGAGCGCGACAGCAACCCAGGCGGCAGAGGCGATGCGCCATTGTTGCCCCGGATGGGTGTCAAGCGCGCCGCTCGCCCCTCGCTGCTGCCGCTTGTGTGACTGCCACAGCCCAGCGGCCACCCAGATGCTGCAGGCGACGTCCACGCAGACTAACAGAGCGGCCTGCTCGGTGAAAGCCATGTTGAAGAGGCGGCGTGTTGCGCGCCGACGCCGGCGGGGGCGCCTGGTGCGGGCGGCAGGTGGCCTGAGCGCCCGGCGCCCCTGCACGCTCCCTGCTGCTCTGCGGTGTCAGCTGGTGTCAGGTTCTGGTGCGCGGACCCGTCCAGGGAGGGAACCACAAGTGTGGTCTCGGAGGGGACCGACCTGGTGGGGGAGCACACCGACGAGTGGGGATTAGATGGTGAAGTGGTTATAGTCATTGAAGAGCATCGCGCGTTGCGGGATTGTGTACACTTCGGCTGTACTGCATGCGAGGCGGGGACTCCCGACAAGGGCAGTTTCACCACCTGGGCGAGACATACGCATGCAGTACATGGTTCCCCTCGGGGGAACTCCTGCATAGAGTGCCAAAGGGGATGGCAGAGGAGCCGACCACCACACTCTGGCTGGGCAACCTGGACCCCCGCGTCACTCGGCGCCTCCTGTATGAACTCGGCATTCAGGTGAGAGGAGCCTTGCACTCGGCACCGCCCACCGCCCACACACAGCCGCGCCCGCCCGGCCGCCGCACGCACTGCCGTCCTGCCCAGGTGGCCGCACACGCATCTCGCGCATCAGGCCTTGCGCAGAGCACCTTCTTGCCAGACCGCCTGCAAGCCGCTCAGGCCTTGCACAGAGCACCGCCTCGCCAGACCGCCTGCAAGCCGCTCATTGCCCCACCCCAGCAGGCAGGGCCAGTGATCTCTATTAGCCTTCCTGTGGCAGTTGACGGCAGCAACCGTGGATACGGCTTTGTCGAGTTTGAGAGCGTAGAGAGCGCAGCTTTTGCTGTCCGCCTCTTCCGAGGACTGACCCTATTTGGGCGGCCGGTGCGCACCGATTTTGGGGGGAAGAAGGCTGGAGGCCCGCAGCAACAGCACGGAGGAATGGCTGCAGCACCCGTGCAGTATTAACCCTGGGTAGACTCACCTTCCTCTCTTCCATAACTCATGATACTGTTTTTTTATACACAGTCAATTCCTTTCATGTTGTCGCACGGTGAAAACTGTTGTCAGACCTGTGTGCCGTAAATCGGGGCAGGCGCCGCACGGCAGCAGGGTTTCAGTATACTGTGTTGGCCAGTATAGGTGGTAGCTAAGTCGCGGCCAAGACTTCCCGGCAGTGATTGTGTCAGGTTGAACTGCCGACACTGCATGCCACTGTTTTCCCGCCACATGAGCGGCCGCCACATGGACTGCCACATGGGCGTGGGCGCTCCCCAACAAGGCCATCCTGTCAGCGTAGCAGGTTCCAAACCCAACTCCAGCATCAGTCGCACGATTCCAAGCGCAGGTATGGCCTGACCTTAGGGATGGCGCTTATGCACTCTCCCCGCGTTGTGGGGCTGCCCTCCCCGCCGTTGGATCCCCGCCAGAGTGGGGCGGGCAAGTCGGGGGCGGATGCTCATGGCGATGAAGGCCTGTTTACCTGCCCGGCGGAGCTGGTGAGTGGCTGGGGCGACGGCCGGTGCCCGGCGCTGCTGTTGCCAACTGCCACGCCTGTGGGTGCAACCCCTTGATGGAGCCCACACCTTTCATGCAGGTGTGCCCTCTTACCCTCAGCCCGTTCATCGACCCCGTGCTCACCACAGCTGGCCATGTGCGCTAATGCGCGGTTGGATAACCTGCCCACCAGCTACCAGCTTGCTTATTCCCCCGCTTGCAACTGATTTTGCCTTTGTTGCCTGCATGCACCCAGGTGTACGAGCGCGCCGCTATCCAGGCGCACCTGGAGCGCAGCTCCACCGACCCCCTCACTCGGGCAGTGCTGCTGAACAAGTGCGCCGGGGTGTGGTGGCCCACCCTTGCTGCCTGCAGGGCAGCCGCCTGCTTTTTTACCAAGCGCCTGCTGTGCCGCCCCCTGCGGAGCAGGTCGTTAACACCGGTGTTCGTGCTGCGGTCGAGGGCACTTGAGTATCGCGAGTCGGTGGCACGCGATTGCATTTCTCGCGTTTGCAGTGGGGCCTCCGAGCCCATGCGCTACCTGCGCCGCGCGGTGGAGCTGATTGCAGACACCGGCAGCCACGTGCAGGTCGGTGCTGTATCTGGGGAATCAGCTCCTATGCTGCTGAAATGCTGCTTGCCAGTCTGCCTGCCCACACGCCTGCCTGCCCTCCCTGCTCCCTGCCCCCTACCCCCCACCTCCCATGCCTGAAGGGTCTCTCGAAAGAGACTGTCGAGTATGTGCTTGGTCACCCAAGCAATGCATTCGATAGGTGAGACAATGCATCATCTAAACGATTAGGACAATGCATCATCTAAACGATAGGCTTGTCTACCTCACCTGCAGAATCGCACTGCAGCTCTTTGCACAGGGCCTTTTCCAAGCGGGGTATCGTGACCGCGCGGCCACCATCTGGAGCTCGCTGCTGCTGGAGGATGCGGACCGCGGGCAGCAGGCGGAGCTGCTCAGGCGCTGCCTAAGGTGGGGCATGGGCCATGGCAAGAGCTGCGGATCAGCCAGTGTGCCTGCCTACGCCCTTCTTGGTCAACGCAGCCGCTGCTTTCCACCCGGCCATGCGCGACGCAGCTGCTGGACCGAGGAGCCCAGCGGGGTGGGGAGGGGCGGCGACGACAATTACATCTTTCAGAAGCTGGTTTTGCTGTTTGAGGGGCGCAGCCTGAATTGGGATCAGCTGGTAGAGCTGGCAGAGCAAGCCCAGCTTGGCGACCAGTTTGTGTTACGGTGGGCAGTTTGTGGCGCTGCCACTGGCAGCTAGTGAATGCGATGCTGTGGAGTTGCTGGATTGGGTGGCGAGGAGGACGGCACAACCAATCGACTGATTGAGGAGAGGTGGACCAAATGCTGCCTCAACGTGCGCCACTCTGCAGGCTGTGTGAGCAACTGCTTTTTCGGCAAGGGCCAAATGCGGCCCTGCTGGCACCTGACGGGGCCGCAAATTTGGCAGAAACCGGTTTCAGTGTTAGGCACCAGGAGAAGCGGCTGCTTCTGAAGTATGTGCACGTACTGACGGACAGCCTGCAGCGGCGGCAGAGCGAGGTGGAGCGGCGGCTGCAAGAGATTGAGCGCTGGCTACGGAGGCGCAGCAGCGGCAGCAAGAGCAGCGGCACCCTCTTTGATGATGGCGGCAGCCCGCGCAATGGTGCCACTGGCTTTGGCCTGCAGATGCCGGGCTGGCTGCGACACCCTGCGCTGGTTGGCAGCTGCATGCTCCTCACCATCTCGGTGCCGCCAGACCATGCAGCAAACCGCATACTCAAGGCAGTGCCCTATCTGGCGCTGCTGCGCACTCCGTAGAATGGAACAATGGTCGTTCCCATTTTCGCAGATATGACAGCTTCATTGATGCTTCTCTGATAGATTGCATGTTCCGCCGTTCTGATAATTCAATCCACGGTCTTGCCGACTTTCATGACAGCACAGATTTGTTGACAGATTTCCTCTTGTACTCTTGTATTGCTGAGCGAATGCGACCAACGTGTTGGCCTCGCATGACACCGTAAATCGGCTCTTGTAACTGCCCCATCCTGTCAGCCATTCATCTCTGCCAGGCCCATGGCCATCCTTCTTCCAAGCGAGCCAACCGCATTGATGCCTCTTTCACAGGCAACAGGCGCCCCAGCAACAAAGCAGTGGGGATGCGTGCTACAAACACAGCACCACGGCTGCATGGCCTGTCCCTGACTTCCCCCAGCCCTGCTAGTCGCGCTCATCGTCGCTGTCCTCGTCACTGTTCCCTGCGTCCTCCCCAGATGACACATCGTAGTCGTACTGCCCAAAGTCGTCCAGGAAGATGCCGGTCAGCACGGGAGGCGCAGCAGCCGGCGCCCGCTCCTCCTCCCCCGGGCTCGGCTCGCGCTGCATCTGCGGCGCCGCTGCAGGTGCCTGGGCTGCCGGCTGGGGCTTGCCCGCTGCTGGTGCTGCCTCTCCCGCGCCAGCAGCTGACCCCAGAGGGATAGGGTCCCCGGGCTTCCATCCAGGTGGAATGCTGGCCAGCAGCTGGGCCACATCCAGCCCATGCTGCGCTGCCATGGCTGCGACGTCCCCAACAGGCGCGGGCACTGGGGCAGCAGTTGCTGAACCTGGCCCTGGTGCTGCTTCGGGCTGGGCACTGGGTGGTGCTGCCCCCAGTGCCACTGCTGTCGCTGTTATCTGTCGCTGTGCCGCAGCTGCCTGTTGCCGTGCCTCCCAGTCGCCTGCATGCAGGTGCAGGTTGGCAAGGCCAAAGAGTGGGGCGGGCTGAAGTGGGCTGGTTATTGACACTGCCCTGCCTGCTGCATCCTCAATGCAGGCAGCGCAGAGCATGCGTTGACGTGGCCCCTGGCCCCATCCCATGCGCTAGCAGCCCACTCACGGCTGAAGGCATGAAGCTGCGAGGCACGCATCTCAGCCTCCTGTGGCGCCGGCGGCTTGAAGAAATAGAGCGGCTGGCCAGTCTGGTAGCCCAGCGGCGCAGAAGAGCTGTAGCTCAGGCGATGGGCATAGGATAGCAGGCCGCGCACAAAGGCCTGGTCGCCTGGGACTGGCGGCATGTACCCCGGAGGCGGCGTAAAGCGGTCGACGGCCGCCTGCAGGGCCACGATGGCGACCTGCGGGGGAGTGAGATGGGTGGCCAGGGTCCGGAGTGGTTCCCTTGATCGCAGCCGCCCCAAGTTGAGAGAACCGTTATGTCGCCCCGAAAGGGCGGCGGCAGCTGACGGCACCTGCAGCTGCTCTTGTGTGTCGGCGATGGCCTTGAACGTTGCTTCGTCGACTGAGCTGGAGGTGTTGAGCGTGGTCTGCAGTCGCGCCAGTTCGTTCAGCACCCCATCGACTCCATCCTCTTGGGTGCCTTGAGGAGCGCTGGTCAGGAGCGAGTGCAGGCGGCTCAGTAGATCTGCGAGCTCATGGGTGTGCCGTGATGACCCATCGCTGTCCACTTTGAGCCGCTTGGCTGCAAGCTGGTCTGCCATGTGGTCAGGACTGCTCCTGGGAGCACTCCAAAGGATGGAGTGCTCCTGACGGTTGGGATTTTTTGTTTTGTCCATACGACGCAAGTTTGCAATGGCCGCAGGTCAACACGCCTTGCTCAGCACACCGCCGCCGCCGTTGGATAGCCAACTTATTACATCCTGTTCATTCGACACATGTGAAATGTAGGCAGGGTGTGCTGCTCGAAACAACAGTCCAAGGCACGCCCTCAACCCCGCGTGCCAGCCGAGCGGCCAGAGGCGGATGGGGAGGGGGGCGGCAGTGCCGCCGCCCCGGTGGCCAGACGGCACAGCTCTGCAGTCAGCGGCATCCAGGCAGAGCGGAAGTGGGCGCAGTCAGGGTCGTGGCACTTCTGTGTGTAGGTGCCGCCCAAGAAGTCTGCCACGAAGAAGACGTGGTTGGATGTGTGAGGCCGCCCAATGTTCTCGCAGTAGTGGCTGCCAGGCCCAATCATGGAGTAGGCCACCTTGGCGCCGCCGCCGCAAAAGGCCAGGGTGCGGGCGCGCGCTGGGGCGCCTGCCCGCTGCGTCGCCACCTTCTCAATAAACGACACCGCCTCCTCCGCCAGCCTCCGCAGCTCTGCAACAGTGAGCGCGTGCGGGCGCGCGGGGGG